CTATAATTTATATTTAGAAGTAAACCAAAATTTTTCCATTTTTTGTTTAACTATACCCTACTAGAAAAAAAATAGTTTCACAACTTTCCTCATTAAATAAAAAAAACACCCTTTTCAGTGGCGAATCCCCTTAACAAAATGGCACGATTTGCAGCTCTGTATTATTGACTTTAAGAAACATATTGGATGCTGACATTTGTCGCCAGATGACTGAAGTTTATGGCCATAATGCAATGAGTAATGAGTGAGGGTAAAGTGCAGAAATGGGTTAATAGCCTACTTTTAATACTTTTCTATGAAATGGCGACCATACAAAGTAGGTATTTTAAGCCAAGTATGAATGGAGATGAGTCTAGGATTTAAAAGGGAGTTTAAAAATTGCCGTTTAAATGATCCTATTTGAAAGAATTGTGTTTTCCAGCGGTTTAGAATTCTCACAGAAGACCACAAGGGGGGAGGGGACCAAAAGGTTAGCGAGTGTTTTAGATTTGTTATGAGGTAAAAAGGATGATTCAAATTGATGCTGGAGACAAAACATGGGTTTTTCATATTTCCCCTGAATCACCCGGCACTTGATCTCCCCGACAATTTAAAAGCCAATGTCCCGTCAATGCCCGCCCAAGCATTCTTCACCATGGACATTTTCACAGCCATTTTTACACTCCCTAACCAATTTCCGCACTTTATTCTCACACATTGTATTAGGGTAAAAAACTTTAGAGATCTGGTGATCTCATTGGCATTGGACATTTTATGTCTTGTGGTCAAAAAAACGTACCAATGACCTTATCTAGTGTGCAGCGGGAGATTCAGGCGAGTATACAACAAGCCGCTTTGTAGCAGTATACAGCTCGTGACATCTAAGCTGGCACTTGGCCGATCGCTACTAGTATCTAGTTCAAAATCATTATGTCCCGTCATGTGGGTTACATCAACTGTCCTCGCGACCCATATGAAGGCGCTCACGTACATAATACAAAGGGAGGCAGCCCCGTTAGGCAGCGGTAATGTTTGCAGTCTGGTCCTTTCCCTACCTCCACCTACAATGACCCGTGCTAGGCCAAGTGCCAGCTGATATACGCAAAAACGGACCTCGTTGGAGTTAAAAATACGTTTTTAGAGCAAATTGTCAACAAAATTTTAAAAACTTGTAAAATCTCAAGCTAGGCCAAATAACATGTACAGGCAATGTATTAAACATTTTTATTACCTATTTGTAAAATATTTGTTACTTTCTAGCATGTTTCTGCAACCTAGGATTAGCAATGATGAGATCTTACGACTGTATGGTTCTATAAATATGAATAGCAAGTTCTAAAAGAGGACAGACGATCCTGATTTTATTTAACATAGGCTAAATGATTCTTAAATATAAATGTTTTCTGTTAAAATACCAAAATGTTCAAGCCAGGGCTACAACATTCATTGCTTGAATTCTTGCCTTATCCTTAAACCATTGCCCTAGGATATTTTAAATGTCTTATTCAACATCCTTTTTTTTAACATGTGCTTTTTTTAGGTATTTTATGACGCATATCATTCAACACAATAACTTATGTTTGTATTGAACCAAAATATAAAATGTCTGCCCTCCTCTATACTAGTGTAAAAAGATGAAAAAAGGTATTGAGTGCAATCCCTAATAAAGCAGCTAAGCCACACATTCAAGTTAAGCCACAATATTAGATTGGAACAGATGCATGTAGAAAAACCTTTGCTACAATTGTCAGTGCGACGTTTAAGCCTACATCATATCACCATTGCCTGGCTAAGCCGAGTGCCAGTGCCTGGATAGCGACACTAGCACTCGCAGATTTGATTAAACAGACTACTTAGGCGTCAGTCAGTGTTTCAGCTGACTTGGACTTGTACAGAACAGTTCCGTTTGTCAAGGTTATAAATAACCTTCTCTTGCTATAGGAGATTACGAGATAAACCGATGTGGATTTCACCAAAACAGACATGAGGTTAATAATTTTTAAGTAGATGATAAATCCAAGATAACTTTATAATGATGGACGTAATATTGTGGAATTCCCAAGGCAATGTGTGGATTGCAAATCAGAGGCGGATTGAATTTTGTTGTATGTTGATTCCTATTCTAGGCTAGATATTAAATACAAAGTTTCAGTTTCGTCTTTAATTGCTGACTTGTATTGTTGGTCTCTCGAAGTTTCTTTGTTTGACCTCACTCTTGTATGCACTATTTTAGCTCTAAGACTGTTGCATTTGTAAGTTAATCCGAACTATTAAATAGTTTACAATAAATTTTATTGTATTGTAAACCACCAGAATCTAATTAATTGGTTAGGTTGTATCAAAATCTATTCTGTCAATATGGTATCATCTATTATTTAGGCTAACTTATAGGCCTAATTGTAAATTATCTATATAATTAATACGCTACATGAAACTTTGTCGGTTGAACTCCTCCGCCATTTCTTAACTGATTTTATCCATTGACGTCTCATTGGAAAGAGCGTGTCGCGTTGATTTGCAAACTGGCCTTACTTTAAAGTTCCCATGTTATCCTTAAGAAGAACATAATTGTTTACATTTTGATCAGCTGTATCATTTAATTGCTGTTATTTATTTTTCAATTCAACGAAACGCATTGGGTACATTTATTTACTATTTGAGTTTGTGTAAACATAACCCCCAAGACGGATCGTGTTAGTATGGTTGTATCTTAAATTTGTGTATTTATCGTTGTTTTGTGTCACTATTACGGATTGTGTTAGCATGATTGTAACTTAAATTTGTGCATTTATCGTTGTTTTGTGTAACTATAATTTGTTTTTTTGTTGTTTTTTTTCTTTTAAATGACTCCGACGCGACGACAACGAAACATAAGTCAGGAGGCGTAATCGTGATAACGACCGCAGTTACAGAACAGTGGCGCGTAATAGGCTTAACTCATCACAGCCAGCACCTGACCCTGGACAATCTCAACTATTAGGTTACAAATGCGCCCTACCCCAAAACGACTTTTTGTTCTCAATTGGCCCTCTATCAATGACCTGTGTTGCCTGTACAGCGAGGCATTTTGAGAAGGAGAAAACCGGCCGGAATGCTTTAGGTTTTTATCAATAACGAAGGTAAACATGGTCATGGTCTGAGTTACACACCGGTAATCTTTGAGTTGACTCTTTTAAACTCATTGTAAATGTGACTGTTATTCGTTTTGAAATAACTCCTGTAATACTTTGCAATTGCTCGAATTCGAGCAACATGTACCGGTACACTAGTATCTATTATTGTAAATATCGGTCGCTTTAGAAATACCGGTATCCATCATGTTTGTTCTTTTTAAAGATGGCTATGTTGTTGGGCATCGATAAATTAATAAAAAGTCATAGCTTCATTCGACGATTAAACATGATAACTTACAACACGTAATTTCGCAGTTCAATATCACAAATAAGTTGGTAGCTCACAGTGCCAATGTCAATCCTGTTTAGTAAAACACACGATTTTGAGACTCTGAGCGGACAACCAGACTGATGCGAGATTTAAGTTAGCCTAATGGGATTTTAGGACTCAGACATCAGTTTTCCTTTTTAAAAACTGCTGTCTAGTCCTTTCAGATAAAAACTAATTTCAATCATTGTAGCGCAGTAGGCTAAGTTATTATAGCAAGGTTTGAAGAGCTATTCAAACATTAAGTTTTACATGAAAAAGATTACTCAGGTCAGGATTGGAGCTAGGAAAATCCATGTGGAATGAATTAAACAATACTTATCATTAGGTTAGCCTGCATTAAAACAGGATTTCCTTGACCCAAATGTAGTACAACCACTAAAACCTCACAAACTTAACAACTTGTGAACCCAAAGGTTGTCAATAGCCTATCCAGAACATTACATTTTTTTACTTAAAATTAATGGATTCAAAGGTAGCAGCACTGCCTGGATCCTTAGCCAGTGTCTTTGTAATGTGGCTCGAAGAGAGAAAATCCTCGAAACCGGGACAAAAGCATTGCCAGTCAGAATTTTACGGGCAATTTTAGTACCAACCTACGCCAAAACAAAGCTTGCATTCTAAGCTACAGGCTGGCAACGATTACCTATCATTTCGTGTCAATGGCTCATCTCAAACTAACTGTTTAGTGTTAAATCATGGGAACGGCCGGTTACGACCACGCAGCTCCTGTCGTGCAGCCGGCACTGGCTGATTTCGACCGCTCAGCATCGAACATGTTAAATGTTCTGAATACAATGTTTTATTTTATCTGCGTGCGCCCTGTCACCTCTTGACTGTTTAGTTCCTACAGACTGTCAAGTTATCGGGTGTTGAGATTGTGACTTTAGCGCAATTTTTGTTTTGGTCGTGCGGATACCCTGATCCTATATTGACTAGGTACGTATAATCCTACAGCTAAGAATATATTGGCAAGTGGAGATTTTCTTATAGTTGAGCAATTTTTTTGAGATTAATAAAAGCTACTAAGTTTTAACCAAGTAAGAAAGGTCAATGTTGGTTGGTGTATTACTTAAGTACCGGGTACATTTCCATATCTGTTGGCACAAACAACTGAATGAAAATATCAATCGATATATCGATTATTTGATATAACGTTTGGTAAGTTAGGTAAGGTTAACCAACCAAACGATATATCGAATTAAACAATCGAATGATCAATATTAACCTTACTCATTAGGTTGTTTGTGCCAACAGATATAGAAGTGTACCCATATTACCTACTGTATTACAATTCCACTAACCTAGCAAGCTCAAAACTGTTGATAATAGCTATATTAGTTAGGCATAAGTAGCCTACCTTTAACTTGTAATAAGTTAGGGAAACCTAACTTAGAACTCTCTGAAGCAGAAGCATAAATAGGTATAAGAACATGAGAGGATTTATAAAATTGTAATAGAGATATCTATGTACAAGTAAAACTGCAAAGGCTATGGTTATCTATGTTTATTTTACACACCATTCTATACTAGTTTTAAAGGGAAATCGTATTTGTCAAGAAATATTTGAATACACTTACATTATAAGCAAATTCCTGGCTGGCTCACAAATCAGTTTCACTTTTAGGTTATTAAAATTACAGAGCGATGTAGATACTGTTAGTTACTTAATTTGCATAACTTAACGACTTTCTTCAATATTCAAAAATATTTACGGATAGAAAGGGAAAGCTTGTAGATACTGTTGATGTAAATCCTATCGAAATCGACAAGTCATGTGTATGTTGGATTTGGATAGTAACAATTTAGGGAATACACAGACAGACACAAAAGGGAAGAGAACAAGAAGAAACCCAAGAAAGTGTTGATGACGTTTCTATTTTTTGGTTAAAACGGAGCTCGTCATATGATATAAATAGTTGTGTCCTTTATTTCGTTTTTGGATATTTAAAACCACCATAGCAGCTGGAAAAACACTGTACAAAATATTTTAAACGGTCGGACTTAAAATAGCACAAAGTTATATCAGCTTAAAAAAATGGCTGACTTGAAATTTCTAGTTAGTAAAGGAAAGGTAAATAAAGTTGTGAACAAAAGCATACTAGGAGGCATAGGCCTATAACGATTTCGAAGAATGATTCGTTATGAGGATGTTTTTGTGCTAAACGCCTCTGTTCATCCATCTAAGTCACTCCCACAAAGAACTCTGAGTATACAAAAATACATGCCTTCCTTGTTCACCATGGAGCCAGTCAGCCCTACTCACAATAAATAATCCTGAACTCTTCACCACATCTTGGTCCACTAATACAACGCTCAAACAGCATATCATATACATGAATATGAATAATATGATAATGACATCTCTATCTTATAGCTGAGAATAAAAGTCTCTACTGTATTAGTGCGAAAATATTTAATTCAATATATATCATAGTGGAACCAAGACCAAATAAATTTAAGAGTACCTATGATGAAAGAATACTTAACCCTTCCCGGACGGGTGACGGTTATATCCGCCTAAGTCTTTGGCGATAAAGGACGGGTGGCGGATATATCCACTTATGGTTTTTGATGTTCCGGACGGGAAGCGGATATATCCGCCTTCTCTTCAGACAGACTGGCAGGTGCTTGAGCAGTAATCAGATGTTTCGCGGTACCAAGGTACCACTTTCCTGCTCTCTACATGGCTGCGCTCTCTTCCACACTCCCACCCTCGCCCCGCGCCTACCCCTCTCCCGCGCACCACGCACCTCTCCTACGCTCACCCCTCGACGTTTCGCGCTCAACACTACGTTGTCTTTATTTATTGTTTACATATTGTTCTTTATTTATTGCCTAACGTTGTCATTGTCATATCTTTAAAGACGGGTGGCGGATATATCCGCTGCTTTTCTACTCATCTGCGGACGGGTAGCAAATATATCTGTATAGTTAAAAACGAGTAAAAAATTAATTTTACAGTATGAAGTGTTCCATTGTGTTAATTTTATGTAGGCTATTCTTGTATCACAAAACACAAATAAGGAAAATTAATTTTTATTTTTTCCTATAATTTTTTCCCGTTCTATGTCACGATTTCGCCCGTCCGGAAAGGGTTAAGTTATGTGAAGAATACTACTTCCAGTAGAGGCTACTATACATGGATAAAATATGTTCTCGGCAGCCATCAAACGATGACAACCACGCAGAAAGTGATCCAGTGAACGACACCAAAGTATTAAGTACCCATCATCTTCATCCCTCATCCCAACATATCTGTAGGCTAAATTAATTACAGTTGCCTTAACTTTCCCCTAAACAAGTTAAAGAATTTTACTCTCTGTTTTTGCCTTACTGTATGAATAATATATTTGCTGAGGCTTAGCAAATATTAGTGCTACAATATTACGCAAAAACATTTTATATAAAGATTTGAAACGAAATAACAGATAGACGCTGACTCTTAGAGAATGTGTTAGTTTTCAAGGCAAAAATGATTTAAATAACAAGTTAAAGAATGTGGCATGGTACATTTGTATTTATTTACTAACCATGTTCTTATAAATATCAAGTTGTATCGCTTATAATAAAAAACAACAGTAAGTTTGTTTATAACCATTGCCACTAATGTATAACCATCAAAGTATATAGTCCTAGTCAAATGTGTAACCTAAGATAGGTAAATGTACTGTAGCTATAATTACCTCTCTTCTAGGTAATCCATCTGGTCCAGGAATATATTTTCTAACAGAAACAGGTCTTAGAGTCACCATAATTTTATCCCAAGTAAAAATAACTTGTATGAAAAAAACAACAGTTAACTGCAAAGTGTTATTATGAATGAAAAACAATCAGAAGTTTTTATGGAGAATCAAAGCTCATTGTTGTTATGGAAGAATTTCCCAACATAACCAGGTGATGTTAGATAAATTTTTAGAAACAATTCAAAATTAACTGATTACTGAGCATGTATTGTGATCAATGTATAATTTGCAAAAGGCTTGGATTCTATGGTTAACAATTAATTAAAAGGAATTTCTAAAAATTATTATACTATATTAAATTATGAGAATGGTTCATTATATTATTCATTTTGTGGAACTACATCAATAACAGTACAACAGATGAGAAACTGTATTGTATCCCATTTAATTAACTGTTAAATTAAAACATGCTGTTTAAAATATCATCCCCATAAAATTGATTACACCCCTATGAAATAGCTCAATATAGCTTAAAACAATCTTGTACGTTCCAGTCTATAGTTTATAAGTAGAAAACAGAGAGAGAAATTTTATGTTTATGATTTTTCCTTTTGAGTACGGTAATTCAGAAATACTCAACTTTACTATTCATATAACAATTTTGCATGTTCATACAATGAAATAATTGCCCAGAAATATAGAATAATGTAATTTAAGTCTGTTTCATGCATTAATTTACTTTTGTATTCTACAGTGGACTTCCATTTATAAGGACTAGATATTTTTTAGCAAATGTTTTATTCAAATGGAACATAATTGAATGAGCCACTGACAGACTAAACGACTGTCAATATCCCGTTTTCTGTGTATTTTTTGTTACAATACCAGTTTAAGTTAAAGGTAACAGGTCTATAAATTACAGTAAAATTGAGTCCATCATTGAATATATGTTGTATTTTTTGGCAGATTCTGAAATCTGTGCATAGTGTATAGGTACGGTAGCTTTTTTTGTCCGAGGACGCTAGGCACGAGCCTGATGGGATTGTTTTTCACATTACTTCAGACTACACGTAGGGGTTGCGAATTAAGATAAAATACAGTGGTGATTTGGTAGGATTTGAACCCGGGACCTCAGGCACCGAAGTCCCGTGCTCTAACTACTAGACCAGCTCACTCCCCAATATATAGGTACCCTTAAAGCTGTACATGAGACACCACAGTTTGTTGGACCATTTTTATAGTTCACTTAATTCTTCCAGTAAAACAGAGACCAGCTGTTACTTTAGCTCGATTTATTAAAAATCCAAAGATCGAGGGCAACAGTGGTCAGGCCCGCACTTTGCATGTGACGTGCTATGGGCCCAAGAGATAAATTGCACTCCCCTTCTTTACCGGAAAATGTTTCTCTTCCTTGCGCCTTTAACAAATCTAAAACCTCTTGCGTAGTTTCTAAATAAACAACTAAACCGATTACTAAACAAACAATTAAATTATTTCAAGGACATAAAGAGATGAACTCTTTTTTAATAAGTGGAAGATGTAGTTTATTTCCAGTAATCCAAATATAACATTACCATCAAAATTTTAAGGTTGAAAATCAAATATATTTTCTTAGTAGTAGTACAAAATTGCTTGATCCTATATGATACCTCTGATTATTATCTTTTTTCTAACTACCTAACTAAAATACCAAATGATTTCAAAAAAGAATATAACTGTAGAAAACATAATTCCCACAAGAAGCAAATAAAATATCGGCTTCATCTTCTTCATCTGGAGAACTTCAGGCTCATCAAAGCTAGGATCATCTTCTTCCTCTAGTAAGTGTGTTGTATCATGCTTCGGCCAGCGACGAATCACTGCGGCTTTCCACTGACCCAGCAAGCCTAACTACAACATCAAGAAATGATGAGACCTCTCAATCAAGTGATCTACATAATTAGACAACTTAATTACTTTTCTGAGATGTGGAAAATTCAAAGAGCACTCATGGAATTGCTTCAATGGACACACCAGTGTCTTGTTCTAGGGGTTGGAAAATGCCAACAATTGCAGCAAAACCTTGATCTCAACCATGATGTGAGACAGACACAAAGATGTAGAAAGGCAGATCTTAGTCGTATCAAACAAATCAATATTAACTGGATTAATGTAGCTAAATTATGAAACTGTGGAGTGTTCATGAAAGCTTTTGATCACACTAAGAAAAATCTAGTTCAAAAAACCTAGTTAGCATTTTTAGAAAAAATCCATGAGAGTTTTATAAATATTCAGTAAAAAAACTATGGAACAGTAGTAGAGAACTAAATTACAGTACCTCCAAAAACCGAACAGTCATTTTTGTCAGTGGTTCTAATAAAGGTGAGTTTTTTTCCACACCAAAGGTGATAAAGGTATCACTGGTTACTTCTTCTACCATTCTAAAAGAAGGCAGCGCCTCATGGCCATGTAACCCCATAGTATCAAGAATAATCAGATCATTTCCATATGTTTGAACTAAAAATGTTATCTTTTTATCATAGTATGTCACAGTTTCAACCTCCGACTGCTCAAGGTATTTATAATTCTTCTCAAATAGGCAGTTCCAGTGATTCTGAAAACATAACAAAATTACAATTAGTACACTGATAAAATTGAGTCATGAAAAAGATAACTCTTTAGATTAACATCTATTACAGATTATACACATATTACTACAGATTATAATGAAATTGAATCCATAATTATGAATTTATTTTTGTTAAATATATTTTTTCCTACAGTCACTTGACAAATAGGGCTTCCTTGCACTGATTATAGTACAGAAAGTTGCTAATTGCTGCATACTAATGCAGCAAACATAGTCAGCCATTTATAGCAAACCCTTCTCTGAAGGTGTTCTAGAGAAGGGTGAGAATTTAGAGGAAGCTTCTCTTTAGGTACCAAGCTATTGCCTTGGTTGCTTGCATGGTCGATCATTTGGTCCAGAGCAGCCAAAAGAATAAGCAGAAAGTCCTCTAGCTGAACCAGGATTTTGACCTTATCTTCACCAATGACCAATGGGCAATACAAGCCAGACCAATACAACCAATACAAGGTAGGCCTAATCCTAATGGCCGCTTCTGCACTAGCAATCATGATTAATTGTGGTAAAAAGTTTTAAGGAGAGATTTTATCGAGCAAACTTCTAGTTTTATAATGCTTTATTAGTTAACCAATAGTGGAGTAGTCAAGAAATTTGATGAATAAAGAAGTATAAATGATTGTACACCTGAAAGTTGAACATGGAGTGTCTAATCTCTTCATTTGTTAACCTCAAATAGTATTGGGCAGTCCAGTAGTAGTCACCTTCAACCAACTGACGCAAAGTATCAACACGAGGAGAGTATAGTGGCAGAGTTAAGCTGGAACAAATACCATATATAGAAATGAGAGCAAAAATGTATTGATGTAATACACTACTATAGTAGTACGATTTTTAACTCTACGTCTAGGTACGTAACAAAATGTAGGGAATAGATTGTTACGACTTGTTTTAATCCATATTCATGATGAGAAAGAGATATGAAATTCTTCAAAGAAAATCTGCTGAATAAAAGGTTCGTCCTGAAATGGGCTACAAAAGATCATTGTCCAAAGGACTTTCCCTAAAGATAAAATAAACAATATGTAAAATCTTTGACAAATTTTATCCTCATCCAATAGTTCATCCAACCCCAACCACAGAGAACTTTCACGATTTTTCACGAGATTTTCCACGAGCATAGACTTTCTCTGTTTTATCGAGATCTCAGGAAATGTTCACAATTGCAATCATGGAAAACGTTTTTGATTTTCCCGCAGTTGATTATGATTTTGCCTTGATCACGGAAGAAAATGATGAAGTCTCCACGATCATGGGGTATGCTTCCAATATCACTGTCCCCCCGGGATAATTTCATAATTTTTCCGCCATTGCAAAATATGTGCAACGTATTTCAACGTAATTTAAAATTGTCAAAACTCACTCAGCTATTGTTGAGTTATGACTCAGATAAATCATGGCTTACCTATGACATAAGATCCTTGGAAAACGCAAAGTTGGAATGCTGTTCCCGCTCTACTACACCACTGATGGTTATACAATCAGTACTAGCAGAGCTGGCCTTGGGTGGTGAGGGGTCCAGGGCAAACATTTAGAGTGGGCCCCTTACTACCAAACATATTGTATCCCAAGAATAATAATACAAATCTCAATGTTTAATATTTGTATTGATAGTCTCCTCTTTATCTTATTTTCAATTTTTGTTGTATTTTGCACCAGAGCAGGGCCACTTGAGGTGCGAGGCCATGTGCGGCTGCACCTAAGGCCGGCTTTGACTACTAAATGCAATTGCAGTAAAGTGTGAAACATTGAAACATTTGATAATTTTCTTTGTACTATATGTACCTGCAGTAGATGCCGCTTGAGAGCATAGTAGTCAGCAGTAGAGAGAAGATGGACCAGATGGTGAGCACGTAGCGAGAGAAGCTGTCAGTCTCTAGGTAGCTGTGAGAAGTGGATACGGTGAAGTGTCCGAATACAGCTACAGCACTGAACGTCCAGTCTATCCCAGAGTTACAAAATATACTTCAACAAAAAATAAGAAGTATTTTTTAATCACTCTGTATACAACAAAAATAGCTCATTTCTGGACAGTTGAGCATTACTAAATAATCAATTTCCAATCTATCAAAACATGATTTTGACTGTACTAAACAATACTTTTCCTGTTCCAAACAAATGAAGTTCCTGTTTGGCTCAACAGGAACACTAATGCACATATTCTTTCATTGTGTGAATTTTATGACACCTGACTGAAATTTGTACTTGAATGCAAACTTGAAATAATTAGGATTTTGGAATATTTTTTATTTAAAACCAAGTCCAGGCAATGAAAAGGCATAGAGGGAAATGTTTGGAACACTATTTCTGACTTTGTAACTTTGTTTGGTACCTATAGTTAGGAAGCAAACATACCAAAAGTCCCCGCCTCTAGCCCTTGTGCTGTGGGGGAAAAGGGGGCTTGAAGGTACCATTTTTTTGTTTTTTGCTTTAAAATTTGAATGGAAGAAGGTAAACTAGTAAAGTCATATATTTTATTGAAGAGAATTTGATTTTCTACAACCCTATGCCATTTATTTTTAGGGTGCACAGTTAGGGAGTTAACTTGTAAAAAAGAACAAAAAACACAAGAAAAAATATATTTTTCTAAATTTTTAAACTTTTGATGGTAAATAATGCAAAAAGCATACAAGATATTGAAAAGTTGTAAATTACAAACTTGCTGGCAATTTAATAAGCTTTCATTTTGTTTATTACCATAATTTTGCTTGGACGCATGGTTTCCTAGATCTGCAAACAACCGAAAAATGGTACCTTCAAGCCCCCCCTCCCCCACAGCACAAGGGCTTGAGGCAGGGACTTTTGGTATGTTTACCTCCTAACTATATTAAATAAAGTTACAAAGTCAGAAATTGTGTTCCGAAAATTTCCCTCTATACCCTGTTTTGAGCATTCGTTGCCTGAACATGTAACAAATTTCACATTGCACACAATGTATTCAATTTCACAATGTACGAATTCACATGTAACATGTGAACATACTAACTTTTTGGTTTTTTAGTATAAGAGACAAAAATGTTTGGGTATTTTACCGTTCTGATAAGTTCTAATTCTTCTGCTTATTCCAATCCAATATACAACAGATGTCACCGCAAAAGATAGCAAAGTAACGAGCCAAACTTCAGGTTTAAAGATTGCTACAAGACTCTTCCAATCAAAATCCATCTGCTCAGGTCGTCGCACTATAAATCCAAGAGAGGCCTAAAACAGAGCTATTTTTCATTCAAGTAAATTACGAGAACTTTCTGTAAATTAGGGTCTCCATCAAGATCTCATTGCAGCCAACACGTCGTTCCTTACTTCATCCCCTATCTATTTCAGCTGGTCCCACCCCTGTGGGATGATCGGTCTTGTCATTCCAAAATGTGAAAGAAAATTGAAAAGTTTCCATGGTACACTATGACTGCTGTTGTTCAGTCTCATTCGAAGCAGTGACCTAAGTAAAGGGCATTTTGCCTGCGGATCACACTATGAATAAATTAGGGAGATTAACCAATTAATTGTCTCTATTAGACAATCAAAAACTACAGTCGGCCCTGGAAACCTGTAGCGTAGCAAACAAAGCCTCATCAAATTCAATACCTAGCAGTCTCAATGAAAACTTATGAATATCCGCTGCCAGCTTCGTTGTGCAAATACGGGCATCTACAAACTCCCTAATACTTTAATACTTTAAATGGCAACCATAGGCTACGATTAAAAGCCAAAGCCAAGTATTTTAAGCCAAGTAGCCACTAATGCACATTTTCTACATTGAAACACCTTTCTGCAAACACATTTGTCAAATAGCAACAGTAATGAACAGGGATTGATCCCCTTCCTACAGAAACCTAGTCACACACAAAGTGATTCATATTTGGCAGGAGCGAAAATTTGCACAATGTTTTAATACTATGACGAGACTAATCGTTAGGAGTGGAAACCAGCTAAAATAACAGTGAATAAAGTAATGAACACGACGTAGGTCTCGACTTTTAACTATAGTTTGCTCGACTGGGACGAGAGCTTGATGGGAACCTTTACTTACAGACAACCCTTGTAAATAAAAAAAACGTCTAATTTTAGAAAATAATATAATGTGGTATGTGTATGTTCAGTGTCTCAGAATTTGTTGTATAACGAATCTGTTGAGAGAGAACTGAACAAAACTTGACAAAGACATGAGACTACCTTGGTTATGGTGGGACCGAAGTCCATGATTTTGTGGAGAGAAGAGAACTCCCAAATGTTGGCAACTGCTATCCGAGTTTTGCCCTGCTGCATGGCCTGACCAACCCCACTCTGCCATACCCCGTCACTGCCCACTTCTCCCCAGTTGTAGAAGACGGAGTAGCTCACCGTAAAATTGAGTTGCTGGCACAGTTGGCGGAATAGTAAGATTTCTATCCCATCAAATGTTTCTGGGAACAAAAACAGAGTGCAAGGGGTTTTTTATGTCCCACCTTCACTGAACTGTTTTACACATTTCTTGAAGCTCGGCATCGAGGTTTGCTGGGTTATCTTACAGTAGACTGACTCCCTCTTATCCGGAAACCTTTAACCGGACATTGGTTTAACCGGACCACACTCGGTAGAAGTGACATCTCTTTATCCGGATAATTTTTATCAGCATATCGGTTTAACCGGACTAGATCGGCAGGAAGTGTGCAGTACTGAAACGACTGTTCTCTTGGGAAAGATTTGAGACCAGTGATTACGTGTCTAAATACAATGCTCTCCTAATTTTAAGTCAAATACTGTATAGAGTATGCATTTAAACAGTCTGTTTTAATGAGATTTTGGGGACGTCGGTTTAACCGGAAAAACCGTTATCCGGTCTCGGTCCAGAGGAGTCCGGATAAGAGGGAGTCTACTGTAGATTAAATCCACTGGTGATTGGCAACTGGCGAGATTGAAATCTGGAACCTTGGGATGGAAGGCCAGTGCTCTACCAACAGACTAGCTCACTTCCCAGTACAATGGAAGGAGTAGAGAGTATGTAGATGAAAAAATATATATTATTCTGAGTTAATTTGATACTCATGTTCCTTTAAATAATTCATCATATATTTTGGTATTTTTGTTTCACCTAGACGGATATATATTTTGGACATTTCAATTGTCGAGCAAAGTAAAGCATGAGGGAAGCTGATACAGGACCTAAGGAAAATATTTATGATGGGTTATTGGCTGAGGTCTAGGAGATTCACACTGGAAACTACTTTCTTTCTTCTACTAAGTCTTTTGTACAGTTAGTGTAAGGCTTATTGGTTTTTGAACCATAATCTTAATTTATATACAATGATAACTCCTTTTAACCAGCCTATCATTAAAACAATAACCTTAGGCTTTTAGTGGAGTTGGTTCTTTGAGGTGGAAAGTTTTTCCTTACCTGAGAGTGATTTTATTTTCTAGATAGGGAGTCAACGGTTTAATGTGGATTCTGAACCACCGAGACATTAGGGTGATTAGAAGGACTTGAACTCCTATACTCCTTGTACTCGGGGATTGTGACCCTCAGTACAGAAGTCCGACACTTCAAGTACTTGATCAGCCACCCCCTGTCTCCTGAATTCTGCTACATCTAGTCTACACTTCTCTGTGTTTTTGACTGTTTATGCTTCAACTTAATTTACAAAGTTTAGAGTTTTACCTGGCTTGTCTACTCCATCTGGGGCTATAAGAAACGGTGGATACAGCATGAAAGCTCCTACGATATGAGTTCCTCTCAAATCTTCCCTTATACTCTTCACTCGATGGTTCAATACCTGGTCGACACTGCTTCTTACAAAACTCCGAGGGTGAGAGAAAACCGAACTCAGTTCAAAAATAGAAAACGGTTGGAGAGATAAAATTACCACTTCTGATGATATGCTTTCATTCAAAAAATTTTCCAAATCTGTCAGATTCGATGGTGGGGATTTATAAAGAAAGTAAATTGGAATTTGGAGAACTTCCGTATGGAATGTTTCAAAATCACTACACATTTTTGTACCTAGCAAAACAACACTTTCACAGAAGAACAATGGACTATTTTTAAAACCAACCAAAGTAAGTGCTTGAAACCTTATTCTTGTGTAGTTAGTGAGAATGTAAAATAAATCATCGTCGTGAGAAATAACGCACAGTGATGAAAATGAGTTGAATAAAGAAAACCCCTTGAAAACAGAATTTCCTAAACTTAAGTTTAAATCAGTTTTATACCTAAAAGATAAAGCACTTGGCATCACTGTAATAAAAACCGAGCAAATCAATGTGATGAAAAATACTTTGCCAACGATGCCTCTACCAAGCTTTGAGGAAGTCATAAAACAAATATAGACCAAAACAACTGATCATTACTGTACTAGGGGGAAAACTGACCAACGTGACACTCATGCCTTTATCAATCCTTTTGAATAAACAATTAGTTCATGATGATCTTACTTTAGATAGCCTGACAATTAAACAGTTCAATGCAAATATTTACATATCATAAACACATCACTGTTGATTTTTAAATGCACACATAAGTTAAAATATTGCTAGAATGATATATGGTTTGTATTAACTGATAATTCAGGATATCATATTATTCCATTTCAAAAGATTGCGGGTTCGATCCTGAGAGCTTTTTATGGGTTCGAAACCAATTAATTATTAGGAACTGTTGGGTCTGGTTTTATAAATGAGAGTTTAGGGTAAAATCCAGATGGCTGTGGCAGTGAACTGTCATAGTACTGGGTTGTTATGGGAGCAAGTAAACATAACCTAGAAAATAAATCTGTGTTTATGAGGTACTGAAAAAAAACTGGAGACAGCAAGATTTCAAGAATACAATAGATTAGTCAGTAAAAAAAGCTACATAATCATCTCACAATTCTACACTCATCCTTCACTCAAATTTAGGTTAAAATAAGCTTATATATGGTGTCCCCATCTCAGTGATTGATAATTGAATTTATCATTTGATAAATTTACAAGCTTGTGCAGAAAAAAATGATTGAGGGTTATTTGGTTTAGATTCCTTACTGTAAGCCTTAAAATTCCTTTACACTAATCACGAGAATATTGTTAAGTTTTAAGGAGGGAGCATGTTACTTTCTTTGTGTCAACTTTTAAAAATTTGGTTTTTAACAACTTCATTGTGGATTCTATTTAGACACAAAGGAAGAAAAGAATGTTTATGAACAATTACGCTTTATTAATTTTATTATCATAAAAAATACTTTGTCCAGTTGTAAGCTAAATTTTGTAAGTTTTAATAATTAATATTTTTTTATTTTTTAATAATATAGCTATGATAAACACTGAACAAAATGATTCTCTTGAGATAATGATTTATTACTGTTCCTATTTTTTGGGCAATAAACCATTCTTTAATCCTTAATCGTCATTATTTCATGCAAAGTAAAAACTATAGGATTGGAATCCAAAACCAAAATTTACTAGCTAAAAAATATTATCTTAAAGCAAACAATGTTTTTCCCTATCTATAAGGGGTTTACAAATCATAGATTGGCAAAATACATAACAAATGAAAACATTTATTATTTCTAAAATATCAATTTAAGGTAACGAGGGGTTCTGTTGATGCAGTGATCAGTTAAAGTCAAATATACATGCAACTTTACACACACAAACACACAGTACAAACTGATGAGTAGGCACGCACAGCAGTTCTATTCTGACATGCAAAATAAAAGATAAGAATTTATGCCAGGTCAGCATGGTTTTGTGATACTCTATATCACTTGTTTATACACTTTTGTCAAATGGACAAGTAAGAATGATTTATGATGGTTTGAACAGGTTATCATGACCTGGCTGATTAAGATTAAATTTATTAGATAATCATCGGCACACATCATTAACATTATGCATTTCTCATTTGATATGGTCATGCGATTTAAATAATTGTAACATTTTATTTTGATAAATAATTAAACGATTAGAATGCTCTAACTTTTAAAATCTTTGGCAAGAAAGACAAATGTACTGAACAGGTTTGAGAGTCTACGTCAATAAAGGAGTAGCAGCTTTGAGTGTAACACTTAACGTAGATATTAATAAAGAATAAACACAGTCAATCAGAATGTGGCTCATGTTTAAACAATATTTGGTTAGCTGCTCAATTTGTCTATTGTGGACAGTGTCAAGGAAGTTGCATGAATGCTCTTAATGAAGTCATGTGAACACAAATTAAATCTGTTATTGATTGCAGGTTTGACTTGGTACAAGGCACAGCCAAGGCCACACTAAAAAAAACAGGCCGTAATGCTCATCAAGCATGACGTCACGATAGAAGACGGCAATGACGTAATTTTGCCGTTTGTGATCAGCTGCTTGTTTTAATCTTTCATTGGAAAACAAATAAATAAATACTTATACGTCATAGCCGTCTTCTATCGTGACGTCATGCTTGACAAGCATTACGGCCTGTTTTTTTAGTGTGGCCTTGGCACAGCTTTGCCAATGAGCACATTTGACTTTTAATGACCACTATTTCAAATCTAGATCAACTTTGAACACTTCGCACCTCTAAATAATTGTGGCCATTAATCCTCACCTGAGGAATAGCCGCAAGTACAGTTTTAGTTAAAACCTACATTTCCTGTGTCAATTGTTTGGCCAAGAGAAAAAAATGTCCATTTTTAGTTGTCTTAAAAAAATAATGTAAAAGATTCAGGTTTATATAAAACAAACGTTTTAATCTTTGGATTTTTATTGAATAACAATAGGAAGGTCCTGCTAAAACAGCAACAATAATGGCACACTCATAATAAACTAAAAGTTCACTCTTAAATAATCAATTGTAATCATGACTTAATATGATGGTTTGAAAAAATATGATATGTAAAATACAAAAATTACCTTCGTTTTCGTCTAGGATAGAACACTAATTCAAATGTATTTAACAAAATTGAGTTTACATTGATAAAATACTCGAAGTAGCCTAATACATCAATTTTACAACAAAATGTTAGCTCAAACTTAATATGTATATATACATTTATAACCTTTTTTGGTGAATATGATTTATCCCTGAAGAATCTAACCTCTGTCCCCAGATTTGCAACATTTTTGTACAACAATAGAGCTCAAAAATAAAAATCTTTAAGACAAACTAAGCACGTACTTAATTAAAATTAACAGTGAGTTCTAACTAGTGTTGCTTTAGCTTTTGCAAATATTAAAATTGTTAAAACATGCATGCTTATTTTACAATATTTTTTCATCAAATCCCCAGTTTTAATCTTAATAATACAACTATCAGCCAAATAAATATAACTACACAAGTAACTACTATTGCAAAAATATAGGCGTGTATTTAAATTTAAAATACCAGATGTATAAAACTCAAATATATATAAACGGTATAGGCCTACTAAATGAGCAAATAAGCCACACAGGGAAAAAATTAATTGTGACAAAAACCTTGTTCTTATCACTTACAAGTAACGTCAAAATCAAAATTGGCATTTCACATAGAAACGTTTTAGGAGATTAGTTCCTAAAATGTTAACAAATGGTAGAACACTGGCAACAACTAACTTAATCATACAACTACAGTCCTCACTGCTCACTATGATTGACTTCAACTTGACATCACTGATGTATGGAAACCATCAAAGTAACTGAACAGTACGACTAAGGGCATCAGATGTGGAACTGATTGGCAAGAAATTTGTATGTTTTCCATGTTAGGCTTGTCACACACTGCGTTCGGTCCAGTAAATTATGATCAGCCGTATCCGTCAAATCTCCACACACTGCATCAGGCATTCCAGTTCCGGCAACCGGTCTATGAGAGGACAGTGGTGCTGTGAGTTGGAGAATTTTTTGCCAACAACAAATTAGATGGTTAACCAAATTTTTCGAAGCAATGAGTGAAAGTGACAGTGAAGAAGAGATCTTTGTAGTTGCAGCAGCTCTTGCCTCGGATGAGGAAGAGTATCGGCAACAGAAGAGGTTGTGGGTACATAGTACAAAGTACAAACTCTAGTAGAGAAAAATATGAGAGAGAATTTTATACCTTGTTTCCCCGTTTGATTAAGGACAATAAAAAGTTTTTCTAGTACTCCCGAATGAGTTTCGAGACATTTATGGAACTTCTCTCTTCTAGAAACATCAATAGTAAAATAAAATGATGAGTAGAAGTCATCTGCGCATGTGCAAGCTCTCCGAAGCCTATCGCTTTCCAACCAAAAAAATCTTAGCGGACCGAACCTGACCGCATGCAGTCTAGGGACTTCCATTTGAATGCATGGTCTTTAAATGGTTTCCGAATTTTCCTGAAGCCTGATCCGATTTTACCGTACCGGTGGCAGTGTGTGACAAGCCTTGCATGTTTTTTACAGTACAGTAAAAAGTTCCACCATCCACAAAATCACTTGTGACATTGTGTTGGAATGTCCAAGACATATAAGTCACTAGATGTAAACCTTTGTGACACTGTGGTGGCTAGCACATTCTTAACAGCTATTCAGCTTGGACTAGTACTACAGTACTACACAAGTAATAGGTCCATCTGGTTCCTACCATAGCAATAAATTGATAGAATCTTAGTTTTTAAAATATCTTTTTTCATTTGAGACAATCTCAAAGTATAGTATCACATAATGTGCCTACACGACGTAGTTTAGTTTTCACATGGACAGAAAAAAACAGACAAATTCATTTAAGGTGTATGACTACCTTAAGTTCATGAAGGTAGATAAACTAAATTCAATTTACAATAGTTGTGATGTATAATTGGTAAAACTTCCAGACACCGAACAGTGGTGTATTACAAAATTCAACCTATTAAAGTTCTTCAAATGACACCCTGATTACTAAGAGGTGGCAGCTTTGAAAAATAACTTTATAATCTTAAAAAAAAAACATTTTGGTAAGAACAATAGTTATTTGTGCAACTATTGAGCAAAGTGAGCAATTGCCTCACTCAAGAGAAATCCTTACTCACAAGCCGTAGGCGAGTGAGGAATGGTTTCTCGAGCGAGGCTATTGCACTTTGCACTCGAGTTGCATTATATTTTTCCTACAGTTAACATAAAACAAATAAATTGGTAAAGAAACGTGCCTTCACGTTGCAAATCTGGAGTGAGACAAAGTAATGAGAGTGAGATAATGTTAACATTGTCTCACCGATGAGCGAATTGGACACTTTTGTGCCTTCATGTTGCAAATCTGGAGTGAGACAATGTTAACATTGTCTCACTGATGAGCGAATTGGCCACTTTGCTTTCTCAAATCAGTGCGAGAACATGTACATTGTTAGGTAACTGTAGGAAAAACAAATTTTGTTTATAAAAAAATTGGATGGTGCCATTTTTTCATTGGTTAAGTGTTGTATGAACTACCGATTTTTTGTGAGCAGAAAAACGTTCCAGCCACAACACACAAGTTGGGTGTCGGGCAGTTATACCATATAATTTGGTGCTAAATAGGAACTAATGCTACATGGATGAGTACTAGGTGGTAATGGGTGGTGTACAACAGTACAAATTGATGAATTATTGCCATTATTGGCTATAAAGGGAACTCATGATCACAGAGTACCTACTGAGGTGTGAAGTTAGGTTATTTTACCATGGTAACTTAGTTTTATGGTTGGGTCCGTGTCCTAAGCCAGGTGTTGTTTCCCAGGCCAGTCCTTTATTACTGCCGCTTGACTGAGGCACTGGGGAACAATACACGGGTTAAGACACGGACCCAACCATAGGCCATCTAGAACTAGAGTACTTCCTGAGACAGATTCTAACCATTACCCTGGTTGCAAGTGAAATCTCTAACCTCTATGCAAGGTTGGATTATAAACAGTATAGGCATAGAGGAGCTACTAACAGAGATTCATTATTTTGTTATGTTAATTTTGTGTCTTGTTTGTTTAAATACAATTGAATCAGGAAGATTACTAAGCTTAACATAACCAAACAGTTTTTAAGGACTTCTGGAGTTGCATATTGCAAAGATAAATTCTCATTATTGACTGACAAAATACAATTCAAGACCTTTTTGTGAGATGTTAATCAAATATGCTCATTCTTTATACCAGCCTTTGGAAACTTTCTTGAAATGAAGGAAACTCTTTAAATAGGTACTCTGTATTCATCAATAAGGACCCTAAAAGCTTGATGAAATTTCAAACAGAAGAAAGTAAAACATGTAAACAAAGACGGTAAAGCTATGAAATATTTTCAAACAAAATAGTTTATAGGCGTACACACTACATGTGTCTTAGCTGTTACAGACTTCTTTTGTGATCTGATTTTTTAACAAATTGAAAATTAACAGTCAAGAGGACTAGGATATAAAAAAATACATAATCCACTCACTGATTATCAAAAAGTGATTATAAAACAAAAAAAATTAAAGACAACATAAAACATAACATAAAAAATATAAATGTAAAGTATCGGTACGAAATTTGAATTAAGATTTGATATTGAAATGATTTCATTGATCTTTTTTCTACTCCATACCATTGTAGGTAATATAATAAGCAATATTTTGGAAAACTTAAAAAAATCACAATTTTCTAATCCAAGAAATACCTTTACAATTCCAAACTTACTTCATACTTTGATGAAAAAAAATACAATATACAGCCTTGGATGGCATCACTAGGTCCAATTTAAACTGAAGAGGAAACTATTCTCTGAGCATATTGAAACGCACCTGCACATTTCACCTACAAAATGAACCTATAAAATTGGCAAATTTCATAATGTAGTTGTTTTTCTAAACCACGTTAGCTAATCAATAAAAGGTTACAGTACCTGCAAAAACCCACAAGGCAGTCTGCAGGTACTGTAACCTTTTATTGATTAAATTGGCAAAGCATTGCAGAAATCAACTACAAACACCTAACCTGTTGGGGTCCCATTAACTGAAGGTAAAGACACTTTCGTAGGATGAGGTTACGACCTCTATCTACATGTGATATACAAATCACTCAGACCTAAATGTATAGTTAAAAAAATCAAATATACAAAAAGGCAATTCTGTGTCAGGGTGCTGCCTTCCTTTGTGGAATATTTTCTGGTGTTGTTAATAGTACATACCAGTATTATGTTTGCTTGGGGACATGATTAATTTTTTGGATATTTGGAATCACAAACTATCATTATTGGAGTTCAAATAGTTTAAATATTGATTTGCTTTGATTATAACAAATATAATGATGATAACGATTTTAACGATCATGATGATTATAATAGTTTATACACATAATAACAATTGGTTTATTTGGTTACTGTCTTAAAATCAACTGGACAGGCATGATTTTTACATAGTTAATCATAACTTAGTTTAGCTTTTGCATTATAACCGGTATAATTACGTACCTATGGTGTGGAACGTATCCAGTGAAAGCTGGACCCCAACAGTATAAACACCATACATCTCATTCTACACAACATGTTTAGTAGATGCTCTACCTAAGCTACCTTTGCTTGACAGTTCCAGTACTTACACCTCGTTTAGATCCTGCACAGTAATGTTATTTACACAGCTAATACATCAGGTACCGATTCTACATATTCTATTGAGCTACTTTTACACAACCTCCAGCAAAGCTTCCGAATCCATATCGGGAACCTGTTTGCCGTCTTCTACAGACATTATTCCGTTCACATCGGTTTCAGTCGAGGTGTCCTGTTCTAACGTTTCCATCTCTTGGTCGTCAGGTTTAGGTAGTAGTTCTCGGAAGAGTGATACCGACTTTGCCTCTAAGTTAGCTTTCTCCGCAGAGGTCATGTAGACCTTTACAAAGCGCAAGGCATCAACAGGCGTTGACGTTCCAGCAGCTATAGCCTTTCGCTTTAGACCTACAGAATCAGAATCAGAATTACAATCAAAAAATCTTAATTCATATTTTAAAATATGCACATATAGGGTCAAATGTCAGTCTCGGAATAAAAGCTAATTTTTTTACGTTTGTATTTCATTCCAGAGGAAAACTGAAATTACATATGTTAAGTTTTATTCCAGCAGAGATTTTAAACAAATCCCTACTGCTAAAAAAGTTTTTTTTTTTAGAGCTCTAAAACTTCTCTTTCTAACAACAAACTAAGAACTGTTCAGAAATGGAGGGAAATGAATGCAACCTGTTGTCCTATTGGAGGGCTACATTTTACAGCTGGTCCAATGACCTGCAGGTATAAAAATGGTGGCAAATTTAAACTGTTCAAATGTGCCCCATTCTCCCCTATGTTTAATTTTACCTTTCTTTATCCTAGCTTCCTTGGGACTGTAGTAATATCCGGGGTATTTTACTTTGTGCTCTTCGTCTGCTTTCCTAGCCGCAGAGTAATAAGTTTCCTTGGAATCTGCATCTAGATTCTTCCACATTGAGCCGAGTCTTACCGATATTTCTTTGTTACTTTCCACTAGAAAAATACAATATTTGAATTAGAATTGAATCTTACACTTGCTAGCTTTTGGTATTAGTAAAACTAGTGATATGGTTTCATTACGGTGGTGGAGGGGTTACAGGATCCACTGCTAAACATAAGTGCCCAGCTCCAATTTATCAATGGGCTTGAAAATCATCGGCCTGGCTAAGAACTTTGGTAATTATCCTTTGAAAAAGAGAGCTATTGGTATGCCAGTCATAAGGAGAACTTGAGTCCAAGACTACAAATTTGACAATGATTTGAAATTAAATTTTAACACTGGATACACACAAATCGCCATTTGAAGATCAATACTGTTATCAATGATACACAAGAAAATAATGTATCTACAATTTGTAATGAATGCTGTGAGGTTTAACAATTGATGAGTTTATACACACTCATTTATTTCTTCATGCCACAATTGTAATTTGTTTAATTGAACTTTTATCAACCATCCAAAATGTGTGTAGCGTAGAATATTACTACAAAACTTTATGGAAACCTTATGGGACTTATGGTCAAGATTTTTACTCAACTTACTTTGAATTTAATCAAAAATGTTTCCTATGTAAACACCCAATTAATAAGAGAATAATTATTACTTGTACCTATTAGCTAGAGCAAGTTGACCACAAAGATCTGAAAATGAACCCAACGCTAAAGTGAATTCTTACCTGGGTATTCCAATGCAAGTTTTCTTCTCCAGTCGTTGGCAAAGATCATAAAAGCGTTGGGCGGTCGTGGGATTTTACAAATCTTTGGCCGACCCCACTTTCCCCCGAGAATGCTTGGTGATCTTTTTGGCCACAAGTAACATTTTGCTGATGTGGACGTGCCTTGATCTTCTTTTTTCGTTATAACTTTGTTTTCATTGGGATGCTCCCCCTGAGCAGCAGCTGGAACCAGTGTATTTTTAAAGCAGTTAAAAATAATCTTAAAACACCAACTTTATGTAAATCATTAAGGATACGACCATACGGGTGTTTTTTCACGCAAGAATAGAGTGTGAAAATACGCGAGAAATATGAGCAGCATTAAATGTTTTCCAGCAGTAGCACAGTAGAGAATGAGCTGGGGTGTATTTTTGAAGTTTGTTCCTGGCCACACGGGCGAGAGCAGCACGCAGCGTCGCTCAAGTGGTCCTGGCAAGTTTAAATCATGATAAATGTATTTTTTTCCAGAATGGCGTAAAATATTTTTGGGTTTAGCGAATTACACAGTACACGTTTTATCCTAAACATACGTCGACTTTACTGGACCACTTAATCGTTTGTTACTAAAAGGAAAGAAATTAAGTTTCACTAAAGAATGTGAAGAGGCATTTACGTAGGGCAATATTTTTGTTATTTTCAAAGATATGATGAAAATCTTGTTAGAAATTAGTTTAAAATATGTCCTAAATAGATTTATTTTATATTTAATTTGTTTAGGCCTATACCAAACGTAAATAATTAAATGAAAGATTAACAAAATCAAATCATTTTAGTGTTGTTTTCGTATTGAAATTTACCAAACAAGTTTACCATTCCAGCCATGAGGAAAGATATACAACATAATCACACAAATTCATCAATCAACTGCGGGTTCCCAGTGAGTTTTGCCACTCCTAGACTTCAACCGGTACGAAAATAAGCGATGGAAAAAAAGCACGTGTGGTCAACAACATTGGAAATTCAAGTAGCATGAAAATTAGCTAGTATTTATCGCATGAAAAAGTGCCTGTGTAGCCGCAGCCTAAGGGTGAGTAAACCTATAATTGACTTATTGGATCTAAAACAATAACTAAAATGGCACAGAATTATTTTCTTAATCACAATAATACTGTATAATAAATTGTTATATGTTTAATATAGATGTAGGAATAAGTATTGTTGGCTCTTGTTTTTAGTTAAATAATTCATTTGGATATAATATTTTTTTTATTTAAATACCTTAAGATATGTTTTTTATTTGTTTTTATATGTGAATATGAACAAATTATGCTATTGTAGAAAAATTTAAGTACTTAAGTAACCAAGTGCTGTTAATTTGTAGGTTTGAATAATATTGTCGTTTCATATTTTGAAATAATTTGTTACAATAAATTAATACTAGTTTCTATAGAATTTAGTCCAGGCATCCATAGATTAACACAATCTGTAGTTTTTGCTTGGTGAAGACTGTACATTATACATTTTACTTACCAATTCTTATGGACGAGACAGCCTGGCGTAAAATATTTGGTCGTTTCCTTTCAACAACGTCAGTTTGATTTCCTTCAGTCATAGTTTCCTTGGATTCTTTCTAGACATAAACAGTATATTTTTAGTTAGGTAAAAGAATACCGTGCATGTAAAGTAAATGGATAATTAATCGATCGTCTTATTCTTGAGTCGCAACTATCATCATTCATACCAGTCATGAAGTTTGGGGAAAGCAGATGAAATAAATAAAACATTAGAATTTTTGTATAAGGGGTTTGTTTCTAGATTTATTCAATATTTACATTTTCAAACATATTTTGTTACTACTGTATCAAACCAGGCTCCAATAGTTAAAATATTTGTTTAACTATACAGTACTCAAAGTTTTGAATATTCGCAAACCTTGTTAAAATGTTAAGTTACGACTTGCCTGAGTTACCAATGTTGCCAATGAGAATCAGGTTTTTGGCAAGGTCTCTTGCAATCAGACCTAAAATTCATACACCCCCATATACCAAGAGGTAGAGACAAACGTCACAACATTTACATTCTCCTAAAAATACTTGAATATTTGACAGCAAAAATAAAAGCCACTCTAAAACTAAAAAAACCTTTTAAGTAAAAAAAAAAAAAATCATACAGGATGAACTCCAATTATCCGAACAAACTCCAACCATCTCAATCGCCGCCGATTATCTGAATCACTTAGGCCTACAGAGAGAATTAAAAAAAAAAACATAGAATCACAAAAATTTGAATCCTTTTGTTGAAGAAAACAGAAGGCATGGGTGTGGCGAAATCCAAAAACTCTCCAGCGGTCATTTTTCCATTCTCTCCCACAGTCACAGAAATGGTGTTACAGAAATAATCATTTCCTCCTGCGGTCTTAGAAACATCATCTTCGTTTTCGTAATCATATTTAATTCCCGATTATCTCCCGCGGCTATGGACACATGATCATGGTCTACCGTGGTCACGGAAAATCATTAACGTCCTCAGCTACTGCTTTAAGCTTGAATTTTTGGATTGTAAAATCTTTGCAGATGATTTTTGCAATTGCAGTAGTAATTAATTGTGTTTTCTCGACTGAGCCCATTTTCTGTAGAATACCCTGAATTTCGGTAAAAATCCAATCATCCAAATGTGTTATATTCCAAATTAATTTGTATAGTTGGAGTTCTACTGCACTATTAGACAGCAGTATGTCAAAAGTTTATTTTACAACTTATCAATCTAAAATATAACAAAGTTTTTACGTCTTTGAAAAGCTCCTTCATAATCTACTTGAGTTCATGAAACCTGTGTTAAACTAACCATGTCAATGATGAGCCTCGGTGAGTCCCAGCCAGCGACTGCCGCCTCAGGCTCCTCATCTATGTCTCGTATGTCTGGGGGCTCAACTTTGATCTGTGAACAAGCAAAGTAAATCAACTTCATCCAATGTATACTGTATAGGATGCATGCTACGACAAATTAAATCAAATCTAGACCAATTTGAAAAGATTTGACTTTCAAACCCTCCACCAACTAACATGTAGTAATCTGGGTAATGGCACATCAATTGTTGAGATTATGCAGGCGTATTTTTGAAAATTCATATAAATTCAATCAATAGAGCAAACCTATTGAACCATTTACATACACTGCACGGAATATAGTAAAGAATTTGAAAATTGCAAAACTGTAAATATTTAGAAGTACTGTAATTTTTGCAATAAAGTAGAAAAAAAAGAATCACTTTATTTGTAAGTTGTTTGTTGTAGGTTGAAAGGAAAACTTTGTTTCATGAACAGGAGTTTTATATGGGAAATCCAAGATAAGATGTTTTTAATTTACTTATCTGTATATAAATGTTAAAAAATCCAAAATATATTTTTCTCTAGGTAGTCATGAAAAAAAAAAATACAAATAAAATTCAACTGCACTAAACAGATTTTTCAGTATGTAATGGATTTTGAATATGTATGTAATGAATACCTCCAGTGGTCACGTGGACATGAAAATTGTGACTCACGGTCATAGAAAATTATCATTGTTTTCCCTGATCGCAGCAAAATCTTAAACATCTTCTGCGGTTCTGTACACATCATCATCGTCTGCTGCGGTCACGGAGACTTGTTATCATTTTTCCTGATTGCAGCAAAATCTTAAGAACAACTTCCTTGTCTTTTAGACATCATTTTCATCCCCACAGTCATAAAAAATTATAATTGTCCTCCTCAATTGCGGCGAAATTGCAATATCTTTGCGAACACATTCTACAATCGCAATAGTAAAAGCTCAACTAGACTTAATTTCTGTAAAATACCAAAAGTTTTGGAAAAAATCCAAATATCTGAATTTGTGATGATTAGCTCTGAATTTGGTATGGTTCCAACTGATTCAGATAGATGGAATTATTCTGTAGGAGCGTTACACAAGTGGCCTACCGTGGCGGGCAAGTCATCATCAAACTCCGGCTGGGAAGACGAGGTAGAAGTCTGAGAGTGGGCCTCACTATCCTTTTCTGCAGAGGTTTGTCTTGTAGTTCCCTCTTCGTCCTAAACCATAAACAACGCAAAACGGTAATGTATTTATCCAATTTATTTCGGCCTATGAAAAATAGAAAGATTGTAGGCCTAACCATTAATATAAGCAAACATCAATATTATTAATATTAAGCATCATCGGCTAAAAATATTTTCAAGCACAATCCCCATAAATTAGGTATGCAAAGACAAAAAAGAAACGCTTGTTTCCGCATGACTGAAGAGTATAGAATGCTTTCAATCACATAGTATTTCTACTCAAAATAATTTTCAAGATCTTAGGTAAATGCCATAAACATATATTGAGCATGAACAAATTAAATATTGTAGCAAAGTCCTTTAATTGTTTGTTTCAGCCTCTTCAAATATTTAAATTGCAACAAAACCACTAAAAATGGATTTTCTACCACAAATAATTCAACGATACTTTGTATCCTACATTTAAATGCAGAGAAGTACAAATTTACCGTTGACTTTCTTGTGCTGTGCTTCTTTGTATCTGACTGACACAGATGTTCAAGAGCATCATTCTTCTGGATTTGTCCTTTCTCATACTTGTTCCTTACATTTGACAAACCTTTGACCTGTAATGTTTCTGCTGCTAATAACAACCCACCTAGATCTGCTTCTTGAACCTGTAGTACATATAGAAAAATATGATCTTAAGTTATGACTTACTGTCGGGGAAATAAATATGTGCACTCGAGTTTGAGCCTATATATCTCTGAGACGAATTATCCGATTTTGTTGAAACAAAAATTAAATGTAAGCTTGTTTAAATACATTTTACGTGGTAACAATTTAAAAAATTTCCGTTTACCAGAAAAATTTATATAGTTGAAAGATTCAAAAAAGTACAGGTTTTTAAGAAACTCTGCACTAACACTGAAGTTTAAAAATTAATTGTAAACAAACCACTGAGCCAATCTTTCTGAAATTTTTATGGCTTATTAGTAGGTTTATTGTTAACATTTCCATGCATTTTAAAATTTTTACTTACACTAGTTTTTATGCTGCTGTTAATTTTTAAAACGTATGCTAACATTGGTAATGAAACGCTAAAAATTTCGTTCAAAATACCATCGTGTTTGTCGTGACACAAAAAAAAACACCAATATGACAGATTTATGATGCGAACAAAGGTGTTTTTTAAACAGATTTATATTTGTAAACAAAAATTTCTCCCGCGACTGGCAGCGGGCCGCCTGGTGTTTGTACGATATTTTCCCAGTCGGGCGGGAGCGCGGCGAACCTGCGACGTTGCCGATGTGTACCTGGCCGCCACACTGACATTGCATCGGTATTCACTCTCCGATTTCTGCTCTCAGTTGTATATTTAAAAGTGGCAAATTAAAGAAACCATTAAATAAATACTGGTGGAAAATTACTTGGCATTTAGCTGTTATAATTTTGTAACAAGCACGATCTACACAAAACAGTTGGCTTGTTGCTCCTAATACAAATTGCATTTTTCATACCACCATAGTTAACTAATTATAATGTATTTGTTTCATGACTAGTTAATTAGAATATTTTGTTAGAAAATTTATATAAATTTCTAACTAAATATTCATATACACAGTAGTTTGCCGTGAGTGAATACCGATGCAATGTCAGTGTGGTGGCCAGGTACACATCGGCAACGTCGCAGATTCGCCGCGCTCCCGCCCGACTGGGAAATATCGTACAAACACCAGGCGGCCCGCTGCCAGTCGCGGGAGAAATTTTTGTTTACAAATATAAATCTGTTTAAGAAACACCTTTGTTCGCATTATAAATCTGTCATGTTGGTGTTATTTCTTGTGTCACGACAAACACGATGGTATTTTGAACGAAATTTTTAGCGTCTTATTAACGATGTTAGCATACGTTTTAAAAATTAACAGCAGCATAAAAACTATTGTGAGTAAAAATTTTAAAATGCGTGGAAATGTTAACAATAAACCTACCAATAAGCCATAAAAATTTCAGAAAGATTGGCTCAGTGGTTTGTTTACAATTAATTTTTAAACTTCGGTGTTAGTGCAGAGTTTCTTAAAAACCGGTACTTTTTAGAATCTTTCAACTATATAAATTTTTCTGGTAAACGGAATTTTTTAAAATTGTTACCACGTAAAATGTATTTAAAAAAGCTTACATTTAATTTTTGTTTCAACAAAATCGGATAATTCATCTCAGAGATATTTAGGCTCAAACTCAAGTGCACATATTTATTTCCCCGACAGTAAATTGATTAACAGACAAAGTAAAATAACACTGAATACAAACCCTTTAAAAAACGAAATGCTTATGGAGAATAGTCAGACTGGGATTTTGCCGTTAGGATCGCTTGCCCCCCTCTAATTAATCTATCCCCCTCTCTCTCTAAGACGATTCTTTATCTCACTCTCACTCAGTCAGCTGACTTGGCTGCGCGCTCCCGACACCTAGCGGCCACCACGGGAACTATCCAGAATTCAAATATTCCCAGACTGATTTTTAACAAAGACGTTGCGCTTCTTATTCCGTAGGTTTTGTATTTATTGAAAAGAATCAGTAAAATGTAGAATAATGGCACAACACAACTGACAAAGATTTCAGTAGGCAATCTTCCATCAAAGCTGTCTCCCTGTATTATTACTTGTAGCTCTCCGCTTTAGAGAATGATGGAAAACTTAACTAAAACGCTGATACATGAACGAAAAACTGATTTTTTTCAACATTACAAAATTATTTAATGAGAAAGTTTTGATTCATGCCAATGTCACAACTCAATTTAAATATTTTACTGGCATCTACAAAGACCTTTTTCAGTAAAGCATTGAAAATTTAATCAAACAATCCTTTCCCTAAAAATTTTGTAGACACTTAGGTTAAATAAAAGGCAGCCATTAAATGTATAATCTGGACATGACAACTGATTTGAGAAGAATCACGGAATTTCTTTTTACTAAGACAACGTAACTTGTCTTATTTGACATTGATGATTAATTATTTATCTAGCTTTTTCCGGCAAATATTATTTTCCTACCGCTGCTTGGAAATAATCACATTGCCACCTTTAACAGGAATGCAAAATAGCTCATTTCCGCTTTAATAATTCCTGCTTGCTGAATCAGCTGATTTTACTGTTGGCGTTTCTATAAAACATTAACATCCGGTAAGCAAATAACATTTTACCTAAAAAAAACATAACCTAAATGACATTTTAAAATACAACTAAACAGTTTTCTGTGTCTTATGATATGGGTTATGGTGGAAGAAAACTCTTGTGTGAATTACGAGCACAAACAGTCATTGTCGCTCTCGAAATAAGTGGTTATGCCTCGAGCGGCTATGACATACTTTGTGTTCCTAATACACAAATAGCTATTATAACTAGTAACTAGTAGCCTGAACCGATTGTTCATTTCAATATCATTGGTGATTCTTCATTGATGGCAAAACATCCGTTTATAAATAATTACAGTGACTCGAGACTATTACTTAAACACTAAACAGTTCAACGTCTCAAATTAAAAAAGAATTGTTTAGACAGAAGAAAGAAACTTACCTTGATCTCTCCTCGATACATGAATTCTATTACAAGTTTTATGTCCGAATAGGACATTCCATTCATGATTATCACAGGGTGTTGTACCTGATGGATTTTGAACAGTTCCTAAAATGAAAAAAGTACATAGAAATAAATACACGTGTAAAAAGAAGCTACTAAAAATAATAAGTCTGACCAAGAAAGGCTCTCACTGACGGCCCCGTCAGGGATCGGGTTTGGTTTCCAGTAGGCTTCCATAAGAAATATTAGTTTTGTATTTTTTAAGTGTATAATATTACTGAAAAGTTGATGATAAATGTAATTGACTTCTATCAAATTACTTGTGCAGAAACATTTGTGCAGAGGAAACAATATATTAACAAAATATTACTGTGAGCATGTTTAGATGTTACCAAATTCAACTAAAAGTGGATGTCAAATACTTTCCAGCAACTAAGCAAAAGCTCCAGTTCTATTATTAATTGTTTGTACATATTGGTTTTATTAGCTTACTTAAATAAAGCTCTCTTTACAGATAAACCAAAAACATGGCTGATAAAAATAGTACATTACGCTACTAGTCTGGGAAAATTTTTTAGAGTCGATAAGATGGGATGTATGGTATTTTTTTGCCATACTAACTTACTCTAAATTAACCTGACAATAAAAACCACCAATGACTACTCTAAGAGAGGTTATAGTATTTTTGTTTAGCCTAACAACTTATTGCCGAATATAATTAGCTGGTGTCCAACAAAAACCACATTTGATTAAGCAGGCGGCAAACAGCTGTTTTTCAGACTGAATCCTTGCGGGAAAAGTTTGTTAAAACAGTTTAGTGACAAAAAAATGTTTAGGCCTACTGCCAACTGTTTACAAAGATAAGCCCGATATGTTGGTTTCTTAAATTAAATATATGCTTAATGTAAAATGAAGAGTATTTGACTATGAGAAATAAGGTTACTTTTAAGGTAAGACAGTTGCTTATAATAATATAGATTGTGTATTTATAGTCCGTTAAAGGGGAAGTTCCCTTAATACTTTTTTTGCTTAATATATATGTTACAGCTGATAGATGTTTTGGCAAATCTCAGCTATTGAGCTATTGATTTAAAAGTAGGGATCAAGTGGAGAGGAGGGATGTCTTCCTCTGAAACCATCTTTACATTTTGTGAACCTGGAGAATAGGATGGCATGGAATGATGAGGGAAAGACTACCAACAACAATGGAAGTACTGAAGTGTTCTATTTTGAATATATTACTGATTGATGGAATGAAACTGTTTTAGTAACTGATATTTTTATTTTTATTGATTACTTCTGTCAGTCTCAAAGGTAGAAAAATAATTGCGAGGGAAATATCTTTTCCTACAGTTACCTGACAAAGCAGGCTTCCTTGCACTGATTATAGCACGCAAAGCAGCTAATCGATGCATTTACTTTCTTTAACCGCACTTCAGTATTCCAACCAAACAACACAAAACAGTGTGTTTTCATAAGGAACGTAATACGGTTACCGTACGCTTGAAAATAAGTTGGCAATACTTAAACATAGGCTACTCCAACTAAGATCAGTCCGGGCACCGTTTCATAGCCTTTGAGTTGTGATACTACGACTTAACTTGTTGTTTTGTGTTAATATTCTATTTTCGTTCAATGCTTGGATTTAACCTAACCTAGAACATGTTTTACCGTATAGTACTTGAAAGACTAATTATTTATATGCTTTATAGTGACTGTAGGAAAAATATAACATTTAATGGGAGTACAAAGTACCTTTGGTGCACTCGAGAAACTTTCCAAACTCGCCTGTGGCTTGTGCGTAAAAATTTCTCTTGTGTACAGCAAAAAGTGCCACTTTGTGCATTAAAAAACTATTTAATGCTTGTATATTTCAACAAACTACCTTCCTTACACATCCTTGTTGGTTTTTTAAGTGTTTTCTTTCCTAATATAAAATGACTTAAAAGTAGGCCTACCGGTAGATGTTTAGAAAAATTAAAAATACCAGCCTCAAGTGCCTATGTTACTAAGGAACAAAGGAGTCTTGCAGGTATAGGAAGGTATCTAGTAGAACAGGTAACACATAAAAACAAAGGCTGAAACAGATGAAAAATTTAAAAAGTAAATTTATATAATCGTAACTTGCAAAAGGTAATTCTAACCAAGTAACCTTGCTGCTACTTATGGAATAAGTAGGCCTACACATATTATTTTTTTAGAAACGTTCAAGTGTTGATTAAAATACCAGGTTTATCTTTATTAGTGGTAATGTGAAAATATTTTACTGTTCTGAAGATAACATTTGAATTTTAAATTATTTTTATATAGGCCTAATGATTTGAAAGTATATCATGTAAATGTAAGCAAAACCATGCAAATACTCTTAAAAGTCTAAATAGAAAGAAACAACTTTGTATGTATCTGTTATAGTCGGTTGAATTGTTCTTTCAGATTAGGCATGTGTAACTATCATACCATTTCTCTGATAAAAAGTTATCATTTCAAAAATGTAAAATTTCTATCATAAAAGTGATTAATATTAATATTATTACCAATTGTTTAAGCTTATCTAAATTTACTGTTAACCCTTTGAGTGCCAACGTCCGGGGAACCGGACGTTTTTAAAACGAGCCAAAAGTGCCGACGTCCGGCCGACCGGACGTTTTTAGAACGAGCCAAAAGTGCTAACGTCCGGCTGACGTTTCGTAATGATCGAACATTGTCATAACAACCGAATGGATACTCGGATTCTTTTAACCCATATATTAACATTGAGTCGAAAGTTACTAGATGCGATACATCAATTTTCGTTGGTCGAAATATCGAAAATTCGATTTTTACGAAATTTTAACCTAAAAATCGCCAGATTGCGCTCGGCATTTTTAGCGCGACCTTCGGGAAAAATCATCGAAATTTTTTGAGCGTTACTTTTATTTCTTGCTTGGCACTCTAAGGGTTAATTATAATTTTTAGTGTAAAATTTTAAACTCATGTAAAATAGTTTTGATGCATACATAAACGTTGCTACTGTCTAAGGAGGAAGAGTGCTGAATGTTTACTGTCAGCTGTCTGCTGCTGACTCAACTCATTGGCAAGGAAAGGCAAACATGAGATAAGAGCTACTGTTGTCCAACAAACTAGTAGGCTACATTGTTTTATAATGCTTATGAAAACTGAGTTTGAAAGAATGTGTGTATCTCATAAAGTACCTAAATAAATAATTTTAAAATTATGTTATTGCAAAACCACCTGATTTTTCCAATTTTGTTACTCACCATACAAAAAGATATTTCTATAAAATTATTTGTTTAATCGTTAGTGCTGTTTTAATAATGTCTTTTGTCAGAGGTCGATTATGAAAAATGAGGTGACAGAACTGTATCCTTTTTAATGTGATTGGTTCCTAATTATGAAAATATTTTATCTTTCCGAAAGAGAGGTACCGGAACTCTATTCCGCAGCGTTCCCCCTTAACCCTCCCAGTGTTACTTGACGAAAATTCGACAAGCAGCACACTTTGTGTAGTGTTACTTGTCGATTTTTCGACACGCAGACATCGTTTACGGCGAAGGCTCTATAACTGACTGAATCGGATTGAACTGGATCGAGTTAGGTATCGTTCTTTCCGTAATATTCTAAGCTTTCTCCAGAGGTCTGTCTCTAAGCGCTATTCATTTTAGTTCCGAAAATATTGTAGCAGACAGCTGACGTGCGTGTATTTGTAAACAGCTAGGTTCCCCCGGACCGATGACTGATGTGTTTTATTACGTTTATCATTGTTTTAGTGTTAAAAATCAAAAGTAGTGATATACGTGGTGCATTATAAGAAGATTTAAGTGGTTTTGAAGTGCTGGTTGATGATCCTGAAGAAGTAGGTAGTGATATTGATGTAAATTATCAGCCAGATTCCTAGCTATGGTTAGGCTATGCATTCTTAGCTAAACGCTATGTACTGAAATCAGTTTTTTGCCCATAACTTATTTATTTGCAAATATACTTCCTTATATTATTATATATTTGTAATCCTCATAAAATTTAGAACAAAGTGGCTATTTTCAAATATTTATAGGCCTATAATTTATACAATTTCATTGAGCGCGAACTTATTTTTTTTTTGAAAATTTTCGAAATTATATTTTTTTACCTAAAATTTTTTTTTTTTTTTAATGTTCCTTATGTTTTATATATAATATTGAAGCCCATGATTTTCCAAACAAAATGGTATATAGAACATTAGAATTAACATTGTTTTAAGCTTCTCAGATCCGTTTTAATAAAACCTTGCAAATGCGCCAAAAATAGGTGGACATTAAGGCCTAAACTATGGACACTTGGAGGGTTAAATCGAGCACTGGATTTTGTCATGAAAAAAATAGTAAAAAGGCACATTGAAAGTATGGGATGGGAAAAAAAGTTAGTGGGCACGTAAATAAAGCAATTTATAAGAAAAATGAACCAAAATTACCTGAAAGTATGGACTGCAAGCTGACAACACCATCTTATGAGCTTTGAGAAATTTCCCTTGGCAAGATATGGTAACATCCACCAAGTTTTCACAGTTCAATTGTTCAGCAAACACCTACAGACAATATATCTTTCAAGTACCGTTCAATATACAGTTAAATTCTGGAATAATTATAACAATAATAAAATACATCTAAACTAAACTGTAAAAAGTATATAAATGATGGACTATATTTAACTCCAGTAGCGACCAGGCGAGAATGGAGACTAGGTAGGCCTACTCAGTGTGTATTTATATTTAGTCAGGTGTGATAAACAGACATCAAAAGTTGCCTACTGCAAGTACTTGTTGCACAACAAAGTACGGTTATAATTTTACCTTCATAAACTGAACAATATTTTCACCCTAAAGAGATAAAGGCATGCATTATAACCCCAATGCATGTATAAATTTAAAGGAAAGTTTGTTTTCCTAAAATATAGGCAAAAAACACTGTTAAGACACACTTTACAATAAACAGCAGTTTTTAGGTCTCTTTGTAGACAAGAAAGTAGTAGTTTACAAAAAGTAGGCCAACTGGGGTAAAAGGGGAAAATAATTAATTCCTTCAGTTTAGTACCAGGCTCTCAACGAAGCTACCATAAAGCTATATACATTAGTAAAAGTTCACTTTATGCACTTTCACTATAAAAATTGAAAACTTGTAAAAATTCAAATATCTCCTGCGGTTACAAAAAAAATCTTCATTATCTTCTGTGATTGCGGCAAAATCAAGAATACCTCTTACAGAAACAAAAATATAATCGTCATCCTCTGCCTGCGATCACAGCCAAATCTTGATCATCCGTTCACGGTCTCAGAAATATGATCATTGTCTTCCTCAATCAGGGAAACGTTATTGTTGTCGATCACGAAAAAAGCGTGATCTTCATAGACGTGTTTTGCAATAGCCAAGCATTGCAATTGCAAAAGCTTGGCTCGAGGTCGATTTTCTGACTTGGTACTCGATCCCTCGAGATAGTAGGCTAGGCTCAAAAGTTGAGTTGCTTGCACGCCTTTTGTTATGTAGCCTACATCTAACATAATTTTTTTCAATTTTATGTACTGCTTTTTCTGTTTCACCTGCGGCCCTCCCCTGCCTGCAGCGGTTTCCCCACCAACCCAACGACCCTGTCTGACCATATCAACTAGATGGAGTGAATTCATAACTTACCTGCAAGATGTTATTTGAGTGGTTATTCCATCTCAAATTGAAATGTTGTGCTTGAGGATTATTCTCGTTAGCCATTGTACTGTAATCTAGAACACATAACAAAGTTGTATAAATAACTCGTCTCCAATAAAAAAGTTAAAATAGGTACAACCTATATGTTGTACCAAGATGACTAACAGTAGGCCTTATTCCTTTTAAGGCCTTTTGAATTACTATTCTCCGATCTTGCAGTTATCAGCGTTGACTCTGTGTTTACCTTTTATCCATATCTCTTGCCAGACTTTAGGCGCCAACCAGTTATTCTTGCTAGTTGCTACATTAGCATAGCATAGGTACTGAAATTTTTTTCAGGGCAACGTGGAAAGGAATAGTAAAGTACTATATCATACTGCTCTCACAAAAAAATCTGAATAGTCGCAAAACATTTAAATGTTTAAGAGTTGTCGATACAACTTTACAATCTCTGTCTGGTTGTCTGTGTCTGGTTTTGAACTGAGAGTTATTGAATCGGTCTGGAGCACAACAGATTACAGAATGATAAAGGGAAAGGTGTAAATTTTCTCCAAAAACTTCTATAGTCTAAATAATATATCAGAACCATTAATCTGATTATTGCACTGCACATTGCATCTTTCTCGACCCATGTCAGAAAGATCAAAGGAAATTTGTGTCTTATAAACTTTTGTTGTACTAAGCTTTTACATGTTTGATATCCACTTTAAACGTCAACCTTGTTTACCAAACATCGGTTCCACTATCTGGGCTTTCCCTAGCCAGATTCTTTCCCTATAAGAAGAATCAAGTATTCAAAATCTAAACTCTAGTCATTCTTTAAAAGTTTTTGAAGCTAGCCTACTATCAGTCCTCAATTGGTTCAAGTTTTTGGGCAAGTTCTTTTAAACATGTTAGATATTAGTTGTAGTCATACATCGAGTTGTAAAAAAAAATTTACAACAAATGGTCGAGTTTAATAAAACAAAAGTATAATTATTAAACATGTTTAGCAAACAAAAGATTTTAAAACAAGTTGTAGTAAACACGGCTTAAGCATCTAACTTAACCCTATATGGGTGTCATTGATTTTCAGTGACAATCGGTGACACAAGCTGCAGTTTTTTCCTGTGTCTTAAAACATCAAACAAACTAGGCTATGTAATTTTAGACATAGCCTATAACTTATTGGCTAAAAAAAGGTAAAAAGGTGTGTCTTGATGCTTCAACTGATTAATAGGGGTATTAGGGAGGCAGTGTATTGAAATTTTGTTCAATCCGTTCCTACAAAACAGTAGGTGTGATATTACTCTTTAAACTGCCAGTCAGTGGTAACACATATTTTATTATGAAAATAAATTTGGGTAGCCTTACAGTTCTACAGAGAACCTACAATATATTATTGAATTAAATAAGTTATAACAGTAGGTATACTCCCGATTAACCGAGGTTGTTGGGACCGAGACTACCTCAGTTATCGAGAATCTCGGATGACACGGAGGTCTCTTAGATTTTGAGTTTAGAGGTTATGATACACCGTTATAACACTTGATGCAATCATGTCAATATTTATTATCATTGTAATGAAAAAACAATGGCAAAAGGTGATACGAGGCGACAGTGCCCAAGCAGAAAAATCGGTTTTTAGAAGCTTTTGTTGACGTTCCACAGACGACTTGTCTCATTACCCATGGTTAGTGGGCAACCTAAGTAAGTTACTGTGTGTGATTTTATTTTTCTAGTTTAGTGAGGATCATTAGTATGTTGATATCATACCTAAATTGTAATCATTATTAAAGTTTTTTATTTTAAGAAATCACAAATTGATTGCTATTTTTACTTTAATTTCAACAGAAACATTCCTAAAAATGTATTTATTGTTTTCCGACCAGAAATTTAAAAAAAAATATTAGGACCTAAAACGACTTTGGAAACCCAAGGGCTCGGATAATCGAGTGTGTAAGTTTACTGTAGCCTAGTTCGATATTTGAATAGTTTCAGCTCTCGATATACTTAATAAAGTTATCGATTGTTTGATTTCAAGAAGACTTTATCATTTACGCTGTTGCGGTTAATTTAAATTAGATTATTTATGTTTAGTTTTGATTGGATTGGTTAGGTTTTAATAGCCCTTACAAATAAAAATTCAATACCGTACATCCAAGAGTTCATATTTTATTTAATATATTTAAAAGATAGGCCTAGGTATTTACAGAGAAGTAAATTTGTAGGCCTATTTGTATCCGTATTTCTTTTTCATAAACTAACTAAATTACAGGGTTGGTACTGATTTTGGAAAATGAAATTCCCTGACTTTTCCAGACTGATATTATTCTTTTTCCAGGTATACCGTAAGACGATATCAAATAGTCAGAATCAAGAATTATTAGAAAAAAATGTAGGCCTAAATAGTTTACTCATAAAACCAATAAGAAAAGAATTAAACATCTGGAATCTGGAAAAGTAAGAGTACCAACTAACTTAACCTCACACTTTATGTTCTACTCGGCCTTGACTTGACACTGGCAGATACATGATACAGTGATTCCAATACTGATATATATCGATATTTTGCTTGCGATATCATCGGTTTATATCGGAAGAAACATGTGATATTGGAAAAATAACTACCATGCTTGTACCAGAGACAAAAAGTAGTACCAAACTATACTATTAAATGTTTCAACTAACAGAATAAATATTTTTTTATAAACTCCTACAAGTGCAGTTTTTTTTAGTTTATTAAAGGTTGAATCAGTATTGGTATAAATTCAACGAGGAATTGTATTCAGTATCGTATTGAAATTGAAACGATGAATGTAGGCCTATCCTTCCGCGAATCACGGTGCTAACTAGATTGGTGCGTTCAATTAAAGCCAGTAATCAGAGGGTGATGATAGAATGTCTGTCGATGTTCGATGTTTTTTATATCGATGGTAGGTTCAGGATGTTTTCGTCAAACTTTGATGTTTTTGACCAAGTATTGAGACATAGATGCAAAATGTAGCATATCTGTAAAAATGTAGTCTTTCAAGAGAAATTCCAGATTTTTTACAAAATTCCCTGACTTTTCCAGGTTTTCCCTGACCGTACCAACCCTGATTAACTTAGCCACAGTGCACTTTAAAAGAGTGGTGGGCAAAGTACTATTAAGTTAGCAGAAAATCAATTTTAAACGCTGTGGCTACTCGTCCGTCAACCGTACGCCATCCGTCAGTGAAGTCACCTGATGAATGACGTCACAAACTCCTGTTGACGCACCATTACAGCAACGATGCGAAAAGCAGCCATCAGTGTTCATGGTGTAGTGGACAGAGTACTTGGCTGATGTCCAAGAGGTAACCAGATCGAACCCCACCGGCGACATTAACTTTTTGATAGATTTTGCTTGGAATGCTAAAACTTCTTTAACTGTACATCTTTTTTCGAATCTGTGGCATTTAACTTATATAATTTTATTTTATTTTTTCAACAGAACTATTTTTTCATTACAGTAGACTCCATCTTATCTGGACTCCTCGGGACCGAGGCCAGTCCGGATAACGGGTTTTCCGGTTAAACCGACGTCCCCAAAAACTTGACGGACTGTTTACTGTGACTGAAATTCGACTTAAATTTAGGAGAGCATTGTATTTAGACACGTGATCACTGGTCTCAAATCTTTCCCACGAGAACAGTTGTTTCAGTACTGCCCACTTCTTGCTGATCTAGTCCGGTTAAACCAATGTGCTGATAAAAATTATCCGGTTAAAAGGTGTCCGGATAAGAGGGAGTATACTCTAGTCCCTAAACCTTCATTTGATTTTTTCATCATCAGCAAGTTCATGGTTATTTTGGTTAGGTTACGAAGGTTTAATTTTAATAATAGAATGCTCTCCTCATTTCTTTGATTAAGCTTAGTAAATCTTCATTAAATTTTATACTATCAGCAAGTTTGGTTCGTTAGGTTAGGTTATAACAGTTTCATTTTATAATTTATATACGCTAGATAAAAATATCGAATATAAGAGTTTATAGGCCTACATGTGTACGCCAACAGGCATCCGTGACGTCATTGACGAACGGCGTATTGACATACGGTACGGTTGACAGACAAGCAGCCACAGTGAATTTTGAAACTCAGTAGCTTGTTAATTAGGCCCTCCGTTTATATCGATAGTTAACTTATTACCGTACTTATGGAAGTATTAACTTAATATTTCATTTTATAACACAACTTAAGTTATTGTAGGCCTAGGCCTAAGTTCCATTCTCTGCGGAAATGTACCCATAAATAGTCCTGCAAGAAAACTCTGTTGGAACACCTACGCAAGGTTAACTTGACCAATTGTTTATTTTATTTAGCCTATTTATTCAGTTTTTTGTAGGCCTACATGGGTATAAGTTAACCATTTTATATTTAGAGTTTCATGATGCTTGATACAAACATAATATTCAACATGCAAGACTTAGTAATAGTTTTTGGTTAGGGTTTAGTAATAGGTTAGGGCTGGAAAAATGACTTAACCTAACCTGTTTCAGTAAGGAAGGTTGACTACTAATAAAAGAACCCTGCATAAAACTTATGTTAATTAAATTGCCTAGGCTTGAAATTCAACAAAACTATACAAAATGGTATTGCTATTCCACAGCTGTTTGATACTTCATATCCAGATAAGGGCTAAATTTAAAGAATGCAAAACATGCTTGTTCAGCAATAATAGGAATCGCGAACATAACAATGATCAAGATGGTGAGGCGGGAGAACCCGATGCACCAACCCCTAGTATAGTTTTACAAAACAATACTAGTAATTAATTATTATAGACAAAACTTCCATGTTCCAGTTACATTTGGAAGATCCCTTTGTTTTGTATCAGTCGTATCAACAATCTAAATACCAATTTGCGGACTGAATTATTACACATTACGCCCATAAGAGGAACAATGTTGCCTTAGTACTGTTGCAGCTTCAGCTGATTTTTAACAATCGAGTTCTATTCAATTTCTACTTACATGAATCCACAAATCGTTTGTAAATTCGTATCGTCCCTAAATAACGTAGTTATTTAGTAATAACGCATATAGCCTGAAAATACTTGAGCGAACAAGCCAAATAACAATATAAAAATTAATTCCAAATATCCCGAGAACAAGACTGTAACAATCACCTATTTCAACGCTATCTGTATCTCTGGGTCTAGAATTGGAAACTAACTGAGCACGCGCAAAATTGTACCAAAGACAGATGGACAAAACCAATATCGTCGTCTTTATATGAAGGCGTACTATACGCGGTATTTACACTAGGTGTACAATGCAGTTGTATGGTTGCAATATTGAGCGGAAAAGGCATTTTAATCCAATACTTTTTCCAAAGTCAATGCAATATATTTTTTACGTAAATGGAATGTCTACTTGCAGTATCCAAATACAATTAAAAATTTGCTTCACATAAACATAAAATAGATAAAAAAGTCTGACATTGGCCCACTTAAAACCCTTTGGGGCAGAGCCCTTTTGACGGATCTGCACCAAACTTCACTCGAACCATCCTTGAAAGATGCTTAATAATGCCTGAAAGTTCCATTACAATCTGTCGAGCGGTTTTGGAGTCCATAACGTATATATACACACACACACCCATTACCCATACATACATACATAGTTCCTCTTTTATAGATATAGATATATATACACATACCTGTCCTATGCTTACGTTAACAATTTTCTTCCGATTCCTAGGGCTGTGCCCCCTGAGGAGTAAGCGTATAATAGCAATGCAAATTAAATGAATCTTTGAACAACTGTCATTCTTGGTCATTCTCGGTTGTCTGTTTGAGTTCAAATTTGCGGCATTATATTCTGCTATAGTAAAGACCTTTAAACTGATGTGCATTATGACCTATGCTCCTATTTAAGATTTCCTTCTGACTCCTTGCGTCCCCATGACATGACAGAAAATTCATAGTTCCTTGAAAAAGTAGATTTTTAGGTGTGGTGTTGTTGTACCAAATCTTATTGATTTATCTGTTGTCGTTTGGTAAATATTAAGCCCAAGCGGGACTTTATATACACCCTGTATAAGAAGCAGGTAGCTGGGATTTGAAATTTTGGCTGTTGAAAATCCCTGTAGCTCATTTGTTTCACTTTTTGTTTTTGTTCTTCTTGTGTTGTTTTTGTTGTTTTTTTTTTGTTCACTGATCTTCACAACCAAATTGCCATTGGATTTGGTTTTCAAAATCCTTTGAACCTAAATACACTGTATAACTTTTAATGGTCCCTTTTCAATTAAATTTAACATTGCAAATTTTAAAGAGCACCACTTTGACGTTCTTAATACTTTAATACTTTTTGATGAAATGGTGACCATAAAGTAGGTATTTTAAGCCAAGTATGAATGGAGATGAGTGTAGGATGAGTGGCGCGATCTTGTAGTCCTGTTAGTGACTAAGGCCGACATATTCCTTAGACACAGCTGTTAATTAATAGCCCATACAGCTAATGGCAACTAAGGGACCTACAGTTTATAGTGGAATCCACATTTTTGTCTTGGTAAATACAAATTGGTCTAATTATCAGGATAGTACTGCGGATAGTCGTAGTACTCACTCGTGCGGACGTTAATCCACACCAGAGAGTATCACATCCACAGTGCATGCCTATAAATATCCACAATTTGTGACCTCCTAGTAGCTGGATTACAGGACGACATTCATATAAGCTTAGGTAAAAGAATTTTTAGAAACATTTGATTTGGGAAACCTTACTTATCAATAATTATTAACAAATTATACATTATTTTAAATAATTTGACTGATGCTTTATTCTATCACAAAAATACGTTCTTTATTTTGGTTGTTTAAATTGTTTAATGAAGTTCTAAAAAGATGCTGTGATTAGTCATATTTAATTCAGGCAGTCCTTTTCTTTGAGGTAATTTTCACATTTATTTTTAGTGTTTACTTGTTATTACTTCATTGTATTGCTTGCAGTAAATAACACATTTATCAAATTTTATTTTAAACAGTAGTCCTTAAAGGTTGTCTGGAATATTGTTTTAGAACCCATACATTTGAATATTTTCTAAATAGGGCTCTTCTTTTCTTTCATTTATAACAACCCAAACTTTCTACTGTTGGGCCTCTCTTGATATTCAACCCGTCAACGCCAGGGTTGCAACATTATCCTTGAGAAACAAAAATTCCAAATCATAGAATGTATACCTAGAAGTATTTTGTTTATTTTAAAATTTTCAGCTTAAAGACACGGACAATACATTCCGAACCGGTTTCTAGTGTACTTTAGGGTTATCTTTACTGGTCATTCTATAAATGTTGCATGAAATGGTGACTCCGTTCATAACAAGTTGTGTCTAGTTGTGTTTCAGTTTTCAAGAATGCATGCACTAACTGTAAGTTGAGTCTTCTTGAACTAAGAAATAGATTTACATACTTCATAATATTTTTAAACAATTAGAACTATCTGAATCAAAATCCTAAATATTAATTGACAAGTTGTTTCTTGACCTTTTTTTCTCAGCACCTGTGCATCGCAGGGAAAATCTATGCATACTGTTAGAAATATATTTTCTAATCCTGAAATAAAAATACAGCGGTGAAAATAGAGAAGTCTGTACATCACATATTTTAGGTCGAGTTTACGACCTCTGCATGACCTCTACTATTTGTATAAATATCTACAGTTATTAGAAAACACCCCCACCGCAGCAAACCTGCAGACTAAATGAATTTCCATTTTCTTGAATTGATATACAATTAAATATATTTAAATAACATTTAAAATTTTTAGAATTTTCTCCCTAACCAATAACCGCACAAAGAATCTTCAATATACTAAATTATTTTGTTTAAGCTCAAAAAAATAGTTTTAAAAGAAATTGCTAAATTTTATATTTTTAGAATCAAAAATTGTAAAATCCAACTTTTATCCCATAAAACCCCCCATAAACCACTGTTTGCATAGTCTGATCATGCTGGTTTGGTTTGCAAACTCATTCGAATAAATGTAGGTTTACACTTAACACGTTTATACAAAATTTCATCAAAATCGAATCTTTTTGCTCAATTTATTGTGCTAACGTACACATATATATGAATTTGAACGGATGATGTTTTTGGCCTCTAGGGACCTCAAAACGAAAAAGCAAATCGGTCCCGGGTCCAGTTCTTACCATTTATACTATGGTAATAGCTTATTTCCTATCCAGGAAACACGGTAAAATTCATAAAATAATGACAATTAATTTTGAACTTGTGTGAATAGCTTTTTTATCTTTGTCAACGCCTAGAACTTAAATAAAGCCAAAAATACCCTTTTTATAGTTAATTTTACAATATGCACTTTACACATAGGTTTATATTGCTGTCTTATAGTCAATGCTTAAAGTAATAATAAAATCGAGAATCAATTATAGTATATTAACCGTAAAAATGTGGATTGGTGTTGCAGATACTTCTAGCTGTAGTGGTTGCAGAACATGCCCTCGCCTCTGTGGTCAGCCACAGCGACCCCTCAGCGTGTCAGCGAATCATCAAGTACATGCTGATCAACGCTTGTGGAGCGACCAAGCGAGAGTTCCGCACATCAATGGCGTTCCTAGCTTTGTCTGACGAAGAGATCGAAAGCCGTTATGAGGACATGGTGAAGAAACACAAGATCAAGGGAGTCGGAAAGGACTATGATGAAAAGAAGAATTGGCACTGGGAGACAATGAATGATATAGATGATTCCTACTTCAAGGGTCAGTATTTTTTTGAATCAAATGGATTTTTTTATTACATAAACTTAAGCCGCCCATTTTGGAAATGATTTACTGGTTGTGCAAGCTTTTACAATACAAATTGGTGTATGGAGCATTTATTAAATGTTTTTCTAACTAGCACAATTACCTACTTACTTGCATACTTGAAGTTTTCTGCCTGTGGTCCAGAGGCAGTAATTGGACAGGTCAATAAGTAAACTAATAAAAAATAGCTTAAAACTACATTATAGGCCAAAGTGCTCTGTTTTATGAAATTTAGAAAACCTTTCATATCATAGAAACCGTTTGTCGTCAGCAAAGATTTGACTTCTGTTTTGAATTTTGAGATTTTTCTGGATGTTTTGGTGTTATTTGGCAGTGCCTGAAAAAAGTTATAACTGGAATAGCGATGTTTTTGTTCAAAAAAATTTAGTCAGTTCATGAGCATGAAATCCCTTATTGTTTCTAGTGTTGTATTTGTGATCCGTGAAGTGAGGTTGAATTTGTTGTGATTTAAGTAAATAACTACTTATTCATGGATGAAAATGCATTACAGTCAAGAGGCCAATATTAAATTCAATTTTCTTTTAGATTCTCTTCAATATATCAAACCCTTGTACAAACGCCACAAGAGAAGTGTCATTGGCATGGGTCTTCGTATGAAGAATTACGCTGAAGCAATAGAACACGAGCGGAAAGGAAGCTTCCATTTCATTGGTAAAGTACAAAGTATTATTACTATGGTGTTTTGAATATAGGTAATTTTAATGACTTTGCGATAGAGAAGTTCTATTGCTCAATTGAAAATCAAATAAATCAATCAATTCCCTTCTTTGAGTAAAAACTTTGAAGTTTTTAAAATATTTGTAAGAACAATTTTAAAACAAAAATTACCTATGTTTTTGGCTGTGAGTATCAGAGGGCCTTTAACCTCCGATAGTCTCATAAGGCCAGTTAGTATGTTCATTGACTGTTGGACACTGAAATAGACTTCCCAGGACTAGCTGTCGCTAATGTTTTATTACAAAAGAATAAGTTGTGTCTGCCAGTTACAGAATGTGATAGTGTCTAAAATTCAGCTTTATACCTTATTTGTTCATAGGTGATAAAGTCATAACAGTTGCTATAGCTCAAAGTAGGTTGTTACATCAGTTTGACTTGGTGAACATTTTGTGTATTCAACAGAAATCAGTAATTTACATCAGCACAATCTGTCAGTGGTTCACATCAACTACAATTTTTTTTTAAACTGGTGACAACCTAGACATGGGTATGAAATGTCTATTTGAATGAATAGCCAAAGATTGACTAATAGCATAGCCTCCTAAAACACAAGGCCGCGGCAAGACAAAAGTGGCACTACAGCTGTCCCGTCAAACCAAAACAAATTTATAATGGAGAGTATAGGAAATGTTTATGTTTACATTTTGTTATTTCTGTTGTTACCATGGCAAAAAGCATGACGTTGCGATGTTGCCACACAACGCTGCGGCCTTATTTTAGAGGAGGCTATGCTATTAGACACTGAAGTAGACATCCCATCTATGGACCAGCTGTAGCTGTAGTTGAATAAATCATTTCCAGAGTGTGCGACAGTCTGCAGTAAATTTCTCCCATAGTTCTTATTACTGAGATAGGTGATGTGAAATAAAAGATGCTATACAATAATATATGCTTACAATAAGTCTTCCTATCAGTTTGACTTGGTTAAAAAGTTGGCATATTAACATTATTTTGTAGACTGGGACGGTGGTGTCATCCTGTAATCCAGCTACTAAGGTTGGGAATTGTTTATATTTATTGGTACCAGTATCATTGACTTTATATCTACACGTAGATATAAAGTCAATGCCGGTATGCACTGTGGATGCGATACTTCCTGGTGTGGATTAACACCCGCAATAGTGAGTACTACGACTAGCCGCAGTGCTATGCTGATAATTAGACCAATTTGTAAATTACAAAGCTAAAATGTGGTTCGGATTCCACTATAAACTGTAGGTCCTTTAGTTGCCATTGGCTGTATGGGTTATTAATTAACAGCTGTGTCTAAGGAACATGTTGGCCTTAGTCAGTAACAAGATTACAAGATAACACCACTCATCCTACACTCATCTCCATTCATAGGCTTAAAATACCTGCATTCGTATGGTTGTCATTTCAATTATAAGTATTAAAGTAACAGTAATCAGTAATTACATCAGCACACTCTATCTATGGCTCAAATCAACTACGTCCAGTTTAATTATAAAACTGACGACAATTTTAAGATGGAGATGGAATGTCTAGTTTTATCAATAGTCAAATCTGATACTTAGATCCTAATATTTCACAGGTCGCTTGCCATCAGAGAGAGAGGTAGGTGACAGGTCGCCGCCTCCAGGGGAGCTCAAAGCCAAATGCTGCGGCGGAGTCATCCTCTGTACTATGGATGACTTCCGTGGCTTCTGTGAATAACACCCTCCTTCGATACAGTGATTTTCTGTTATACAACATATTGTTAATAATTTGTTCAAGTATCATACTACACCTAGGCTATATATTATTAAGTATTTGTTATAAAATATTGTAGTAATAACATAGTGGTTATATAATGGTGGCAAGGTTACTGTTTAAAAATAGAATACTTTTTTATAAAGATTAATATAAAATTATAGCTATTTATTGACCCATAGTACATACAGGTATGACAATGTTCTTTAGGTATCCATTGTCAATGATTCAACTCTTGCAACCTTCTTTGAAAATGTATTATATTTCTGTTTGAACGTTTTTGTATTACTGGTGCCGATTAGAAATTACAAATAATCTCAATAATAACATATTTAAATGCAAACTGAAGTGTTTATTGTGTTTACCAAATTGAAATGTAACATTCCTTTGTTCAGTTGACTCAGTTTGCACAGTTTATACAAACTAATTATAGGTACTAGTATACCGTACGCAACTGATTGATGAATTGTCATTTCACCATTTTTTACTATTCGCTTTAATCTTCAGATTGAATACAATTTGTACAACACCTATCAGATGTTTATTTATTTATTTTTAAATATTTATTTACATAAAATTGTAGGTTATAAATCTATGACAGACCAGTATACAAATGCTTTTATTTTACTACAGTAATTGCAACAGCATTGTGGGTATTGGAAGAGTTACATTATTTATAATACAACATCAAAATTAAAAATTTTATGTGAATACTGTATATTTATTAGCAATATGATTTCTGACTCAGAGTCAGTATATTCTATTGACTCGCTTGAAGGTGAAAAGGGTGAATCAAACCTAAAACAGTGTAAGAAAACCAAAGAATTATCTAAAAAAACAAATTTGACAATACCTTTTTATCAAGGAGAGGTTTCGATTGAGGCTGTAAAAAGAAACATGGATAAAATCAAATCCAGAACCAAATCTTCCTCTCCCAATTGTTCTAGGATTAGAGGACAAAATAAATCACGTAGGATTAAATCAAGTTTAGAAAAAGCAAATAGTATTACCAATCAAGTAAGTTCAAGCAACAGTCATAACTTGCCACAAAAATCCATGCAATCAAATAGTACAGGCAGAATTTCAAGAAGGAATGACTTTGTTTTTGAAAACAAGAATTCTATAAGAGATAGGAATCGATCTGCCTCATACTTAGACCAATTCAGAAAGAAGAAAAGTTTGGATTCATCAAGTTATTCAACAGAAGGTTCAAAATTGTCCAGAGATAGGAGTGTGTCATTTGTTAGTTCTTTATCTGATAGTAGCAGAACTAGAATGAGTTCATCTGAGTTAGAGTTTTATGATAAACTCATGGTGAGTCCTAGAAATGAGCAACACACATTTAGTAAGGAACCTTTAGAGACAAGCACTTTGTTAATGGAAAACCCAATGAAATCTGCAGGGTATAAAAACCAAGAAAAAAGCACTAAGGTAAGAGAAAATTCTGCCTGATTCTTTTGAAGAGTGGTCTTAAATTTTATCTTATTTAAGTCCATGCTTTGTTTTTTCATATTTATGAAATGTAATGAATTTGAGACAAATAAAACAGTATTTAATGTCCTTGTAAGACATTGTTGGCAAATTCTCTTTCAATGAACATAACAAATGTCAGGTCAAGAAGCAGAAATCTAAAATAAAATATTCACCATCATGGCTGGCGAGAGCCATCTGGGGCCCCTGGGCTGAGCGATCCCGGGCCCCCTATTTCCCTGATTTAGTCCAGCCGCCTCCAAGTCATTTGTTACACAAAATAAATAACAAAAACATTTCTTAAATGCTTGATACTTTGATTAGTAATTCAAGTGCTCACAGTTGCAACTATATTCATGTCAAAAATTAAACAAGTCAAGACTTGAATTTCACAATTCAAGTCAAAAGTTACGTATTAAACTGGAAAATATCCTAAATTTTTTTTAATTTAGCAGATTAAATGTACAGAAAAAATGTTACATTTGACTGGACGGGTCCGGGGCTCTGGTTTCCCCTGTCCCATCCTCTAGCCGGCCCTGTTCACCATTTAATCTGGTTGTCCTTTCCTGTTGAAATTCCATGTTTCTCCAAAATACTCTTTGACCCAACACTGTGAAATGGATAGGAGATAGGATGTATATCCTACAATTATAGTGAAATTTGTGTATATACCAAATACCTACACAGAAAAATCCCTTTAATTGAAGTCAACAAATAATATGATTCCATATTGTTTTAATCAATATAGAGGGTGGAGGTGATGGGTAAAATTAATTCCCATGATTCAATGTTATAAAGAAGTAAAGTACAGTAATAACAATATAACGATTTATCAATATTGTCATAGTGAATATTCTGTAATTGTGGTCTAAAAAAATGTTAAATCAAAATAACATATAGCTGTAGTGGTAATTGTTTAACTTCACTCATTGTTTAATTTCTAGGCAAAACCAATTGTTTTAACCAGGATTGAAGTTGAGATGCCAGACGAACATAAAAGAGAGCTAGACAAGGTATGATGAGGGATTTTGAATTGTTTGAGTATTTACAGATTTTTCAGTACTAAGATTTAACTTAGCGAGACCCTAGAACAACAATAAAATAGAATAACGTCTTATATACATACCAAATTTAATACAGTAGTATTTTTGAAGTTACAAATGGCATCTTCATACCCAAATTGATCTCAAATTCAATGCACATATATATTTTAGGTGAGATATGTATAACATATTTAGTAAACACTTTATTTGTAAAGTAACAAATCACTTCTCAAACTAGCGTTAAGGGGGAAAAACTTGAACTAATCTCAATATTGTAATGATAATTGAGTATTATAATTTTTAAATTTTAATTAAAGTAAAAGACAGATACAGTAGAACTTCTGACACCTGAGTACATCACTATGTAAACTGTAAACTTAGTCGAACTCAATAAGTGTTAAAAGTGTTGGATAGTTTGAGAAGCATAAAACAAAACAACTGTTAGAGGAGCTAAAAATGGAGGTCAAAAGTTTTAAGTGAGGTTAAAGACAGCGTTTCTTGTCAAAGAAATGGTAAATTTAAAAAAAGATAAATTAAAAATTATGATAGTTATTCGTTAATTTAAACACTCATAACAGGTTTTATCGTTAAAGATTTGACGTCAGACAGAGATTTTCATATGGAGTAGTTCAACTATATGCTGGATACCGTACCTTTGAATAGTATCCAATATAGTCAATAATGGTTATACTATAAATCAAAATAGAAGTGTATAATCAATATTAAATTGATTACAGAAAAAAATGGTTGAAAGAAGAGATGTGTATGCTAACAGAGTAAAATTGATGAATCAAATCAAAATCAACCGGCAAAAGGAGAAAAGTAAATATGATAAGGTATTTTCAAATACTGTATTAAATTATTTTTGCAAATACAACTATCTCTAGTAACTCTAAAACCAGCACATTTAGTTCTATATTGATTCAAAATGAAGCTAATGCATATCAAACGTTCTCTTTTTGGGACAACACAGTGATAAGGTTTTGTAAATAATTGACTGAATATACACAAACTGAAAGTAGTAAATATTATCTTCATAATAAATAGGAGTGAGTATATACCACATTTTATTAGTTGACATATGATAGAAAACAGTATTTTGATTTTTAAACATAAACTGAAACTATGTCAAAAATTTGCAGAAAATTTTAAATTGGAAAAAAGAATATATATACAAAAAGTTTTCTCTGATTCTAGCTGCTTAAGTCTTGTCAAGGTGATGAAGTTCTCTACTTTGTAACGTGTAGTATCAAAATTTCAGTACCGTATACAAAATATTCAATGGTTGTACAGTAGCCTACACAGGATGGTTCATATAGGTGGTCTTGACTTACTCGCTTGTAGAGCAAATTTAGCATAAGCTTCAATACAATTTACTATAGAGTTTATACTTTTTAATGCATTCTGTCTTTTGTTAAATCCATGAGTATAACCATAGACAAATATAATTAAATATAGACCAACAGTTACTGTAGTCAGCAGTACTGTAGTGCTGCGGTTAGCATTAGTTCTGGCATAGTTACGGCGCACGCTACGGTACTTAACTACACGGCACCCCAAGTGGTGGACGCCAGAACATGTGCTAACTGCAGCACTGCTGTCGGTCTACAGTATATTTATTTCTATTCGTCTATGATATAACCATTGACATTGACTTCAAAGTAAAATACGAATAAAAGTACATTCCTTCTGGTAGACTTTTTCATTTATGAAAAGCAGAACCATGTTTTATGTGTTAATCATTTACCTATTTATTTTTTACTCGAATCTCTCATGATATTTGTTATTTTTATTTTAGTTTAATTCGATGGCCCCACCAAAGTTGAGTTTTGAAGACTGTTTTCTTCAGCTAACATCAAACAACATGAATGCCTCAATGCCAGATAGAAATTCATCAGGTTTTCCTCCACCAAGTGTAAGTATAGTTCCTTATAAAATCAGAAATTAGATTTTATAGGTGCACATTATGTAAATACCATAGAAAAAAATGTCTGCATACATTTTAAGCTTTGGAAAATAAAGCTTTGATAATTTACCAACCCTGACACATTAAACATACTCTTATTACTTACTGGTATATTAAACCTACAACAAATGCAATATACAAAAACCAACTATGATAATCACAATAACTAAACTTAAACTCTATGTATTTTAACAGGTAACACAGCCCAAGTTAAAACAGCCAAAAACGGAGAAACGAGTGATTCAAGAAAGAATTTTGCAAACAAGCAAAGGAAAAAGAACTGAAGTCAAACAAAATAACAAAACTGTAAATAATATAGAAATAGCCATCTTACAAGAGAGACACGAAAGAGAAAAATCTTTGATTGAATCCTTGAAGAATTTGTATTTGATAACATGACTTGTTGTTTCATTTAATATAATTTTAAAACTATAATGTTGAGAATTACCTTGCTTTAATACAGGGTGAACAACCTCTTTATTACAACTAGCTGTTACGCTGTTACCCACGGGCTTCACCCCATTTGACTTCATAAGTAGTTCATAGTTCATATCTATAGTAAGTTCATAGTTTTGCACAAGGTTTCTCGTCATGACGAACATTTTAAGTACCTATATGGTTTATGGGGGTGTGACTTGTAGTTATCTCAAAAGTTCATGGGTACTTTTGGCTTTATATGTAGATTTGTATTTAAGAACCTATTAGGTTTAGTTTCACGCCCATTTTTTGAAAGAAAAAACAACTAAGATTTTGTTATCAATTATCAATCATTGAGATGGGGACGCCACCTAGATGCGTATTTTAACCCAAATATGAGTGAATGATCAGTGTAGAATGGTGTGAGATGATCTGTGTAGCTTTGTTAGTGACTAAGATCAGCTGTACCGTTAGCCAGGATCATTTATTTAAAGCCCATGATCAGGAACAGCTGGGTCCAGTATCCAGGCATGCACATCTAAACACTTAACTGGAAACAGAGGCTTAAAATAGCGTGTATGGCTCAAAATTCAGATAGCATATGTAATAATATACTGTAGTAACGTATTTCATTAATACATTCGTCCATCTCCAATCCGTATTGATGTCTGAGTAAAATTAACAAACATCAAAATATGAACAATCATAATTACCTACCTGACTTTCAAATTTGGCTGAAGTTTTGGTATTTTTATTTAATAGTCCCAAAAGTGATTTTGGGCAAGATAGTGGTTTATGAACATGAGCGAGGTGAAGCCAAGCGTGGAAAAGACATGGGAGGATCTACATAAGGACATGAGGATCTACTTCATGACAAGTGGTGAACAATACTTTTCATCAGGATGCAAATAATTACACAAAGCTTTTTATAAAAATAAAATAAAATACAAGAGCTTCTATATTATTCCATTGTTTTGTAGCTGTCCGTAAAGTTGTTATAGTGTAGATTTACTATTTATTTAAATGTCAGTTGTTTAAACAAAAGAAACATACATTGCCATTGTTGTGCTAAATGGGAATTTTGTTTGTTTGGGTGAGAAAAAAGCTTGTTTGGGACAGATAATGTACAATATTGTTTGGAAAGGAAAATTAATGTTTAGGATTGGCAGAATCATATGTTTTGATAGATTGGAAATCAAAGGTTTTAGTGAAGCTTGGCTTCAACTTTACGCTTTACTAAATTTACTAATCCATTTACAGAAATTAGAAATTACAACAAAATAAAAAAAAGAAAATAGGAAAAAAAACAAAAATAGAAAAATAGAAATTAAAACAATCAGATAATTTGATTTAAAAAATGACATCTTCATAGATACGATCAAAAAAATATTTGTTCAACAAAATAACATAAAAGCTAATAGAAAATGTAAACATTCATTCACAAAAACAAAGAATGAATCAATAATAATAACAACGACTGGTAAATATAATAACATGTGAATGATCCTCCAAATAATTACATATTATCAATTTTAATTAGAACGACAAAATAAGTAAATTCTAAAACAAAAAACATATCCCGGACACTAAACTAACTATAGAGAGGATCTGGCCCTAAACATTGTAAGGCACTGGTGACTACATAAAACCAAAACTTGCCCATCTCCTGGCCAGCCCACCTGGCTTCTTCTCTAAAAAAACAACTCCCCCTTCCAATGCCAGGGGAGCCTCAAGGTCGTGTATTTGTGACCGTGAGAGGAGGGGGGGGGGGGGTTCAATGTTCAGTAAGTAGCACAAATTCACAATCAGCTTAGGTATAGTGCAGTGTTCAACTGTTCAGAGTTCAGACTATTCAATTCCAGTTGTTCATTCATTTACTAGATGGCAGTAGTGTTAGTGTTTTTAGTGACTATGTGAAAGAACCTTGTGTAAGTTGTCAGAATGTTAAGTTGTCAGCAATTGTAATTAACAATGATTGTGTTCTTAACAATGGTATATAGACACTGAAGGTAATTATGTAAATGAATTATGTTTTTATGCATCTTAAAATCATGGTTTTATCAAAATATTTTAAGTTAGCAATTTGATTTATAAATATATGTTGGTTGGATAACATTTTGTTTGGTTACTGGTGATGAATTAACAATACCTGAGTAATTTGCTTAGTAGTTATTTCCGCCTGGTAAAATTCTTTACAGTATTTTTTAAAGGCTTATATAATTTTAAAAAGTTTTTATTGAAGTGGGTTTTTATGTTAATTAATTTGACTGTATTGATCCCTAACTAAACGTTTTAGTTAAATTATTTTAAATGTTTTTATTACTTAACGGTGGTGAACAATCAATAGGTAGCTAATGAAATATCTCTCAAATTTAACAAATTTATCAATAATACACTAATATTGAAATTTATACTGAAACTGTTATGAATATTCTCTATCAAACTCAGTTTAATTTAGAAAATGCATGATTGAGTTTTTATTGCATAAAACCTGTGTATAAACAATTAAGGTGAAAATATAGGTAAAATATTTAATTGTTTTCTCGAGGAAACAAAATTAAGCTGATTTGTTTGATTTATTAAAATGTTCAAAATTGATTTTTCACGTAAACACACTCCCATTTACATTTACTGTTTTCTTTTATTTTTTTTCTTCTGAGACAAAAATATATTTGAAATTGTTCAGTGCCCACACTGACATTTCTGCCCTCAATATGGTAAAAATTAAAAATAAATTTAAAAAAACTATTAATAAAAAATTATTGGAAAATATTGGGTGTAAAAAAGCAAATGTATACCATTGACTGTACTTTGACTACTATTGGATACTTTCCCAGCTATATAGACCAGCAGTCGCCAATTTTTTATTCTATAAAAAACGTAGTTGTGTGAGCCAGTCACAGAATGCGCTTGTGTCTAAAAAACTATATTTTACTGTATTTTTTGTTGCTAACCAAGTTGTTGTTGACCAAGTTGGGGGGAGCGAGCTGGTCTAGTGGGTAGTGGCGCGGGACTCCGGTTCCTGGAGTCCCGGGTTCAAATCCCGCCAAATAACCAATTAAATTTATCTAAGTGATAATGCCGTAACCCCTAGGTCTAACCTGATTCCTGATGTAATTCGAAAAACAATTCCGGGCTCGTGCCTAGTCTTTGTCTTAGGACAAAAAAAATTTGAATTAAAAATTAAAATTATTTTTTTATTCAACAGGAATAAGGTATATATATCAGCACAATCTGTCCGACTATTTTGATTAAAAAACTGGCGTCAATTTTAATAAGGAGATGGAATGTCTGGTTTAATAGATAGTTAACGATTGCACTAACAAATTTAATTTGTTTGCTTTTAATTGAGTTATTGAAAAAAAATGAATACATATTTTATGCAATACCAATTTTAGATTTTTTTTAAATACAGCCTACCTACTATATTAGTCTATTAGCTTTTCCCTTCAAAAATACCCACAAGCAAAACTAAAAATAATATTTCACACTAAAATCATACACCTGGTTATAAGTGGGGTGTATTATAACCAGTGAAGGTTGGGCAAGGGGGGTAGCTAGGGTGGGAAATCAATAACAGTAAACCAGCTGGTCAACAGACATACTAGAATGGCTGCTTCTCTCTTGTAGGGCTTATAATGTAGAAACACTCATGAATTTGGCTGTTATAGTGAGGAAAAGGCGGCCTTTTGGACCAATGATTCAGGTGGGTGATAACAAACATTCATACATTACAGGGATTAAGGGATGAGATTGCGAACACAACTTATTCTTCTCTGTGAGCAATGCAGTTATATACCTTCTTAGGGCACAGTTAGTAATTTTAATGAAAAGACACTGAAAGCAAAGTGTGCATTACAAATTAGGTAATTGGTGAAATTTAAAAAAGGGGGAAAATGCTAATGATAAGAAGGATAAATTATGTATGTTATCACAATGATAACAATTGTTAGGTCATGCAAACACAAATACTCACTGTAACTGTTACTAATTGTAAGTGGATAAATTTGTTTTGTAATTAAAAAATTAAAATATTCAAAAAGAATTGATCGCTGAATCTAAGACCCGAAATTGTTACAATCCAGGTTGTAATACTATCTACTGTAGATGTTTTCTTACCACATTCAAGATAAATAGGTAGTTAGCTACAACCAATGAAATCAATTGATGCATAATTGCGACACATGCAATTGTATTTCATCAAAGTTCACAACTTTGAGTTTACAACATATGACTTTTACTCCCTAGGGACTAAAAAGGCTTTTTTACTCCCTATTAAGTAAAAGGGCTACTTAAGACCCTCAACGCACGTATTAAAAATGGCTATTTTCGCAGCAGTATGACAAAACCTTCTTTAAATCACCGCACAGATCTGCAGGTCCGTAGTTGACTTTTTATTTTAAAGAAAAAAACCTTGTGTCTAGGTTGGATGCCGACTATGGAACCTGAGCCTAGTGAGTGTGATGGTCCTGACAGTATGCAACATTCTTCTGACAGTTCGTCTGCTACACTCGGAGTGTCCCTCTAGTCCCTCTGTCCCTCGGCCTCCCCCCGCCCCCGTCCACGTCGAGCCCCTCGCTCCCTGCCCCCTCTCTCCTCCATGCAACTCTTCCACCTCGCCTTTCCTAGCTGTGGACCCTCGTCTGGGCCGCTGGGATGCCACAAGACTTTTCAAGATGTTCGACTCGGTTCTTGTCGGAGACCTGTTTACTGAACTTTCACTCAAGTAAGGAGAGTCATTTATTTTTTATATTTGCTAGGATTGTTCCTTGATTTAAAGGTTGGGGAAATTGATGAATAAATTATAACAAACAGAACAAATTGTATGAATCAGTTAGTGATAATATAACTAAAATAAAAAATAGTTATCTTAAAGGATAAGGCATAGAAAGTCAATCTGGTTGGAACAGTGTTTTGATTAAGAATCAAATTTCACTTTTATGGGTTTAACCTATTTAGAAACATTACATTTTATCGAGACTAACATTTTAATAAGCACTGCAGACTCAAAAATGCTCAAGTGTAGGGAAATCAGTCATGCAAAATCTTTTTTCTCCCCCCCCCCCCCCCCCCCCCCCACTATAGCATGGGAGTACAAGTACACATAGTTAAAGAGCCAATGCCATATAATAAATTCCAAATGCAATCAAAAGATTTGTCACCAATGTATATGAGAAATATATCAGCTAAAAGTGGAATTTAAATGTTATCTAACTGTATTCCAAATCATTAATTTTTTCAGCTGAATGCAGTGTTTATTTTTGAATATCAACAATGTCTTTATTGATTACATTTTTGTTATGTGTATGTTTCAAATGTGTAGTTTAGTTGCATTGTATACTCTTGTCTAACATTAGTGCTACTGACAGGTTCAAGGTAACCATTGCTACGCAGAGTTCTCTAGAGAAGTTACATTCCCTTGTCCAAGTCTCCCATCACTGGGCTGGACCCATCTCCGCAGCTCTCTACGCGGCTGGCGATCACGAGTACAGACTTTTACAGGGTGAGTACTACTTGTTTGTGTCAATTAATATAGTTTAAAATAGGGATGAATTTTTTTTTCTGCAACAAAAACTTTTGTTTTTCAATACATGCCTTGTAGGGCTAAAGAAGTTGTGCAAAACTTTGATATCCGAATCCATTGAAACATTGATTGTTAGAATCCATATGGAAAGTTTGGGTTTGTCTAGACTTGGTTTGGTTATCGATTGAATCCATATTTTGATGTTCGATAATACGGTGGAGTCAAATATCAACGTTTTGCAGAACTTCTTTAGCCCTGCGATGCATATATTGAAAAACGTCCATAGCAAAAATAATTAAAAGGAGTCAAGGACACCAAGATGTACATGTTTCTAACTAAAAAAATTTGTGTTGCTTCCAAATATTGAATTGGCTGTTTGTAAAACTATAGTAAAAAAAGTCAGAAATAATTTTGTTACCGGTAGTTAATTTATAAAGTTAAACGCTGTACAAAATTATACTTTTGTGATTTAGTTTGCTTTTAAATAATGGCACAGTACGACAAAAACTATTTTTCATCACACAGGCCAAATGTTACTTTTTGACCACCGCTTATTTCCCAACATCCACTCTGTCTTGGTAGTTCAACTTGGAATGTTAACATGTTTTGTCGAAAAGTGTAATTTTAGACCGTAGGTACGGGTAAAATATATTGCACTGCATTTTTTTTTGTATAGTACTTTAGGATTATGTTGCTCTTGATGGATTGCAATTTATTTTATACTAGTGTTTTACAAGTTATAAACGAGAGATCCTTTATGTGGAACGTTCTAGTGGTCTTATCTTTTGAGTAAATAAAACTTGTAAACTGTTTAAAGGCAAATTACAGCTGGTGAAAATTCTCAATACTTAAATGAATTAAGTGGTGTCAAATGATCATTAGAAGTAGGGTGTGGTGAAAACCACCTAGAAGGCATGGCCTGGAGTTAATATTAAAAAATACAATCAATATATCCCTTAAGAAGTGGGACGAAACTACCCCTTCCCCCATGCCTCTTCTAATCACTAACCCCTGCTTACACAATTTTCATGAAATTGTTAACTTTTTAATGAAAAACAAATACAGTAGGAACATTTTTTTTATGAACTTTCTTTATAGATGCTGAATTGTATCTTTTCTATAATTTTGTTTATTAGTAGGTAGGCCTAGGTTTTTTATTTAGACCCTGAGAGCATATTTTCAAAAATTATACCTAAAACATTCTTGGGATTTTTCAGGGTGCCGAAGCCAATCCCTGCAAGTCCCATATTTTTAACTTGGAACATTGTGTGAAAAAACCAAAATGGAAGTCAATAAGGATTTACCGAATTGTATACCTTTTCCTGTGCATATTAATAAGCTAAAAAGACCAATAGTGTCTCTGCTAAATGAGTATATAGTTGAAGAAGATTTTACCTACGATGTTTTTGAAACATACAAAACTGGAATATGCCCAATGGTTACCATTCCTGAAAATCTGGCGGAACTTCATTCTGGTTTAGAAGATATGTTACATGTGATTAGGCTTGTTTCTTTGAGATATGACATTGGGAGGGATGCATTGAGGATTGCTATCCATTTATTTTACAGAATAGTACTATTAGAAAAAAACTATTACTATCATGACTTTATTTTATATTACGAGCAATATAACAAATCTTGGTTAGTTTTCTCAGAAGAATACCACAGCAACTATAAAGAACTGCAAGATTCACCATATGAGGAGGATGAATCTCATAGGAATCATATGAGATCAAAATCAGAAACAAATAATCACACTGAAGAAGCAACATCTTTTAAAATCCTTTCAAATTCCGTCAAAAAAATTGATCTAGGAACAGATCGATCATTTTCTGGTGCATACGCTAGTGATGTAAATAATTTTGATGATAATACAAGCTCAATGATTTCCAGTTTGGAACTAGAAAATGGAAAGAAGTTAGATGTTTATCCTGATAAGCAAAAAGTTCTGGCACAGTTGAAAAATGTAAATCATAAGATAAACAAGAAATGTTTTTATATCGATAGGACGGAGTGTTCAAAAGAGTGTTCACATTCTCAGTTTGTACGTTACCAACTGTACAGAACCGGAGATTTCCTGATGGCCACAGGAGATGACGGCGATGAATATAGACAATGCCATTGCTACAGAATGAAAACTTCTGTAGTCCGAGACATTCACCCGTGCTTCAGAGATCTTGCGTGGGGAACTAAACATCTTTGCTTGTACAGATATTGGTGCTTCGTCAACTGTTATATTAGGAGTAAAAGTCTAGAAATGCTAAAAAGTATTCATCCTAACATCGAGATTTTAGAAGAGGGATTTTTAGCTCCATGTATTATGAATAATCCCAAACGGTTGACACTGAAGACTACTGCTCTTAAATGTCTCGTTTTAAACTACTCGAGCATTTGAAAACGTAGAGGAGACCTAACGGATGGGAATTCCTTAGTGTAACACGTCCTTAGAAGTGGACGTTTTTTTACACTCAAGGCACCAGAGCTACTTTATCATTGCATCATCCCATGGTAATAATACAACAATACAACTTCAAACCACAGTAATTATTTCTAGTCAGTCTTATATAATAAAATTAAGTGGCAGCGCCAACAATGCAGGGGTTCTCTAGGAAAATACTCGTACTTTTGGGCCCTCAATGTAAGCTATATTTGTAAATAAAAATAAACCATAGGTCTTTCATAATCTTAATAAATTTTGTGTAGAAACTAAGTATGATTTTTTTCTACAACAGTGTGATTTATGACGCCATAAAAATTTAAATTGAAGCCTTAGTTACATCTCTTGGTCTTCTTATCTCCTCTCAGCTGTTGGATGATCCATCTAACCTGATTCACCTGGCTCACTCAATAATAATGTCTCACTAATGGTATTAACCAATTTTTTGAAGTAATACTTTTTACCGGTACTGAAATGTTTACAACTCTCCCTAATCTACCTCATTATTATTATTTTTGCTTGACCCAGCCACCATCAAGTCTCCAGCCTGGTTACATCTTATTCATACTACACAGCAGAATTGGCCTGATCTAGTATAAAGCTATGAACAAAACTTTACTGGAAAATGGAAAAATTAAAACTATAGAATTTTGACTATAAATGAAAACTGAGCAAACTAAACAAAGTATTTACTTAAAAAACAATAGATCCTTCTTTTATAAGATCATAAATTTAACACACTGTCTTAGTTCCTTCATGTGGGCAGTTTTACCTAAAATTATCAGTAACTACTCAACTCATATACCATATGGTATTGTACTAAATCCAGTCTCATTCTGATTGTATTGTAAACTAGCTGTGTGCCCGTTATACGCACGGGGATCTAATAGTAGTCAGTCGAATGTGACAAAAATCACACAATGTTGGGTTTTTGGACATTTATAATTTTATTTCTTAAGTAGGTACCTAGGCCATGTATTCTATGGAAAAGTACCAGTATCAAGGATTGTCGTTAAAAAGATTGTTATTAATAAATATTAATAACAACCTTTTTAACGACAATCTTTGATACTGGTACTTTTCCATAGAATACATGGCCTAGGTACCTACGCTGTATGGTCCAGCGATTGCATCACACGGTGAGTAGAAACAGAAAGTGACCCATTGGAAAAGCGAGTTTGGCATCATCCGTAAACCTCTGTTACAATCACCCACTGCAGTTGTGATTTTTTTACTTTACATTTTACACAGTCGCCATTGAAGCGCGTCAATGAGTGGAAACCTTGTTCGTAAGCTATTGGCGACGATCTTTAAGTGTCCCAGCCCTATACAACACTGATTCAAGGTCTTTTTTCTGGTTATCAAAACTCAAGAACAATTTTGCACACAGAGAATTTCATCTGGTTCCTGACCTGGATGATGCCTAGTCATTTAATTTCATTAACGGTTACACTATAATATTGCACTTGCGATTAATATCATATCATTCATATCATTCCTAGCATTATGTAGGAAAAACGTTTTAATCTCACTTGGTTGGGATTTTCTTTCAAAACGTGATCGGAAATGGTTGTGGTATTTGTAAACATATCAGTAACAGCTAGAAAAAAATAATCTTGATCCGAACAGCTGTTCGTTATTTCATAGATGATTATTTGATAAAAAATTTGACAAAAATCGCACAAAACTGAATTTTTGAACGTCCGTAATTTTATTTACAAAGTAGTGAGGCCATATTTAAATAGGTAAAGACACTCTCGCAAATCCAGTGAATACATGAAAATGACTTTGATCTTGATAGGTACAGTACTCTCGTTTTCATGGAGAAGATTGTGTAAAATGCCATCTTGAGTGTTACAGACAGACAGACAGAAATAGAGATAAGACTTGTTTCTGCCTCTTTAATGTACAAAACATAAAAATAACCTAAAAATATATAATTCTGAGCAATGTACAGACAAAACTCTAATTTTATTTATATAGATTATGGAAAATCATTTCTATATTGCCTTGAAACTAAAAAATCAAACTTTAAAATAGGTGCAAATGATCATTTTTTTAATTGTGTTTATTTTTTTATTTGGTTTGCTACAAAATGCTTTGAAACATTACTTTCAAATAATCATCTCCTGTAATGTGGTTGTTCATGACCACTCAGTCCAATTTTATATTATTTACTTTGTCGAAGAAATTAGCACAAATGTTTGTTTTACCATTAAATTGGTCCGCTGTCACTACAAATAATTTTACTCTTTATGAAACTTGTCAGTTAAATTCAATCAATATTTTAAACAAAATTGTGTTTTTCCCATTGATAACGATTTCATCAAAATAACTACAGTGCAATAAATCTTTTAAAAATTCAAATGTGTCCAACAATTTAGTCTGATTTTCCATTTAACCAGCGTCAATGTTTGTAACCAAGATATTTTTCAGGTTATGTAAATTTCCTAAGACGATGCTACAAACCGGTCAAGGAGCGAGTCAGTTTTCATCTGATTTTTCCAAAAGACAAACTTCCCAAGTCACAAGTGACGGCCGAGAGGTCAGAACACTTGGACTGTTTGCAGCCCGAAGGTGCTCTCAACCAACTTCTCCGCAAGAGGCCAACAGACGTTGTGCGGTGGCGACAGAGAAATCCTTACCCACAAAACCACATGAGAAACTTGGCGAGGAAAAACTGCCAAACTCTCTACGTGTTTCTCACAGATATCGATATCATCCCAAGCGCTCATTTAGCAGAAAGCTTGGACTCTTTTCTCAGCACTGCTCACTGCACTGGCAACTGTGCTTATGTGATACCCACTTACGAACTCGACGAGAGAGTTCGCTTCCCGAGGAACAAGAGTGATCTGATCCGGTTGGCTAACAAAGCTTTGGCTCAACCGTTCCACCACAAAGTCTTCATTTACAACCAGTTTGCTACAAACTTCTCGAGGTAATTCGAGGCCTTATTCAAGAATAAGTTGTAAATAAACATTTTTTTTCTTTTTTTTCTTAATGGTTTTAAAAGAAAGTGACACAAGTTGTTTATTTAATCTTCCACTTTTGATTGACACATATGTTGCATGAATTTGGATGAGAAAGACAGTGAGTGACATTGCTTGTCAGGAGTCTATTGATGAAGGTTACCAAATTGACATAACTTAAATAAACTACAACTATAGGTTATTGAGTAAGGTACATGTACTTTTTTATTAGGAAAAACTAACCAGTACTTAAAAAAGTTTTAGTCCACACAATTGTAGTTTGTTGGGTGATTTCCAGGTGGGAAGATGACTTGAATGATCAGGTGCATGTCAGCCATAACGTGACTAATTTTGAGTTTCTGTACGAACCATTTTATGTGGCACAAGACACAGTTCCATCTCACGATGAGCGATTCTTGGGCTACGGGTTTACACGGAACACTCAGGTAAGTTAATGATATAACAATTTCTCTACTCGTTGATGTTTAAACTTTAAAATGTTAGGCCTACACCACTTATACTAGTACATAAAATAGACCGGCTTCAAAAGTATTAATATTCAACCTTATTTTGAGATAACATGGTGAAGAACAATGAACATCCTTAACCATCATATCCAATACAGTAGAAGAATGAGATTAGCATTGTCTTTCCTGGGATTTATTAAATGTTCAATTGATATCAACAGTTCTTTGCACAACCTTTTACGATCATACATCGTCAACTATCATTGAAGTATTTTCTAGTTAACTTGATATGACTGTGAAAGTGTATAAATTTTAGAGATATTGATGTTTTCCATTGTTTTAGAGCATGATTAATGGTGAAGCGTAACTGTTTCTTTCATATACAAGTTTGTTTCTTAGTGATCTCCACGTTCTGAGCTCAACATATATTACAGAATAAATTAGAGAGGTCTTTATTCAACAAAAATAATAGTGGGGGTAAGACGTTTTTTATTTTAGCATCAATGATGCCATCTGATAAAACTCCATTTATTATTTTCTTAGCCTAGGGTAAATTTTTCCACCCTTTGAGAAATCTATATAGGCAAGCTGTAAAATGTCTTTCTTGTTTGAAAATTACTTTTGATAGGGATTGCTATTACTTCATGATGGCAAGAACATTATGCAGTCGAACAACAACGAAAATATAACTAATCCTGTGGGAAAAAAATGACGAATCAATATTATTTTTTAATATGTGATTAAGGATCCAATTGAGAGGGGTAGACAACTGGGTGTATTTTAACCCAAATTTTAATGTAGAAAATAATGAGATGCATTATTTAGCTTTATAAGCAAGATCAATTGTTGCTTTTACCAGGACCATTTATTTATTAGCCCATTGATGACTAACTACTAAACCACTTTCGAACCATTAATGATGTAAGCTGATGAACAGGTGTACGAGATGTACGTGGCAGGCTACCAGTTCCAAGTGCTCTCTCCAGTCTTCACCTGTCATTGGGGACTACAGACGCGCAAGGGCCGACCTTCATGGCGGGAGAAGCAGAACAGCTCCAACCGCAGGAAGTTCGACGTCTTCAAGAGAGAAGTGTTTGCGAGGTACCACAAGGATCCATTACACATGGTCCAACAATCACCCGACAACCCTTCCAAGAAAGTGATTCCGTTGAGGATTGTCAATCCGGCTCAAAACAAACAATAAATTGTAAGAACTATATTTGTGTCGTTTGATGTTTACGTACTTAATGGTTGTAACCAAGTCAGATAAAAGTGATAAACAAGACTGGATATTGTAAATCAATAATACAGGGTGCAACAATAATACTCAGTACTAGCACCTAAGGTTAATTGGTTGGTTGATACATCAAGACCAATTATATGTAAATTAGGCTGTGGTAGTATATGTTAAGTAGCTTTAATGTATTGTTACCTTTTATAAGTGGGAGTGTGAATAATGAGATATAAGTTAGGTATGATCCTATGTAAGGAGCTTGTTTATTTGAATAAGGAATTTATTTGTTATGTACGAGGGTTGTTTTCTAAGTAAGGGCCGGTTGCGTGTATAGTCCCGTAGTTCGCGCGGATGCCGCAACAATCCACCGCGCCACTTGCCGGCATCCTCCCGGTTCACACTGATGCCATTTGCAGCTTTGTAGCTGACGTGTACGCATTGCTGTGCTACTTTATAATGTTTACGATTATTGAATCGCCCGCCGCGTGTGAGATACGGTCAGTGATACGTTTTTTGACCGCAAGAAGCCTATCAGCTGCAGAAATTCATCGTCAGTTAACAGAAGTTTATGGCTTGAATGCAATGAGTGAAGGTAAAGTTCGACAATGGGTTAGGGAGTTCAAAAAAGGCCGTCAAAACGTCCATGACGAAGAACGCTCAGGCCGGCCCTCTGTGATCACTGATGATTTGGTGGCTGCAGTCGAAACAAAGGTTCGTGAGGACAGAAGATTCACAATTTCCACTCTTTCTTTGCAATTCCCACTAGTTTCAAGATCTGTTTTGTACAAAATTGTGTCTGAAAAGCTAAACTTTAAGAAATTGTGTTCTCGGTGGGTACCCAGACTCCTCACAGAGGACCACAAAGTGAAGAGATTTGCCACTTCATTGGACTTTTTGACTCGTTACGACGAAGAAGGGGATGACATGTTGAGTCAAATTGTCACTGGAGATGAAACGTGTGTATCTCATATCACTCCCGAAAGCAAGCGACAATCAATGGAATGGCGACACACAACCTCACCCGTCAATGTCAAAGCCAAACAGACTCTGTCAAAGCGCAAGATTATGGCAACTGTGTTCTGGGACCGGCGCGGTGTTTTGCTAGTGGACTTTATGCCACGAGGAACGACGATCAACTCAGATGCCTACTGTGCAACTCTAAAGAAGCTCCGCAGAGCAATTCAAAACAAACGGCGCGGCATGCTGACAAAAGGAGTTTTGCTTCTGCACGATAACGCTAGGCCTCACAACTCTCAAAAGACTCGGGATTTGATTGATTCTTTTGGCTGGGAAGTTTTGGACCATGCACCATACAGCCCCGACCTTGCTCCTAGCGATTTTCACCTTTTCCGGTACCTGAAACACCATCTTGGCGGGCAGCGCTTCAATGACGACAATGAAGTGAAAGCGGCCGTGAACTCTTGGCTGTCGGAGCAGGCGGCCGAATTCTTTGAAGAGGGAATTAAAAACTTAGTTGTACGTTGTGACAAGTGCTTAAGAGGCGGCAGGAGTCAACCACCACGCTACTGGCAGGGCCTGCTATTTAACATGGGACTAATTTACTTTTCACTTAACTGCAATTAAACGATTGCGTATTTGGCATGGATCAAAAAGTAGTATTAAAAAGCATAACTTAACCTACGTGTAGCATGCAAAAACATTTAAAAAAATTTTTTTTTTAATTTGTTTTTGTTGAAATAAAAAATATTATTTTCCATAAGGATTTGACAGAACTAGTTCAATGTTACAGTAGGTAAACGTTATCGTAAAATTGTGAAATTTGGCTTACAAGTAACCTTATATATTCAGTCTTAAAACTACTTTTTAGTTTTCTTGAAAAGTGAATTGGTTTCAATGTTTTTCGTTGTTTTAAAATAACTCTACAACTGCAACCCCCTCACGCGCAGCGCGGGGCGGCGTAACAGTTCAGCGTTCTCCACACAGATAGCACTAGCGTCGATGTGAAAGAAAAGGCGCGCAAAATACAAATTTTAGTATAAACCCACACTTAGCAAAGTCTACATCGGAAGATCAACAATTTTGGCAGTGTCAGTATTATTGAGTTGTTTCTATCAAACCGTGATGGGTCATCTGAAGAAGTTCCCGTCGAGGACGAAAAAGCGGAAGCTGCCTTCCTATTTAAAAAAATACTTTGATGATAAGAAGTAAGTATGCATAATATTTAGTCTTGATTTTAGAATATGCCTGGATACTATATAGGAGACTTATTGTGGTATTAGTACTGTAATTCAAAAAAATAATTATGTGCAATTCAATTAACTTCACTGTGACTTAAGAGGGACTTTTAAATGAGGCCTACAATAATTTGTAGTAGGTATTTACTGTCCAAACTTAAAAAAAACATATATTTTTTGTCAGTTTGACGTTTGACGCATTAGCATTGTACCATCATATCTCTTGTATTTTCAGGAAAGAACCAAGTCACGATGGGGAGAAAGACGCAACAGAAACTTCTCACGTCTCAATGCTGTGTGGTCGTAGAATAGTGACAATTAAAGATATTTTCGATCAAGTGAAAGAATTAGATAATCATAGTCCTACAGGTTGTAGTTTCAAAGATTTGACATTTTTGCGGGAAAAGAGAGTTGGACTGAAGAGTGGTTTTGTATTTAAATGTTCCATGTGCAACATAACAAAGGTTATTTGGTCAGAAACAAAGAAAAATGATTTGATGGATGTAAATACAAGTGCTGTTAGTGGAACTATGGCAACAGGTGGGGGCCATGCTCAATTAGAGGAAGTTTTTTCCACAATGGACATTCCCCCGATGAGCAACAAAACCTTTAAGAAAATAGAGGACAAGGTAAATATAAATTATTTTAGGGAAACATTTACTGTATGTCCACTTATTTGCTTTGGATATAACGTAAGTTAAAAAGTTTAACCAATCCTTTATCCATTAATCATATAATTCATTTCACGGCTGTTTGTTTATCACTATTATTAACTTTATTTGATGTAAAATTATTATTATTATTCAAGATTTGCCATTTGCTACAATAACGTCGTATATTGGAGACCGTTACTAAGTTGTAGTTATTATTTTTTTTTTTTATATATGTACAATAGTTTATATTTAATTATATAACTACCTTTTAGGTAATCTCGGAGTTGGTAGCTACAGCTGAGTGTGAAATGAAAGAAGCAGCACAGGAAGAAGCAAGACACGCAGTAGAAAATGGAGAGGTTGACGAAGATGGCACGCCGCTTCTCACTGTCGTTGCTGATGGCAGCTGGTGCAAAAGGTCCTACAGATCTAATTACTCGTCATTGTCAGGAGTGGTAAGTAGGTTTGACCCCCCGTCTGGGCAAACAAATGTTGTGCTAGTTTTTTTAGAAATTTTTTACGAAATATTTAATCAATTTACTCAACTAATAATTACCGTAAGCTTTTCATACAAAATCTTTTATTATTTTGTGTTAAATTAAACGGTTGGTTGGATATCAGTTTTGTTATGGTTAGTTAGCCATCAGCAGGGACGTAACTAGGGGGGGGGGGGTGAATGATAAATGCTATATAACTGTTATTTTACTGTTTACGAATCATAACGGTACGTATGAACTTGTACGGTGCGAGAATGAGGATAAGCATACTGCGTTATCTGTCTGTACTCTGTCGTCGATGAGTCACTAGGACGGCGCCGGCGCGGCGTCAAAACACTTACACACCCCTCCCGAAACCCACCTACCCCTCCACACACCATCCCTCACACCAGTCACCACGCACACACACACACACACATACTACAAACACAACACTAGCAATACTAGTAATATTATTAGTTACTAGCAATATTATTTTCGTGAATCATTTCGTTTTCAAATAAAATATTTGTCTTTGAAAATACGAACCATATTGCATTCAATTATTTACCACCTATACAGTATCTAGGCCTTAATACTTTGAACTTGGGGTTAAGCATTTTAAGATCTAAATACTGTTGTATTAATGTATTGCACCGATGGACACACCACACATTTTTTAAGAAGATTTGTAAGGAATTGGGTTCAGTCCAATTGAAGGGGGGGCGCCAAAATAGGTGTTTGCCCCGGGTACTGAATAGCCTAGTTACGTCCCTGGCCATCAGTATTTTCGGATGGTTGGGCCATTGTTGGAGAATGGTTGGTTGGAAAACAGTTCAAAGTGATGGCATTTCTACCGTTGGCCAACTGTGTGGCTCCACAATTTACCAACGTTGGCCCAACCATCTGTGCTACATGGGCTTGCGAATAATCACCTTTCACTCCATCACATCAAATTGGGTGTGACAGGTTTATTGCTACGAGGGTATTTATCTGTTCTCAAAAGAAAATAATTCTCTATTATAAAAAATTGGCAACTAACGCGTGTATGTAATGTGTACTACTAAGGTTTTTGGGTTTTTATTTACAGGCGGCTATTGTCGGCCACAATACAAAAAAGGTGCTGTACATGGGAGTGAAGAATAAATATTGCACTCCATGCTCCCGAGCTGCATCTTTAGGAAAGGAGCCAACAGAGCATACCTGCTACAAAAACTGGGAGTCAACCCAGAGCTCTTCTAGTATGGAACCTGCCATCATCGCAGACGGCTTTCAACGTAGTGAAGAGATGTATGGAGTGAGATACGCTCGTCTTATCGCAGACGGCGACAGTAGCGTATACAAAAGGATTAGAGAGAGCAGACCATATAAAAGTATTACTGTTGAAAAAATAGAATGTAAGAACCATTTGCTGCGAAACTTCTCCAACAAGCTAAGGCAAATTGCAGTTACATCGAACAAAAACAAAAACAGTATCCTTATGAGGAAAAAATTTGGTGAAAACGTTTTCCGTTGTAGAATGGCTGTCCAAAAAGCCCAGGAATACAGGAAGAAACAAGATTTGCCAAACGTAGAAAAGATTAAACAGCTGAGGCTGGATATTTTGAATGTACCCAGTCATGTATTTGGACAGCATGAGCATTGTAGAGAAAGGGGATACTTTTGTACAAAGGAAGCGCAAGATGTAAATAGTGAAGGAAATTTTGTTCCACAGTTAGTGTCCGCTGGATTGTATAATTTAATCTGTGATGTTATTCGTGACCTGAGCCGCCATTCACGGAGTTTGATCACGGATGTAACCTCTAATGCAGTTGAGCACTACAATTCGATCGTGGCTAAGTACATAGGAGGAAAACGGGTGAACTTCGCCATGAGAGGATCGTACCAAGGACGGTGTTCAGCGGCAGTTCTTCAACATAATACAGGAAACACCCACTACGTACTCCACAAGCACATGTACAAAGCTAGCCCTGGATATTATACCAAAAGTACAGGTTTGAAAAGAAAAAGAAAGGTTGAGAAAGGACAGGGACAGAAAAAATCAAGAAAGACATTGTTTCAGGTGAGCTCTAACAGCGATGCGGATTATGGCGTAGCAGCCCAAAAGCCGGACATCGACGAGGAAACAATGAAAATGGAAACCGAAGAATTTCTAAAAAAACTTCAACGATCAAAAGAGGAAAGAATTCGAATCGAGCGAGCCACCGTCGAACAAAGTGACAGTGGAGAGTGGCTCGAAATACGCCGTAACCTATTGACCGCCTCTAATTTTGGGCGTGTATGTAAAATGAAACCAACGACCGGTTGTGGTTCGTTGGTAAAGCAATTATTATACTCTACTTTTGACTGTGAGTCAATGGCCTACGGCCGCCAAAATGAACCGGTGGCCAGAGAAGAAGCTGCTTCTTTATTACAGAAAACAATACAACCATGCGGCTTGTTTATCAACGACGAAAAACCTTTTTTAGGGGCATCTCCTGATGGGTTAATCGACGATGATGGCTTGATTGAGATCAAATGCCCATCTTCATGCAAAAACCTGACACCGGATGAAGCAGTCATCTCCAGAAAATGTACATTTTGGAAAAAGGAAAAGGATGGAACGATTGGTGAAATAAATAAGGGGCATGACTTTTACTACCAAATGCAAGGCCAGTTGAGCATTACAAAACGACGTTATTGCCAGTTTGTACTGTGGACAACTAAAGGAATAAAAATGGAAAAAATCGAACGAGATGATGAGTTCTGGCAAAATAACATGGTCCCTAAGTTAGAGAGATTTTATCTCAATTGCATTCTACCTGAATTAATTGATCCCCGCCATTGCAGATCAATGGAAATCCGAAATCCGTCGTATATTGTTAATGCCCAGGAAAAGCAAAAAGCATCTAAGAAGACAAACAAAAGCGATGGTTAAATGTCATCATAGCTTGTAAAATGATCATTCATTTTTGTACATATAATTATTTTTAATACATGTTTGTTTTGATTTTTTTTAAAGACTCATTAACATCAACTACATTGTAAAGCCGAAATAAATAGTTTTCTAAAGGAAAACATGAGTATTGAATTGACCATACCCATTTCCATCAAATTATTTAAACTCAGTTATATAAATTGATTGTAAATGAAAACTCAATTCCATAGAAGAACTTTTAACGTAATGTAATAAAACATATATTGAAAAAACAACAATTAGTTATGGTATCTCATTTATGAAATAAATAAAGTAATGAATAAATAAATAAATAAAGCTATGAAATTAATTGCATATTTGCATAAACGTAAAATTTCAAATTTAATTCAGTTTTACCAAAATAATATAGTAATAATTACCGGCTTCTCGCACGCACTACATACATTTTAAAACTAAAAAATAAAATTTTAAAACGTATAAATTAAATTTGTACGTTAAAAATTAGCGTAGCATTGCAGGCCGAATGTTTGTTTGTGTAAAAAGACAGATTCATTCGACCCGTCGCGTCGGCCACAGTATTGCACCATTTAGAAATGTACGAACTGTCCATTTTTCAACACTGCTCTAACCATGGAAGTTACGATCAATAGGCTCAAGGTCAGAAACTAGCCGTGCGGGTTGCGGACCGTACAAATGCAGGAGTCGCAGATTGACGATTTTCAACCTGACTCCTGCCGCCTCTTAAATAAACAAGGCAATTATATAGAAAAATAGGTAAAAGTGTGTAGAATCTGAAAATATAAATTATTTTACAAAATTATTTGTATCTTTTTGTTAAAATAAAAACGGCCCTTACTTAAAAAACAACCCTCGTATTTTAGTAAAGTGGCAGATTCACAAAACATATACTTTTGGAAGGCTGGTTCCAGTTGATTTATAAAATGAATTTTATCAGGAAATTGTTAAGTTATTTATTAAAGTCTGAATAATTAATACAATTGATATTTGAAATCATTCAACACATTGTTACACTGGCATGATTTATAATTTCACACTAGGCAAAATCAACAGTTATTGTTGATGTTTCGAGCAAAATCATTTAACTATCAATCGATAGTGAATAACTCCATTTTTGGAGTATTTTGGGTTTTTTTGTGATTCAGCAGCGTGCTTTAGGTACGTACAATCATAGACTAAGCAACACAAGGGAGTATGTTTTATCTATGGTACAATCTTAATAATCAATAACTCAAATGAAAGCTGGCATTTCACTGGAGGTTCTTAGATCAAAACATAATGGATAACGTAATTAGAATTGAGTAAATATATCTAAAATTAAATTCCATATTGGAGGAATAATCAAATTTATATAGTTTTGGCCATAACTGATTCAAACAATCATTATTTCAAATTAAAGCTTTTATATTTAGGAGTATTTTAAGACCAAGACATATAAAATAACTAAAATAAAAATGTAGTTACGTATCATTGATTGCAGATATGCCTGCGTCTGATCTTAAAAATCCAAAGCTCAAATGAAAGCTGGTATTTCACAGAAGGTTCTTAGACCAAAACATATAAGATAATGTAATTAGAACTGATGATACATCTTTAATTGAAGTAAGAATTTTTTAAAAATCGAATTTATGTTTTTGGTCAAGTAATACGTCAGATAAATGAATGTCGATGCTTGATAGCAAATCTGTGCATGCGCACCTTTAATTTAAGAATTATTATGAAAATCGGTCGAGTAGAAGAGCCGGATTCGGAAAAGAAAAACTAATAATTTTAGATATATTGATTAATAAGATAAACCTGCAAGACCAATCAAGCTGAAATATAAGAAGCATTATCAGAGGACCGAGAAAATAAGTCATTGTACCTTTATGTTCAAAATATCAGAATGGGATGAGCAAAAACAGCTTAATTGGTCAAGTCAAAACCACTTAAGTGAGATGGAACAGTAAACAGATATCTAAATATTTATACTATAGCCAAGTTGATAACCATTTTGATGGTCATATGCAATAATACAGAGACTAGGGTTTTTCACTTCTCAAAAGCTTTCCAAAATTCTTCTTAAGGGTGCTCTACCACAGCTCGGAAATCTTAGCTCGGGCTTCAGTAGCTATGTTGCGCAATTGAACAGCATCGCGAGAAGCGCTTGCAGATGTTTAAGTTCTCTCAAATTACTTAGTTAAGTTTGTTTTTTTTTAACTGAAGAAGGTTCCTTACTCCTTTGATTCAAATTTATGAATATCGTTTTTATTTTTTTCTAAAAATTCATTTTCATGTGTATTGGTATTATGCTTATGAAAAAGCTATTTTGAAGTATTTACTAGTCACTTCCTACTTAAAATTCTACTATTACCAAAAAATTAAAACAATACAAGCCTACAAAAATAACTAATGAAAAAATTAACATAAATATATTTTAAATCGGCTAAGAACTAAGCCGACAATGACGGAATCCTAAACCCTTGCAATAGCATGCAACGGACTGGTAGAGCGCACCCTTAACCAATTTACTAGTGAGTATACTTTTAAAGTTTGTTTTGTTTTCCTATTGTTTGGAACAATGACTAAAAAAGCAATGTATTAAAATTAAATTTTGCACAAAAATAAATATTTTCAGAGCAATGTAATTCTATTTCCACTATTGTATACTTTTGACATAGTAAAGTTTATAATGCAATACGTTGTTGTTATTATTATTACCTTTCTGTTTGATTACAATACAGAGTTGAGTGAATGTAAACATTTCTTACTAGATAAGACTAACTCAGTATTTAAGAGTCCTTGGAGTTGGAGTTGGTCCTTTGGTGTTTGGAGAAAATATTTTAAGCCGATAAATAACTCTTCAGCAGCTGTTTGAAATTACCCAAGATGGCTGCTAGCCATTTTGTTTGTTATTTTTACCTATGTATGATCAATGCCCCGGCGTACTTATACTAAACCGTTCAGCTAATTCAGGGCTTCATGGTGACTGTATGAGCCGGCCGTTTAGCGATCTATTTTTATTGTTACATGATTTTTTTTTTTTTTACAGATGCCGTGAGTTTGCGTTGCCATTGGTGAATTATTTTGTTTTTAATTGTTGTGTGTAGTGAATTGTTCAAAAATGGATGATGATCTCCATTCGAGTGATATTAGAGAACCTTTATGTGATTTTATGTGAAGCAATTTAAGTGCAATATGGAACATTATGTAGATGTACCAAATGCAGTTCTTATTGTATAAAAATTAATAAAATTCTCTTTTATTCATAAGGGTAGCGAGAAGTTACATCTATGTGTTATTAAATGAATTTATAACAGGTATCGGTATTGAGTGCGGAATCGAGAATCAAAACCAAAGTTCTGGAATCGGACCATCACTGGTTTAAAAAATAAAAAGTATAGATATTGAAGAAGCTCAAAATATTGATGTAACTGTTCAGGTTGGGAAAAAAATTTCAAAGATTGATTATAAATACTCCATTTAAATTACCCACCCCTAAAAATTCCCTGATGGATGAATTTTGCTTTAATATTAAATTATTTCCAGTTTTTGCTCATAATATTGTTGATTTCATTGCATTGTTTATTATTCAACTGGGAACATAGGAATAACGCTCAGAAAATTCAGTTCATTTTGAGCTCATTTCTTTTTATAAGTACAGAAATAACAAAATAATTGCAGTACAACAGAGACATAACCAGTGTTAGCGATATGAGATTCACACTAGCTAGTAATATTTTACAATTGATTTCTATATAAATTATCGTACAAAAAATACAAAATTTTTGGTTTTAACCAATATTTAAAAGATCAATGTACATTAAACTATAAATAATCTATGGCCATCGTTAAAATCAGATTACGAAGCCACAGTAACACAAAAGAATTTAACTAAATCTGTACAAAAGTCGATAACCTCGAAAATAGTCGTTTCGATATAAACAATAGACAGTTTAGTCGTACACACAAACTCGCGCAATAAATAATTTATTTATATATTTATATATATATATTTATAAAAAGACAATAAGCATCTGTTTGGAAACAATATAATATATTTACTAGTCTACGATCCGTGGCAATGTTTATTTCCACTCTAATACTGCTTGATCATTCACAACGATGGCCCAGTACTTATCTACAGGACGCCTAATTCATACACAGATCGACGAGTGAAAAACAATATAGGACAGTGTCGACAACATTTATATATAAAAGTCGAGTATTTACAATATATACACGAGTTACATTAATAATTGCACTGAAGTTAGGAGGCCTGGGGTCACCTCGCCGCAGGCTGACTGAGGTCAAAGAGTACTTGTGCGATGGTACGCGAAGACTCGACGTTGCTGAGCGCTACACTAGCCAGGTGGGGCTCGTAGCTTGTCAGGTACCTGAACAACAAGAACTCTGTTAACAAGCTACTATTACTGTCAGACAAGACTCGACGTTGCTGAGCGCTACACTAGCCAGGTGGGGCTCGTAGCTTGTCAGGTACCTGAACAACAAGAACTCTGTTAACAAGCTACTATTACTGTCAGAGACAGAAGACTCGACGTTGCTGAGCGCTACACTAGCAAGGTGGGGCTCGTAGCTTGTCAGGTACCTGAACAACAACAACTCTGTTAACAAGCTACTGTTACTGTTGGAGACAGAAGACTCCACGTTGCTGAGCGCTACACTAGCCAGGTGGGGCTCGTAGCTTGTCAGGTACCTGAACAACAACAACTTCTTTATTTGTAATCAAACTGAAAAATTGGTGTAATTCCGTTGGCAAATAAATAAATAAACTCTGTTAACAAGCTACTATTACGGTTGCAGAAAAGTCTCGACGTTGCTGAGCGCTACTCTAGCCAGGTGGGGCTCGTAGCTTGTCAGGTACCTGAACAACAATAACAGCTCTGTTAACAAGCTACTATTACGGTTGGAGACAAGATTTAACATTGCTGAGCGCTACACTAGCCAGGTGGGGCTCGTAGCTTGTCAGGTACCTGAACAACAACAACTCTGTTAACAAGGTACTATTACTGTTGGAGACAGAAGACTCCACGTTGCTGAGCGCTACACTAGCCAGGTGGGGCTCGTAGCTTGTCAGGTACCTGAACAACAAGAACTCTGTTAACAAGCTACTATTACTGTTGGAGACAGAAGACTCCACGTAGCTGAGCGCTACACTAGCCAGGTGGGGCTCTTAGCTTGATAGGTACCTGAACAACAACAACTCTGTTAACAAGGTACTATTACTGTTGGAGACAGAAGACTCCACGTTGCTGAGCGCTACACTAGCCAGGTGGGGCTCGTAGCTTGTCAGGTACCTGAACAACAACAACTCTGTTAACAAGGTACTATTACTGTTGGAGACAGAAGACTCCACGTTGCTGAGCGCTACACTAGCCAGGTGGGGCTCTTAGCTTGATAGGTACCTGAACAACAACAACTCTGTTAACAAGGTACTATTACTGTTGGAGACAGAAGACTCCACGTTGCTGAGCACTACACTAGCCAGGTGGGGCTCGTAGCTTGTCAGGTACCTGAACAACAACAACAACTCTGTTAACAAGCTACTATTACGGTTGGAGACAATACTCGACGTTGCTGAGCACTTAACCCGCCAGGTGGGGATAGTAGCTTGTCAGATACCTGAACAACAACAACTCTGTTAACAAGCTAATATTACGGTTGGAGACAATACTCGACGTTGCTGAGCACTTAACCCGCCAGGTGGGGATAGTAGCTTGTCAGATACCTGAACAACAACAACTCTGTTAACAAGCTAATATTAAGGTTGGAGACAATACTCGACGTTGCTGAGCGCTACACTCGCCAGGTGGGGATAGTAGCTTGTCAGATACCTGAACAACAACAACTCTGTTAACAAGCTACTATTACGGTTGGAGACAATACTCGACGTTGCTGAGCACTTAACCCGCCAGGTGGGGATAGTAGCTTGTCAGATACCTGAACAACAACAACTCTGTTAACAAGCTAATATTAAGGTTGGAGACAATACTCGACGTTGCTGAGCGCTACACTCGCCAGGTGGGGATAGTAGCTTGTCAGATACCTGAACAACAACAACTCTGTTAACAAGCTACTATTACGGTTGGAGACAATACTCGACGTTGCTGAGCACTTAACCCGCCAGGTGGGGATAGTAGCTTGTCAGATACCTGAACAACAACAACTCTGTTAACAAGCTAATATTACGGTTGGAGACAATACTCGACGTTGCTGAGCACTTAACCCGCCAGGTGGGGATAGTAGCTTGTCAGATACCTGAACAACAACAACTCTGTTAACAAGCTAATATTAAGGTTGGAGACAATACTCGACGTTGCTGAGCGCTACACTCGCCAGGTGGGGATAGTAGCTTGTCAGGTACCTGAACAACAACAGCTCTGTTAACAAGCTAATATTACGGTTGGAGACAATACTCGACGTTGCTGAGCGCTTAACTCGCCAGGTGGGGATAGTAGCTTTTCAGGTACCTGAACAACAACAACTCTGTTAACAAGCTAATATCACGGTTGGAGACAATACTCGACGTTGCTGAGCGCTTAACTTGCCCATGGGGCTCGTAGCTTGTCAGGTACCTGAACAACAACAGATCTCTTTACAAGCTTTTGTTTGAAGCTACCTGTTTACCAATGATTGTAACTGGTATTAAATATTGGGATGTGATCCATCCAAATAAAAATTGATCAGTAATATGACCAAACTATCCAATAAACTGTTGTCATCACAATATCAACAAATGTCTCCTGTGATATAAAACATTTAGGGGCCGTTGAAAGATTGGAACTAGCTTGAATTCAAGTTTTATACCAGTAAACTTTAATTTTTGAAAATCATTAACAAGATAGGTTAAACAGTGACAAGTTAAGCGTTAACTATTGCTCAAACATGGCACTTATTACTTGAGTTGTGTACTTGAGTTTAACTTTACAGCTTAACTCCTGGTAAATTTATCCTCTGAACACAATGAACCAGTGACCTAAGTGAACCAGATTTTATCAACTGCCAATAAGATAATAAAATGGTTAAAAATACCTAACATTGTATGCATCTCAAGACTTGATTCTGAAAGAAATATTCAACAATTTATATCTTTAAAAGTTATTTCATATCAATATTGAAAACTATTCTGTTAAAGTAATATTATTATTTTAAATTTAGAACAAATTAAAACTTCATACCTTCTACCGTTGGTGGAATAAATGACTAGGTTTCGCAGGATAAGGGCGGAAGTAAGACGGATACTTTTTGTGACTGGACCCTCATTGTCGTCCTGGAACAAATTGATTGTTTTCAATGAGAAATAAGAGATATAATTTAGCCGAGACTGCAGAATCGCAGCAATAGGAGTCATTAGGTTTATGATTTATTTCATATACATGTACATTAGCAACAGAAATTCCCTTACAAGCTATATTTGCTACAATCAATTCTGTACAGGAGTACAACTTATAAAACCTAAAGACAGCCTACCTATTTTCTAAAGGAAAGGGGGAGGGCTGTGTTCAGAAAAAAAGAGATTTTAGAAAGATTTGCAACCAATTTGTAATTGGAACAAATCACCTCTACCAAATCAAGAATCACCTTTAATATTTTATTTTCTTCAACAAATTTTGATGGCAAAAGTGTTAGGTGAACAAAATTTTAGTGACTCTCTAGCTTCATAAAAGCTAATGTTAAACAATAATTAAGAGCTTCAAAAATGTTGTTCAATAATAATTTAAATGAACAGACAAAACAAAAGAACTGCCTTTATGAAGATTTTATTTTCAAATAAAAAGGTATTGGTGTGATTTTCCAGAAAATAAACCCCAGATAAGATTCTTGTGGAAGGAAGGTAGCAATAACCTGCGCTGTAATTTTTTTAATTTTGAGCCGGTGGTTGTGCTGTAATTTAGTCCACGCCCTACAAAGAGTAGCGACACATTACATGGTAAAGTAAGAACTCCAGAAAGGTTTTGAGGATAAGGAAGTGCAAAAAGTGCAGCCAGAGTTGTATAATTATTGCACTTTGGTAAATGTTTTCTAGGAATTGCAACTGTACACTCCCATGATTCTCTACACACACTAATTATCCAAGTTTCAATGTTCTTTATCCTTTCCTTTTGTTATTTTTTTCATACCCTCAAACTCTCCCCCATTTACATGCAGATGAAAGGATTCACACAGCAAGTCGGTTGACTACGGCGAATCTTTTAAGTTTATATTACAGTATTTATATCAGTTCGGGTTTGTATTTGAATTGATATTAGTAAACTGTATAAAATATTACAACAGTTTGCCATGAATATAAGAATTATCACATATCATTGCATTATATACCATATGAATTTTTAATTTTAAATTAGCAAAGTTAAACATTTCCTATCTTAACTAAAATAGTAGTTTATGCAAAGATTGTGCAAGTATAGTCTTTACGACACCCCTTTAAAACTGTTACGAGTATCGTAAAGGATAATTACGTTATCGTTGCGTAAACTACCATTCAAGGTATTACAATTTTATACTGTTAGATTATAAATTTGTTTGTATCTTTTTTTATTGTTTGATGAGTTGAGAATGTCTAGGCTCCAAGGACTTTTACAATAAGGGTTACAAGTGAAACTGTTAAACCCATTATTTATTCCTTGATTACTGCCCTATGATTAAAATTATCATGCCAATAATGCAATCATACACCATAAACTAAATTATGTTTTTTATTGCAAGCACAAAATCAATGTTTGATCCTGTGTTTATTCCACTGCCGTTAATGCTGTAAAATAGGTTATTCTTCTTATTCATTGATTAGATAAAGCGAAAAGAGAAACTACAGTATTTTGAAAGTGCCACGGGCAACAAAATAAATAACTCCAATTATAATATTTTCAATCCAAAACATGATCTCTTTAATGCTAACACTTAAAGAGTCAATTGATTTGCAATAATATGATTTAGAAAATTCAGAGATATGCCTACTTCATTTTAGGTGCTATTCTAAAACTACATTTTCAAAACCACTTCATAATTTAAATATTCACGTCTAACTAGAAATTACTATCACCTATTTCTACCAACATGTTGTATTCTAAGTACCAATTATTACAAAAAAACACACAACTTAATTTGCTACAACACATTGAAGCTAACAAGCATGTGCGAATAACTTAAAAAGCAGTGGGGGGAAATCACACCATGCGCTAATGAATAAAATACCTCAATATTAAAAGGAGAAAAATTGCAAATTGATCTATTTTTCTACCTAGAACCAATACATTTACTCTAATTTTCTTAGGAAAAGTCCAGGTAGGCCAATTTACACACAGAAGACATACTATTTTCCTAAGGGAAAGAAAGTTGGACAACAAACTTCTTGCCCAAGCAATTTTTATGCATCTCTCAGTGTCCCATATGAAATTACATCTTGTCCTCTGTGTGTACTATGGGCAACCTGGACTTTTTCTCAGGTAACCTTTTTTAGCTATTCCTTTATTCTGAAAATAACAATCCTATCCTAGAGTGATTTTACATAAATTAGTACATTGGCTGTGCCCATCTGTAATTACTATTTTAATAACCAAACCAATTGAATTGAGGTAAAAGGCTAGCTCGTAAACGTTATCTATGCTTCAGCAAATTTACTATTGAAAGAAATGTATTGAGCATTCACGTTATCCTGCTTTACTAGCAAATGTGTTCCATGATTTCAGCACGGGAAAAGTAACACAAAATGGTTTATTGTAACAATAAATTTTGAATAACTTGTAGGCCTAACAAGAACTAACACTAAGATAATACAAAAAATCATTAGATCAAAAACAAAACTACTATTGATTGTTGTGGTTTTTAATACTATAATTTCCAATTTAACACAAATGATAAGCGGACAAAAGGTTTATAATTTTCGCAGGACCCCACATTGTAAGCCACAAGACGACATCTAATACATTGTGACACACGCATGCGTTGCTGTTACTGTTACCTGTTCTGTGGGCACGGGGGAGGGGCAGGGGCCCGGCTTGGCAGCCCTCGACTGTCAAACACAACACCATAATCAACTACTCTCTCCTCAACAACATACTATTGAGTATAAATACACCCCTGAGTCATTCATTTGTTTGATTTTAGCTCTTCAAGTCATCAATCATATTATTCAGTTCAGTTTTCGATCAAGTTATGAAGAAAATATGCTATAGTAAGGTAGTGTACTTATTGGTTGTATGGAGTACCTATTTCTAACATTTCTAGTAGACAGTTAAGTTTGATGATGTCTTTGTTTAACATTTCTTCCTTATAAAATATGTCAACAGGGAAGAAATGTTCATTAACAAGCTAAAAAGGTTGACTTTTTGAGGCACTGTCTGTTTGCAACTTAACCAAAAATTGTGTAATCTTGGCTATTATTAAATTAGTGTGTTGGTCAGGTCATTAATTCACTAAAAACCAAACAAATAAATTGCAAAAAAAAAAATAATAATAATAATAATAACAGAACAGTACAAGTAACATTTTAACTGCCTTGACTTGAATTAGAGCATTTGGGGAGCAAAAGTGTGGCTTATGGTGGCAGGACAAATCTGTAATAGAAATATTACTGATATTACTCTCATAAACCTAGCTTTGAAATACATAATAATTATGACAGCTGTGTTGTGTTGTGAGAATAGGTACTCCCTAGGCCCAAATAAGTACCCAATTTATAAATCAAATGATAATTACCTGCATTTCTTTGGGATTTACAAACTCGAGTGCGTGCCTCTTTATTGCATGGAAGGCAGCGTTAGGAGCATAGCCAGGGTGGGGGGTGGGAGGAGTAGGTGGGGGAATCTCGCTGCGTCCACTCACAGACAGCTGCTTTCTCCGGACTGCCATCATCCGTAGTACCTACAACCAGTCACTCAGCATGTGTAATATTACAAAATACAATGTGCTACTAATCCAAATTAGTTTAAAAATGCTTAAGCCCTTAACCCATTGACGACAGATCCGTTATAAATATTTTTAGGTTATGTCCTTTTTATTTCAACACGATATTTCTATTTTTAACTAAAATAAAAACAAAAAAAGAACAAAAATCTGTGTTTCATCTCTATACCAGTGTTAAATGAAGCAAGACAAGTTGTGTGTAATTCTTATTAAACTCACTAATGCGGCCATCTTCCACCCAAGCCAGACACTGTTTATTTAAAAGTGGGCCCTCCCTCCAGCTAAACCACTCATAAGCAAGGTCAATATGCATTTCACATGTACAGGATTGGAACCTGCGCATTTTGAAAAATACCTCAATGCTACACTCATCAGTGCAACGCTTTAGCCCACTGAGCTACCATGCCTCCGTCGGCCTAACAGCAAGATTGCCAGTATAAGCACAGAATGACAGTAGCGCTCGAAGGTTGGATTCAACGTACTACTTGTGTGCCAGTGGGTTAGCAGTATGATTTCCTCGAGGCAAAATGTGGTAAAGGGCTGGACCCGTGAGTGGTCATCAATGAGTTAAGAGAGCAATGTAAATAAAAACCATTTGTTTGGACCTTCTTTTTAACATTGTTGTTGCATTATTTTAAGCTCAATGTTTTTAACATAATTGCTCATACAAGTATAGTGTTCTGTAGTTCTTTTATTTACGGAACCAATGCAAACAGTAAATTATTTTTACCAAATGTGATGGAAAATGTCCATGAGATGATGTGGGGGGGGGATGAGGGAAAGGCTCCCAACAACAAATAGAGTCACGCCAAAAAAACAACGTGACAGTTTTGGTTGGGGGGGGGGGGGAGGATGGGTTCTCGGGCACATACACATCCTGTTTGCTACTCTAATTGAAGGATCTAATTGTAGATCATTTCCCTACGATTTGCCGAGACCAGTTTACTAAACAATTTATTTTAGTATGAAGATAAACTCACGTCGGCATTGCAATGCCTGTCGTAGAGGTGTGTCATGAGTGAGAAGCGTTTCCTCTTCATTGCGTCACACCGTTCCCATAGACACTGTATCTCTACACTGCCGCTGGGACAATGAGCCTCACACGCATGCATGTACACCTCATTGGCAGACTTGAAGTTCCTGTCAACATACACCTTCCTATCACAACGTTTATACAGTACTCAATCGTAGTTGTAATCACAAGTCAAACACATAACAAACCTCATTGAATACATGCTGTAGGTTTAGTTAACTTCATTCCACTTTGAGAATCTTACTATTAATCCCCAAGAAACTTCATCCAAACACATGAGCAATAGGGGTAAAAAGTATGTCATAAACCTAACATTCTTGTCTGTTAAAATGGAGACTAAATTTTTCATAATGATTGGAAGAAATATACGCAAAAAACTCTTTTATAGTGACACAATACAAAAACCTAGATGGAAAGACACTTGACAAATATATACAATACGTGATATTTTCAAGGAAAACATTTATAACCTAGTGGCTGGAGGCAAATGGGACAGTCAACGTGTAAAATATTGGGAAACCTAGGAGATAACATTACCCGTAGCAAAAACACAAATGAGAAAAATCAAGAAAAAACTCAAAAAAGAAAAAATTCAAAAATCCCAAAAAGAACAAAATTAGTAAAAAAACTCAAAAAGAACAAAATAACAAAAGAACAGAGAAGAGATCAAAATAGGGACAAAACTCAAAAAGAACAAAATAAGAAAAAAAACTCAAAAAAGAACAAAAAAAGAAAAAATATCAAAGTAAGAAAAACACTCAAAAAAGGAACAAAATAAGATAAACACTCAAAAAATAAAAAAATAAGAATATACTAAAAAAAGAACAAAATTAGAGAAAAGCTCAGAAAACAACAAAATAAGATAAAACACATGCAGAGAGGAGATTTGAAGTGTCTTACCTCATACACCCTCTCCACTCACACAAGAAGTGGCCCTGCTGTGTGTCAGACCGTACAGGAGTGGGGGTAGCAGAGGCAGGTTTGGGCGAGGGAGGAGGTGTAGGATTAGTGTTAAGAGGAGGGGTAGGTGTAGGCGCAGGCGGGGGGCTTTGTAACCTCTGTACTATGACTTTCTGAGGGGCAGGCGGAGGTATAGGTGGCGGAGTAGGTGTGGGGGGAGGGGGCGCGGAATTGGTCGAAGACACTGACTGAGGCTGCAGGATGATTATTGTCTTGGCGCCTGTGCCTTGTTGTTGGGCAGTCTGAGCCACCAGAACTGTCTGTGTCTGGCCCTTTGAAAACAAAATTCCAATTGTAAAATCATACAAATGAATTCTCTCTCAATACAAGACAATTAACTATAGGATTTTCAATTAACTCAGTAACTATTCAAAAAATGTAGAAGATTTCTTAACATCCACTCACTCTTCCTTTACTTAGTTAGGTTCATTGAAGCTCTGAGGGACTTAATCAGGGTGTCCAGCAGGCCATGAAAGTTCAATTTAATGACAACTCCACAGTGTTAAGGATCGAGATTTGAAATTTCCAGGTTAAATTAACAGTTGAAAAATAAAACTAACTGATTGGTTTCAACTGGTAACTTAGAAAGCTTAAATAAAATCTGAAATAGCACCGATTCAAGAAGTAAAAATCGACCATATAGTATACACAAATTTGTGTACATTGGTTTATAGTACGTTTTACTACAGGTTTTGGTTTTAGTTCATTATCGTTCCAACCAACATTAGGGAGGGTCAAATTGAGGAATGTAAAAACTGGATTCTAAATATTAAAATCTCAAATTTTTAGAGCATTTTTTAAGAGGTACATAAAAACATCTGATGTGAAAATCTGTTCTCAGTATTAAGCATGTAACATAGTGCACAAGGGCCTAGGTTTTAACAAATTTCCCATATTAGGAAGTAGCAATTTCGGTAATATTTAATTATTGAAAACTACGCTTCACGTATTATTTACAACTATTCTAAGAATTACTAAGTTTATTTTTAACTAGCTCTTCTTTTCCGAAGCACCAAAATTCACATACGATTTCCCCGTTTTCCTGTCTTTCCAGTTAAATGGACACAGTTTTAGTATAAAATAAGATGAACAATGATTATTTACCTGGACCAGAGCAGTCTGGGGCTGAGCCACAACGTAGTGTTGGCCCATGCGGTTGACAGCAGTAACCAGTATCTGTCGTGGCGCGGGGGCTGCAGTGACAATGAGGGGTTGCGTAGGGGTTGTCTCCTCCACTACCTCGTCTCCGTCATCGTCCACACACTCCGCTGCCAACGACGCATACAAGTTGGCTGCTGTCGACGATGCCTTCACCTCGCCTTCCTCCTCCTCTTTCTTCTCCTCAGGGAAAGCATCACCGTTGATGTGAGGTCTCTTAGCCTCCGTGTCACAGCCGTTCTCTTGCGACGACGGCCTCTTCAGGGACTTCTCCTTCTCTGGTATTAGTTCTAACCCCTTCTCCCCTAACCTTAAAGCACCATTTAACATCGGAGGTTCTTTTTCCGCTTTTACATTCTTCTCTAGTAAATCTGCCAACATTAAACTTTTTGGAGTGGAATCCTTGCTTGTTGTGTCGTCAACGTCTAATGAATTAGGTACACCGTTGAATAAAATTCCTTCAAAGCTGGTTAATGAGTTTTCACCCTCTTCTCCACCTGTACATTGACCAACTTTAGTACTAAGGAATAGCTAATGAGTATTTACTCATTAAATAATATATGCAATATGTATACTCATTGTAAGCAATATGGCCTCTATATTACCTATAATATTTATGAACACCTTTTCCTAACCTTGAAAATCATCGTTACATCATTAATTCTTAAATATGTCAATTTTTGTTTGAAAAACCCATCTTCATCTATGTAAGATTAATCAGAGATCATCTATGCCAGAGCAACCGAACCTAAAACACATGTACCATACATCCCAGGAGATTTGATTTTTGTTTTGTTTCAAAGGGAAGGGCATATCTATTTAGTCTATCTTGACCCTATAAGTAGAGATAGGTCTTTGAAAATGGAATCAATCAAGGCCCATACCTATGATTACTAAGGTGATATTGTAAAGGGATGATTCAACACAGGACTACTCACCAGTGGCACTGCAGGTGTCTTTGAAGGAGGTGATGGAGTTGTTGCCTGTAGAGTTAGAGTCGTCCAGCTCCATCTTGACGTTGTTGTTAGGCTTGCGTAGGTTGGCACCACTGAGAGGGGCTAGAGGTGGGGGTGGAGGACCCGTACTGGTGCTATCATTGCTCTCTGAGTTGTCACTCACTACCTTCCCGTCCTGCAAAATCAATCACACAACTATGAGGATAATACACAACTACCTAAATTGGTATTTGTACTGAAAATAAAATTTGTTTTACATGAATTCAAAAAATGGTATGCTGATTGATTATTCCTGAAAGATAGTTGAAAGGTGTGTTTGCTAGAAGTAAGTAGGTGCCAAATTCCAATGTGGATAAGATAATACAGATTATTGTCATTCTTCAAGTCAACAATCTATACTAACGGAAAGATTTAAAAAAAATTGTCATGTAAAAGTGTCTCATGGTCCATCGCGAACATATCCTACGTTTGCAGCGTCATCATGAACAAATCTCGTGGTCAAGGTGTATGTCTCACGCTCATGTTGCAATATTGTTAACATGTCATATATTTTTGCAAAATATTTAACAAAATACAAGATTTCATTTTGAGCTGATGATGTTAACAAAATAATATGAAAATATATCTAGTAATTTTGATACTTAACTGAGATCCATGACTTGGGATTCATTTTGTGGCTTTTTTTAGATATTAACATCTATTACCCTATAATAATATATGAAAAAAACCATCTTGCATATCAAATAGAATTTTGGCCATTTTGGATCTCAATTATTTTACTGCTTTATTCCATGAGACTTACGATGGTGATCTCTATGGCCTGGAAGGAGTTGCGGATGCCGTTGGGTCGCACGGGTGGTTGTAGTTTGATGATCTTGTTGACCGTGGTGGCATTTGTGGTGGTAGGGGTTGCGGTAGATACCACAGTTGTCACCACAGTTGTGGTCGTCACTTGTCCAGCAGCAGCCTGTAGTAACCTTTGTTGTTGCTGCCTCTGATTCACCTGTTACAATCACATACACATCAAGCTGCAATCTCAATTGCATGGAATAGTGAATTGTAAATTAATTGATGTTGTGATTTTAGTTTAAATATATTTGTTTTATATTTCCAAGTAAAGAAGTGGGAATTTAATTAATATATTAGATAAGTCTAAATATCTCATACATTGCTGATAACAATGGTTAACATGTTTGATTGTCAATAAATAACTATTCAAACTGTGCAATAAAATTGAGATGATTGATTTGATACAATAATTGTCAAATCTAATTATGAAATGCTATAAATATTGCATTCCTTGTTCACCATGCAGTACAAAGGGTCCTTAAGCCATGTACTTCAAATGGTAGTCTCTGTTACATTAAGTGTCTTACAAACTCAGGACACAAAAACACTCCTTGGCTTTTACTTTCTCACATATTTTACTACAATACTTTTAACTGAACCAATGTCAAAATACTTCTCTAAAAATATTAAGTTACAGAAAAAAGTAAAATCTGACCCGCAAAACGCTTCTTAATATGCACTGTCAAAAGATTATCCAAAATACAAAAATTTGAGAAAATCCCAATCTATAAAAAATTAAATGTATTATCAGCACCTTCGCAAGGACCACATAAGAAATCAACACAACCTGCATAATAAATATGATGTTTTTAGTAATGTTAATATCTACTTTACCATCTTAAGATAATACCTATTTGCCACAAGACTTGGAACTGCATAGTGAACTTGGAATTGAACATAGAATGTGTTATTATCACTCTTCAAAATAGAACATCTAGTAATACTTCTCTAATAAAATTGTTAGAAGATGTTATTTTAGTAATACTCTTTTGTTAGTAAAGAAAATATCCCAAAAATAAAATGATTAGATCCACAAATTTGAGAACTACAAAGAAATGATAAAAACCAAGCTTTTAAAAGTGTATAGGGTTGTTCATAAACACAAATTATTAGGAGTAATTAATTATTTATGTAATTTGAATAGTAATAGTTTTCACACTTGTCAGAACACACTACAAAATCAACACAAACACATCTTAGAAATTAGCATATTGATTAAAACACTTGGTAAAGAGAAAATGTTAATGTTAAATGGGAAGGTGTACTTACAGTGAGTCGGGTTAGTCAGGAGGTAGGAACAAGAAGAGACCACAACAACAAACTGTTACAACACAGCAAGCACTACGGTTCACTCACAATGACATGCCAATATGGATCACCTGATGACCACGGAAATGGTTGAACCTCCACCACACACCCTACCAGACACCACAACCACACTACCTCCTCTGCGGTTGTATCAAGCTTGACCATAAACATTGGGAGATTCCCACAAAGCAACCCTTAGGAAAAGGAGATATAGAGGTTCACATCCTACATTCGGCATCCATTCTGATGCTATAACTTTCAAGATTTAAAGTTGAAAAAGAAAATTACAATTTACATTAATAATAAGTATAATTATTGATACGGTACACCCTCTTTTAATCAACCCTCCCAGGAATGGGCCTAGGTTGAATAAACTATAAATGTTAAGGAGAAAGGAAGGATACACAACTATCTCACATGACGAAAGAGTTCCAGGAAGTTATAAGTACACAAAAACTGATATTTTGCCCCTTTCAGAGGCTTCTTCATAGGTAGAATGGCAGTTACTGTTCTAGCACTGTTTTTCTTTTGTATACCGATACTTACTTTTAACCTCCTGGAACTATTTATTCAGGTGAGTTAGTTGTGTATCCTTCATTTCTCTTCAACAAGTTCTTAGAGCCAAGTAGCTTTTTTTATTCAAAAAATAACCAATAAATGGTCAGTTAAAACGGACAACTATGTAAATATGTAAAGACCTGTAAAATCTGAATTTTTTTATTTACATTATATCCAGTGGCGTGGTCGTAAATTTACTAGTGCAAGAACACTTGCCTTGGTCTCGGAATAAAACACAGGTCGTCTATTAAAATAGAAGAGTTTTGAAAAAAACTTTCCTCTACAGATAAGCCGGCGACTTATATTTTTTAGGGCAGGGTCAGTTAAAAAAGGGTCGAATGTACATACTTTTACTAATTAGACTCACTAACAAAAGTTAAATACTGTATTAACAATTTCAATAATTGTTTTACAAAATTCTGGCTTTAAAAGAATGTTAAGGTTAAAGAATTATTACAGTACAACTATTAAAACCAAATCAAGAATGAGTTTTTCCAAATTGTGGAAATAAAAACAAAATTTATATAATTGAAGCGCGAGATTGGAATGGACCTCTCAGAGTAGGGAATTAGAATCAAGGGAAAATGGTGGTTTTTTACTTAAAAGCACTAATTTTTTAAAAATTGATTGATTTAAGTTGCCTAGGTTGGGTAGCCTGAGTGGTGGCAGTACGCACCTGTTCCGTGGCCTGAGTTGTCGCTACCTTGTTGGCCAACAGACTCTTGATGAGAGAGGAGGGCCCTCCCGTCCCCTCCCCCCCACCACTGTCTAGCAGCGCCTGAGACAGGTGGGGGTGTGACGTCGCCTCACTTGGCTACCAACAACACAACTACTACAACATCTACAACAACTAGCCAAATAATAAATTAAACCCAGCGTTTGGATTGGTGGAATGTTTATCATTTTAAAATCATCGTCTAAGGTCTTAAAACAAGATCTGTCAGTGAATTAAGGTCTCCCATTGGGTTCCCAAAAAGCGTGACGGATACCTTAATTGATTTATTGATTGATACCAAAACCTATGTGGCCCAAATATGCCACAAATCCATGTCTAGTAAAATAAGTTGGCTTAATGAATATGTAAGTTTCCTACTAAGGGGAACATAATAAATTGCCGTTTTAAATAAGTTTTGAACAAATGTAATAAACGAGAAATTGTCCAAATAAAGCTAAAACATACTATAAACCCTTTGAGGTAGAATTTCTTTAAATTTTTTGGCCAGTATAGGTTGCCATTCGAGCAATCGGGAAAATGGCGCGTTTAGCGACCTGTACGACCTCAAAGATACAATTTTTTGATTTTTGATGATTTTTTATGAGTATAGGTCGCCATTTTTGAGCAGTCCGGAAAATGGCGGGCGGCAACCTATACTCGCCATTTGACCGCAAAGGGTTAATAGAAAAGTGTGAAAATATTTATACTAAACAATATAATTTTTGAATGTCAGACACAAACTGAACAACAAGATAAAGAGTAAAACATTGAATGGACTGGGCGTGTTAAGGAAGTACTTGTCGCCTATTGTGGCCAGTGCCGTAAGATAACATGGGGAGCGTATTTGTTGCCACAACCTAAAATCACTGCTGGACGCATTGGTTTTTCTGTAAAAAGGGGTCACGAGTGGCGTAGAGTAGCTGTAGCCTAAAATTCTTCTCTAGGGGAACATCGTACTGCGGTACTAGAATTTATAAGGAAAAACCCCACAGAATAACCGATTTCAAAACATAAGTTAATAGTTGTTCAAGGTTATATACCACAATTTTGCCCTGGGAAGGCAATTTAATAACATAAAGACAATCTTCAAAAGTAAAGTAGAAAAATCATAATACTCTACTATAATTAAAATAAAATACTACATTAAAATACAGACAATAACACAACTATGCATACCACCATGTATATTATTAAGAGATTAATTGAATTTGAAAATAGCTGGTTTGTATTAAATCCTAAATGGCTTTGCCCCCTATATTTTTGCTAAGATGAGGTTTTACTGTATCTTGTTAGTAATTCAAATTAAGAAAACCATTAGTGTTACAAGGTAGTTAGGGGGTGGAGGTATGTTTGAGGTATGCATAGTTGTGTGTACAACATCTACACCTACCTTGGTCTCTTTCTTGTTAGGGGTGGGAGCGCTCAGTTGAGCCTTAAGGATGGGAGAGGCGGGGGGTGGGGGAGGGGTTGGGGTTGGGGCTGGTCGTCCTCGCACCTGAATGCCTTCATAATACTGCAGTGAGTCCCCTGCAGGCCCTGGCTTGGGCCCCACACTGCCTCCAAACACAGACCTGTAAACAACCATTCATATAGTGAAGCTATATACATAGCTCTACAGAGTTGTATGTAGTGTGTCATTGACGCTTTAACAAGCATTTTATTACTTAGTGTGAGAAATATTACAGAAGAATCTAGATTATCCAATATAAAATGGCCGTGTCGAGTTCAAGTTGGCGAAAAGGTTGAATAACACAGTAAACAAAAACTTTTGTAAACACTTATCATAAAAAACTGATCATTCCCAACTCGAAAATAATTATCACTTAAAATAACAACAAGAAATATTTTTTTTTACCTCTAGACTAATGTCGGATTAGCAGGTTTTCACTGTAACTTCATTTATTACACATAATATGTGAACATTACCTGACACATCTAGGGAAGTGCAGGGGAGCTATGACACCGCGACGGCCGATCTTTGCACAGGAGTTGATGTACTGCTTGTACAGTTCACCCTGCTCGAGCTTGGCTCCACCGCTGGGCTCCAGAGTGGCTCGTAGCCAGGCCAGTGCGAACTGCTCGTTCTCCTGAGCCACCTGAGCCGTGGGCTGCTGAGCCACCATCACTCTGTGAGGCGTGGTGGCGACTACTGGTGTGACAGTGGTGGAGACAGGTCTAGCCACGGCAGGGGTGGGTGGTAGAGGCAAGGCTAGTGTGGAGTGACTGTGTGCCAGAGGTGTAGGAGGGACAGGCACCAGCTGAGCAGGGGCAGTCACTGTCTGAGGCCCTACAGGTCCTCCACTCACTGTCTCCACCACACGCATCAGGATACAAGCCTTGGGACCGTAGCTCTGGGCCTGCCAGACATCACAATAGCTGAGTCAACAATCATCCATAGACCTACCTTAATTTATCTATAGAAACCTTAGCAAGCTTTTTCAGAGATACTATAAGAGTACCAACTTTGGTTAATTTGAATGCTCGAAAAGCGTAGATATAAAGCTATTTTAGGTTTTTCTCTTGTTATTTTTACCTAATGACTGACAAAGTTTTTAAGGAGGTTATATAAAAATTACTAATAAATTGACTGAAAAAAATATTAGGGGATGCAACATTTATGCCCCAGAAACAAATTTAATAATAATGAATTGGGAATGGACAATTTACTCATAATAAATTTTACAGTTGGGCTAAATATGATGACAAATGTTCATAAATTTAACAAATAATATAAATTTCTTTTCATATCCCGGTTTCATTATAATACAATTCTTTATCAGCACAAGTACAAGCTAACACTAATCTCCTTAAACTAAAAAACCTACACAGATCAGAAAAAATATCTTGCAGACCAAGTGACTTCCTTTCCTTTCCTTAGTAACAACTAAAACATTTAAATATTTTATCAAAATCGGGGATACATTATAAGATTCTGTTGGATATCAGGGACATCAGGAATCCAACTTTAATTTTGAGGACTTTATTAGGAGATTGAGGATATCTTCGAGCTGAAGACACCATACTCTATAGTATTATTAAAATGAACCAAATACATACAAACATACCTATGTACACTACATTACTACTATACACATTACTACTTATATACACACATACCTCAACGGTGATGAGTGATACTAGTGTGTCGAGAGCACCGTGTACCCTGACAATAGAGTTGCAGGAACGTTCTCCCAAGGAACTGAGCGAGTACAGACATTCCAGGGTGTGGACTAGCAGCATAATGTCATGTAGGCTCAGGAACGAACATATCCTCTCGTAAACCTGCCACAACAAAGTGTTAATAAATCTAACAAAGGTAGGAAAACTAGTTAAGAAATGAGACACGTTTTGTGAAAGATTACAGAATAATCTATTTCATCTGGTCATCTCAGGACTGGATCCGTGTTCCAGTTAAATTAAGTCTGGACCAATGGGGAAGTTTGGATATCTTAAATGATAGACCTCAAAACCATTATCAGTACAATACAATTTTACTCTCCCAAAGATTTATATATGTAGAAAACAAAAATAAACAGCAATAAAATCCATACAGTGATAGCCAAACAGTGAGGTTCTTATTTATTTATGTTACCATAGTTAAGCAGCCCAGAGTTAGTATGACACAAAAGCGAATTCTCCTAACTAGGTATAGTAATTTGTACTAAGCTAGGCGCTACTAATAAGTCACAGGATAAAATTAACTCACCTTATCTTCTAAACACTTGAGTAACACTTCCTCATTCTTCTCATTTTGTCCTAATTTATTTAAAGTCTCGATACACGATAACACCACAAACCTATCTTGTGACTCGAGTCCCTTGTTAAGCACATTGAAAATATAATTCATGTAAGGTTCTCGGAGCACCACTTCACTGGCTATGTTGGTGAGCATGTCGAAGCCCATCTGCTGCAGATTGTTCCAGTGGGCGCCGCAGCACAGCAGAACGAATCTGAGGAACGTCGAGTGTTGTGCCAGGACGGGGATGTTGTCCTCCACGAAGGTGAGATTGCGTAGGATGTGAGCCACTTGTAGCACTCGCTGGCCGTAGTAGTCCTGAGTGCCGAGAGTGCGGCCCAGACAAAACAGTTCTAGATCCTCGGGCTCCAGTTTGAGTCCGGCCCTCTCCCCACTACCGCACTCCACCACACCTCCGTCACCCGCCACCTCCATCTGTAAGATATGGGAGTTAGATTTACAAACCTAGGATAGATATTGTGACATCAATTTTATTGTGCCTACCTATCATTCATTTATGGTTTTAGTAGTAATATGTTGGTAACTGAATCTAATTCTCACCATTGAATTATTACCCAATTCTTCATGGTTTTGGGGAAAAGAACTGGTGGAGGGAATTTATACTAAAATGTTGGTAAAAGTACTCTGGTAGCTAACAGGGATTTGGCTTATTGGCGACACTAATGGCTATTAAACTCTTGAGATTATGGCAAAATCCTCTTTTTTCCAATCACATATTTCTTAGCAATTGTAATTTTCTTATTAGACGTAACAATGTGAAAAGAGAACCGATGGAACCAAGAACAGAGAACTGATTTTGGTCAGGAATTGTTCCTGGTGCTGACCTAGAAAATGTGGTAGGTACAGACACACACATCACAGTTTTCAGTTTGCGCAACACGAGAAATTTCTCTTAAAATTACACTTTGTACCATCAGGGGTACTGTACAATAATGTTGTGACAGATATACCTCGCCAGCTGGAGTCTCGCTCTCCTCACTACTCTCGCCAGACGCTGGCTGCCGCACAAAGCGAGACTCATCCATCAACGGCCGCAGGTCCAGGTTGGCCAACACGTCAGGCCAGAAGTGTGTTGTGGAATGTCCTCTCACTCGGCTGTATGATTCCAAAAACAACTCCCGGGTTGAACCTGTCACAGACAACAATATAAGAATGAGATGCACCGAGAAAGTACTAGTGCTAAACTGCAATCTTACCACGGTGCTTCCAGATAATGTTGGATACAACCTTGCTGCTTATTGATACAGTACTGTGTTCATTGTATATTTTACCTCCAATAAATAAGAACATAAAGTGACAAATATGTTCCTACAGCATCTATTTTTACAAAGTGAAAATAAAACTGTACTAAGCTTAACATAAACAAAATTAACTGATATATTATGGTGTGGAAATTTGCCCAGTGGTCTAGTGGAGCGAGCTGCTTCTTCCAAAAATTCTAAAAATCGAAGACGACCTTTTTCTCCAAGATGGTGGTAAACATTTCCGCACTGGACAACTTACAACTATGCTACAGGTGTTTCCTTTAACTTGAAGAGACATTTTTAGTTCACTATGAACCACTATAAATTTTTAATTTAAACCTGATGTAATTAGCGTGTTTGTTTACCGTGATTGTAGACAGCAGCGTGGGCACACAAGTAGGTGACCAGCCGAGGGTGTTTGTCCACTCTCAGCTGGTGTTTGCCTTCGTTGCTCAGCAAGGTGCAGACGTTGATGGCAAAGTCTTGTTCATTGGGCAGTGGAGAGGTGAGAGACAGAGCGAGTCTGTCGTACTCTGAGGCCTTGTACAACTCCGTAGACAAGCAGTTGTACGAACGAGTGTTTTCTGAAACAAAAACACTAGGTTACAGCCACAATCTACAGGTTGGATTAGTTCCAGGGCCTAGCTAAGGTAATTTAAAACTGCCTATGACCATACTTGTTAGAAAACCTTTGGGAGCGAGCTGGTCTAGTGGTAGAGTGCGGGACTTTGGTCTCTGAGGTCCTGGATTCAAATCCCGCCAAATCACCAATGGATTGTATCAAAGTGTGAATGCCGCAACCCCTAGGTCGAGCCTGAAGTAATGTGAAAAAAACGATCGTGGGCTAGTGCCTAGTGTCGTAGGGGGAAAAGTGTAAGAAAACCCCAACGTTTACTTAAAAATTTCAATTTAAGTATAGGTTGTAGTCAATGGAGTACTACAACACAGAGAAAGTTTGCATGACGTCCTAGATTCATGTTTTTTGTTTCCCAGATAGTTGGACTAAGTGCAATGTAAATAATATTTTATACTCCTCTGAGGTCAGACCTATAGCCATCCACTTTAAGATACTGTAGTAGACATCCTTTACAGAATTATTGATAAAACAGCTGAAGCCAATCATCCAATTTCTGTCATTATGAAAAAAAGAAAACATAGTTGATTGAGTCACCTGCAGAGTGTGCTAAGCATAATAATGTTGTCAACAATTGAGTCCTTAAAATTTGGCTTTGTTAAAAAAAATCAACGTATTCAACAGATATCAGTTTTTTACCTCATTGCACATTGCAAGAGATTCAATTCTGGTATTTTCTAGAAAAAAGTCGCTGTAATTATAATGGAGATTAATTAAGACCTTTAATACGATTGCAGGTATTTTAAGCCGAACATGAATAAAGATGAGTGTTGAGACCCTCGATAACAAGCCTGCTAAGTACCCACATGTTATTACAAACCTATACACAGAGGTTAGCCTTTAGCTAGTCATTATTGATTCCCATGAGAGACTTGGCAAGTTGGGTTACTTGTCACAATCTTCATGATACAATCTTGTTTGCTGTCTTCTTGAGAAGACCCAAATCAACGACTTTAATTTAGTGCTCTAAAAATAGCTACACCGCATGTCTAGTGCTATCAGCAGTGGTATGGCAGGGTGCAGGGTGCAGGGTGTAGGGTGTAGCGGGGTCAGCGACCCAGGACGGGGTGGGGTGTCGGTGTTATCAGCAGCCAGGGCCAGAGACTCAAGGCCGCCGCCGCTCTGTGTTGTGAATGAACGTGTCTGAGTGTGAGTGCGCAGACAGCAGACGACGCTAGGCGCGAGGTGCGTACCTCACACACAGACACAACAGTAGTAGACAGTCGGAGTTCGGAGTCAGAGGCGCTATCAGTAGAGAGAGAGGCTGCCGCGGCAACGGTGCGACTCAGCATCCCCGAGCTGACCAAACGATTGTGCAAAACCCTCAACTGAATACCAAGTCCGACATTACCCAAGGACATTTATGAAAACAATTTTTTTTAATCACCCGGTTAAAATCATAATACAACACCTTTCACATGGAAATCATCTTGGTTTTCCCCCCACAAAACAAACTTCAAGAACATGATTTTATACAATTTATAACATTACATACAATTATGTATTCCAGTATATTATATTTGTAAGTCCACACACAAGTACATGTAGAACTTTCGTTTTGGTTGATGGTGTTATTTATTCTTCACAAGTAATTATTTAATGCCTTGTTTTGCAGTAAAAACTAGATTTTTATGGTTTGGATATTACATGAAATACCATGAAAAATGTGTGTTCAATACTTCAGTATGTGTATAAAACAGCTATTTATAGCCAATAATTTGAAGACATTTAGTGGGCATAAAATTTTTTACAACTTCTACCCAACCCGCTAACAGTTTTAGCGATTGATAGGATAATGTTTGTTATTAATTTTTACATTAAGGAATATAATAAGCTGGGCTGATTCGTTTCGACTACCGAGACCTAAGATTTTGTTGTTAACAAGACGCAAATTCACGATCAATGTAAAAAATGTTTATTCTAACTACATATATCTTTTTGACAAATTGTACAGTTTTTGACCGTGTAACAATAATAACTATATTGCAAACTAGTTCAGAGAGAAAATTACAATTTTAACAAATGGCAACTGAGTCTGAAATCTATAATTTACACAATTTAACAACGAAATACAACTCGACTACCTCAACAATAAATTAATCCATTTTGTATTTACGACGGTATTACAAAACGTAATTTGTTGCCATGAGGTAATCTCTAGCTCATAACAATAACATTAGAGCGAGATGCCGCGAAGACGGAAATAACTAATGGAAAGTCCAATAACACATATCAGTGACGTGTGTGTGTGAGAGTGTAAACATAACACACCACGGCAGATCAATGTGGGAGAGTGGTGGGGGTGTTGATGTAGATGCGCTGTTGTACGCCCGGCCGACCTTTACTTCAGTTTAACCTTTGTTTTATTGCTAAAATAGCTTTGAACGAAAATACAACCTATCGATCCATCCTTTGGGTCATTCCCAGTATACAAATGGTCAAATGAACTGGAAAAGATGGGTACAAATTAGTTTACATCACTCATAATTTGGGGGGAGGGGAGGTTGCCGCTTTTAGCCATTTGAAGAAGCGAAGCCTTCAACGAAACCCAAGCGTGTGTTTAATCCATCGATGTATATACTGTATTATAATATCGATGGTTTAATCCTCCTAGGGCCTAGTCTGTTTGAAGTAAAGTATAAAACGGCCCTGGGGACGTCTAGCATGTCAAGACACAGAAAACATAGAGTAGTATGTTTTCTGTGGTTAAAACGTTTGAACTCGTAACTCACTTTCAAACTCATGAGCTGAAAAATCGTGACTATGTATTCTCGTAAGCTATAATCAGAATACTGTACTTTATCCTGACACAAAAAATATCCAGAGATTCCTCTTGTGAATGTGGGAATATCGAAAATTTAAGGATTCTTTATCGTGTTTTTCGAATTTCAAGCTCCTTTATGAGTTACACCATCAACACCAAGATTATTAAATTCTTGGATGAAGATTGCGATCTTCATCTATAGTTTGTCGTGATTTCACTACTGTTGTTGGTCTTGGTGATAAAATACTAATACAACAATTAAAATATGTCATTAAGTGCAGGAAATCTTTTACTGTATGATTTTCTTAGAACTTTTTTATATCTATATTAATTTTATGTTGGGAAACTCCAATTATACAGTGTAAATTATAACACCTGCAAAAAATATATAAAATTTTTGCTAGAAATAAACAAATATCGAAGGGTTCTTGCACTTATTTATGTTTAACAGGGCAGTTCAATATTTATGAAATATTGCATCATTTTAAAATATTTCTCTGCTGCTAAATGTTTATACTGTGTCGACAGCAAGCGCGCAACACTAGAAAGAAGGGAAACACTGGTTGCATAGCAACAGTCACAGCTGTATCTGTTGTACGCTGCTACAGTACTATCACTACGATACACTACACCTAAACTCAGCCAAACACAAATACAGAACCAATATACATGCAATGCACAACAATAAAATACTTCCTATGGTTAAATTATTGTTGGCAACTTCTAAATCACCGGTTAGAAGAACATTCAAATGCTCCAGGCTGGTATGAAAACATTCTACAATAATATTGTAATATATAATTTTCAAAATACAAAATAACCTATTGTTTTAAGTGAGAAGAGGAGGTTTGAGAGGCGGTGGCGGCGGTTAGTGCTATTGATTGTTGCAGCGCGCGCTACTTCCCCCGCCCCTCTACAGCTACAGCTCACATCCGGTAAAGCGACAACCGGTTTCCGGAATGGGCCATTTCCATTAGCCAGGCCACCTAGAGCAGCGTAACTGTAGACTGTTGTACAGCTAATGGCAAGAAATTACTGATTATAAATAAAATAAACTCTAAACTATACCAAACAAGCACAAGTGTTCCTTAATTTTTGTTTCTCAAAGTAAAATAAGAGTAAATTATCTCACTAACTTACATTACGAGCAACAATAGTATTATCACAAAACATACAAAAAGTTAACATTTTATGTTACATATTTTTGTGAAAATTAAATTTGTACATTGCATTACATACTTGTGTATTTAGAGAAATTTTAAACTGTAATTTTTATCATACTTTAATTCAACGACAAGTGTTACACTAAACTATCTGGTAATAATTATATTAGTTGTTAGTTAGTGAATTAATTTAGTTTATGCTGTCGACGAATAGAAATGTATTGGCATTTTCACAGATCCAAAGTAACCCGAAAGATAGACTGTTAAAAAAATATCTGTCTGTGTGCTGACTCTTCAAGGACATTGTAATTTCATAGACACATTTTAAGTATAAGAGATCTTAATTTAAGACAAAACTAATGTTTCAATAATTTCTATAATAATACAGGAATGAGTAACGTAATTATTAAGTTTTTTGGCTTACTCTTTTTCTTTGAAGTTAAAGCCATTTCAAAATAGCATTTTCTGCAATCACACAGAACGCTTCACAGAATAATTGAGTTATGCAGGTGTGTTACTAATTTTGATCAAATTTAGTTTGTTAGAAAGTTTACTAAAAATAGTGAACAGTTACTGATCTCATTGTTTCAGTTTAATAATTTTTTTATACACACCAGATTAATTTTCAATTAAAGAAATAAAATCACCTTTGAGGAACATTGTTCCAAACCAATAAAATATTTTTAGATATGTCAGAGTTTGGAACTGTACCTCTCACACACTGAAGTTTGAAGTGCTAACCTCTGGGCTACCAACACACCTTAATAATTAATTCATCATGTATTGTACCATTGATTTTTCTTTTATATTGTCAAACAAAATGTCGCAATATAAAATTTTTTTTTAGATTTAAATTAGATTTCTTTTCAATCTTAGTTTGTAAAATTAGTTCCTAAATTGAATTACTCTACGACTACAACACTACCAAAGCATTTAGATATAAATATTAACATCAGTGTAGGTAGAATCCTTACCACCAACTACATAATGTAAATATGGCGAGTTCAAAGTAACCACTCACTGAACACAATAATGCAGATTTAAAATTCAAATAGGTATGCAGAACAAGAGGGCTAATGAAGTCATGTTGGAATCACTTGGAGAAACAAGCTACAGAAAGAGCTTTTGCTATAAATAAGCGTTACAAAGAATGCTTGAGAGCCAAATTGCATGGGAGAGCCAAACACTTATTGGGGGCGAAACAAAAAGCCAAACATTGCCAACTAGGTGACTTGTGTTCATAACTGAAACAATTCTATCCTCTTGACTGTATAGGAGGTCTAGCCATGTATGAATCTCAAGTAGTGTTCAGGTCTAGTGAAGCAAGCAACAATGTATCACCTTGAAGTGGTGAGAGACATGCAATTAACACTCTCATAACTCGATTAGCTTCTACCTAATTTTTTCTCCCAAGAAATTCTAGCTTGTTGCCCGATGAAACGACCTAACCTTTAAGTTGAGGATTTGAAAATAATTATTATCTTCAATTTAGGTTCTTCTTTCTTCCCCCACAATTAACACCAGGCAATGAGTACCATTGAAATTGCATTATATCTCTGTGTATGTTACTCAAAACTAGTTATGTTTAGAATACAATTTGATAAATTTCAAGCCTGCCTAAAGTCAAAAACCTTTTAATCCCCTACAACAGGAAATATTTTTGAGCCAATGTAGATGTAGGTGACCCTCAAAACAGCAGGTGACAAAGATGCATAAACTTAGTACAGTAGAACCCAGGGTAACCGAATTCGGGTTAACCGAAACAGTTCCATAAAATAATACAGGGCTAAAATATAAGTAATATGTAATGTAAATGCTTTAGTAACTTCAGTTATTTAATTTAACGTATTTTCTAACCCATTGTAACATTTCTGTAGCTGAAATAAAACACTGTATTATATAGACATTGTTTCTAAATTCATTTTTCCTACACCGTGGTAACACACAAGCAATTTTTAACATATGACGGGTCAATTAAAAAATTGGTTATCCGAAATAGCTCTCCCCCCTTTTTTTTTGTTGATCGGGGTTCTTCCACAGAAAACACACTACTATAACCCAGAATGCCAACCGCATGGTAAAAATCGTTAAGTACTTTGAGAGAGCTTTGCCTGTCAGTTCGTAGGCAGCACCACCAGCGTTGCAATGTACTCAGCAACATGGATGGGTTGTTTTCTGTTGGAAAGTTAATAAAACACAAGACAATCCTGTTGTCTGCCTTTATAAAGGTGGAACACTCTAAAACATTCATGTATAGTGTTTGCGAACTCTGATCGACATGTGTGAGTGTGTATACAGTGCAGCCTGAACAAGCGGTTCACAATGGTTATCTCATGTAACCTTAAGATAGACATTTGTTGGTTCTGCTCTACAATTTATACTACATTGGTGTCTCGATTATCGGATCTTCAGTTATTCAACCATTCAATTCCTGAAGACTACCAAGTAGAGTGAAATCCATCAAACTACATATCCATTCTGTTTCTGTTTGGTATGACAACACACCATAATGTGAAAGTTATAACCGGTGGTGGTTCCAGGACCTTGTCAAGGGGGAGCTACCGGAAACAGCCCTCAGACAGGGGGGAGGGGTCCTTCCATGGAAAGTCTGGTGTTTTTAAAGCAGTTTGGCGACTTTCTAAAGCCATGTTTAATGTCTATAACCGTGTACAAAAACCTCCTTTGACTTTTATGGCAAAATGTACGTTTAAATTTATTTTTTCAGGGTCTGAGGTTTTAGGCTCTGTAGCCCCCCCCCCCACCCCTCAATGGAGCCTCCATTGGTTGGGCAAGTGGAGAGCAAGCAGTCCAGGGTCATAAACTGTCAAAACCGTCAGGTAGACCGATTGCCTTTGGAATCCCCAGAGCGTAAGAGTGATTCAGGGGAGAGGTATTGGTGGAAGGGGTGTAGTGGGCAGGATGTAACAGAGACCGGGTACAGTTTCTTAACTGGACAACCCAAATATCGATTGAAAATATTGATTCAATTAGTAAAGAATCGGCATTGCAAGTAGGCCATAGGTATGGACGACTGGACAAGCCAGCCCCTTAGGAGAGAGTACCCAGTGAAATTCCTTCATCCAGGTTGGAGGGTGTTCAGCTCTGCGAGAGGTTGTAGTGTGCCATCAATCTCTCATCTGCCTGTGGCTATGGTTCTATGGGCTTCGGCCTGCTTGTTGTGTGCAACCGGCATTAAGTGTAGCAAATCCTCGACTTTGGAAGTAGCCTTTTCCTGGGAGGTGAAAATGGGCGAGTACCCGTAAGCTCACGGGGACACTCTAGGGGAACGGAACTTTCCGAAGTGTGAGGCCAACAGATGGTGGTCACACTCCATCATCTTATCCCTGTCTCTGGGCTTGGTTCTCGAGAGTGTGGGGGGTTCTCCCTGGAACCTCAATTGAGTTAAGGGTGTCGCCACCTTTGGTGGATAGGTTCATCCGGGTGGGTCCCACTTCTATACCTGCCTCCTTTTGGGAAACCCTGATGGCCTGGCAGTGATGTTGGGTTAGATGGGCAAACAAACTAGATCGGGTGCTGGGATCAAGCCCGCTCGGGGTATCTGGGGATCTATCGATCTGGTTATCCCCTGGTTTCCCAGAGAATAGGTTGGCCTCGATCGGGTAGTGGTGCAAACAGGTGGTCCCCTTCCTCCTGGCTATGTTGGCGGGTCCGGCCTATCAGGGATTGGATAGGTCCCGAGTGTTGCTTGCACTGTGTTGCGTTCAGGGCATTCCATTATGGTCCTTTAGGGTTTCGGCCCTGGTGGAACCCATTTGGAGTGTACGTGCGACCGAGTAACCGGTATCCCTGGTTAGGATTGAGGGCTAACCCTCATTCCGAAGGGTTGCTTCGGCAGCCAGTGAGCTTGATGGCCTTAAGCCATCCACCCCATGGTGTGTCAAGGTTGTTGCGTAAACTTCAGCCGACACTATGGGGCAGGGGTTAAGTTTAGTTATACCGGGTAGCCGTCGGGGGGTTTTGGCTCCTTCGACAAAGAAATGAAATTAATGAATGCCTATGTATACTCCTGCCTATGACTTAAGGCTCCTGCACTTAATTTGGTTGTTTTACCTTATCAATACCGATACCACAAAGGTCATCAAAACCTCAAAGCTGAATATCTTTCTGATACCACTCATATCTGATTCACAGTTTGAACAGGAGACATGTAGCTGAGTGAGCAAGTATGGCTATACCGAGTTACAGGAGTGGTAGAGACTCTACTGTATTTAGTAAACAAATTGTCATAAGCAGATATATAATGTAAAAAAAAATAATAAAATAAAAAAAACTGAAATAATTGTTGTACTTACCATTGACATTGTGCTGACTGTAGTTGTAAGTGAGAGGAACTGAGTGAAGAGCCCTGGCTGACCAGCGTCGATGGCGATTGTCTTCATCATCATCATTGGCCCTCTCTCCAACTTCACCCAAATAGTGAACCTTCTCGTACCTATCCAGGTATCTGCAACAAACATTTACATGGTCACTTTTCATGGAACGTATTGACCAGGAAACATTTAAACTGTGTACCACCTTTTCATGGAAAATTTTACTTGTGGACAACCATACTACCTACCCTTCTCATAAAATAACACATTGATGATGACAACTGAACTGCAATTTCAAGGCACATAATGGCCAGGGGTACTGGAATGAACGAGTATGACTGTACCATCCATTTCATGAAACCTTAGGTAACAGCTGCAACTTACATGAAACATAAAAGCCATGGGGGCCTTGGAAGTTATTGAAAAGAAATTAGTTTGGCTTATACAGTAAACCCTCAATAACTCGACACTAGGTAACTGACAGGGTGCATCCAAGAAACCCATTTTTTCTGGACATTTAGTTTTAATTGATGAATATTCAACATTTCTTTAAACATTGCTTATGCAAAAAAGTCAAAGTATTCGTTTAAGTAGTAAATTTATAAGTAAAAATTTGTTTATTGTGTATTATTTTTTTACTCATTAACATTTTAAATGTTCTGGATGACTTGACAGCCCCCAAATTCGACAACCTCTGGGTCCACAAATTGTCGAATTAGTGAGGTTGTACTTAAGTATTTTTTTCCCCACACATCCATTCTCTGAAGCTGAGGGTAGCTAGGCTGGCAGGTATCTATAATTGCTAAGGGTGAATTGATTGTTTACATCATCCGGCAACTTCTTGGGATACCTAATTACATTCAGGCGGCTCTGGTGTTTACCCCCGTTGCGCGATGGGACGGTCCTGGTGCTGATGCTGCCGGGCGCCGGCGAGTCAGCGACAGCGAGTGTCCGGAAGTAGAGTGAGCAGTGAGCAAGTACGGCACGGTAGTGGTAGTGTAGTGTAGTGTGTAGCGTAGTGGCGGTGCGTGGCGGAGTGGTGGGGAGAGTTCATTCACAACTTGAGAGTGAGAGGGAGGGGGAGGGAGTCTGATAGCGACCAAGCGACCTTGGCTTATCGGTCACCGGCGACGACGACCCCGAGCGGCGCGACCGGTGACCGGCGTCTGTCCTGTATAACCATCCTGTAGCTGGAGGCGCCAAAGAGTCTAAGGGGGTGGCGGTGATAGAAGACGAGGTATCACCTTATCAATCATCCCTAGGGTAGTGCATCATAGGGGGAGCGCGTAGTTACGGTTCCGGAGGTCCCAGGTTCAAGTCAAGCCAATCACTAACGCCGCAACTTTCTGGGCCTAGCCTGGACCAATGTGTAAAACAGCCCCGAGCTAGAGCCCATTTTCCTAGGATCAGAAGTGAGAGAAAGTCATAAAAATGTATCATAACTTTTAGCGTCACTAAGAAATGGCCACTGGCTCATAAAAAAAAAACAAGTATAAAATGTTGTGCACTAAGTCTTTTACAACAATAGGTGTCAAGATTCGGACAGGGATGGCCAGCAGAAGCTAGAATCTACAAGAACTAATAACACTACGTTGTATCAGCAGTGGACGATGCTAGGATACAATGTTTGGTAAATTGTCGCTTGATAAGATTGTGAGGTATAGTAGTCAGAACAATCTATGCGGTTTTGAAACCTCGAATACATTCTATCTCAAGTTTGAAGACGACTAGTACATCATCCAATTGATGACAATGAAAAACAAACCTTGTAACGTCACTATTGTACAGTACAGTAATATGAATTTCAGTATCAATTTATCTACCACAATTTGGTCTCACAACATATTTTAAAAGTCTGTCCATCTCAGATTCTCTTGGAAAGATGTTCGGGGTTTCCCCTCTTGAAAAGATCTCGGATTTCCCATGAGGTAGTAACGCTACAAACACACCATCACTCAACTAGTAGTGATTTATAGGCTAGCACGATCAATACATAGGACTGGAGAAACTTGAAGGGGTAGTCGGATTGGACTGACCACCAACAGTATCATTTGTAGGCCTACGATATGCAAGCACGCCATAAAACAGTCTGGCCTGGTCGCTGCAAGCCGCACTTAACTAGGCCATTACATGGAATTGCGTCACCTTCAACTACAAACTTGCCTACGAGCCACATTGCGAATAAACCTTCTTGGGTCAATACGAACAGGTTGTCTACCGACCTATCGTATTATTTTCCGTCAAACGAAAATGATCGGAAAACTGTTCAATTTTACGGCTTAAGGAACGCGAAGTATTCTGATGGTTAAATAATGAAAGCCTGAATGCCTGAATAAGCTAAAAACTAGCCACAATCGGCTTTAAGTACTAAAACTATAAAATTCCGATTGTTATGACGACTTGTCTGGTAATAAAGTTAATAATAGCTTACTCGCCTTGTGATTAGAAGATACTATCAGTATATTACAACTACTATCGATATCACTACTAGTAACATAACGAAGACGACACGTCATGGTACAATACAAGGCAAATACTGATATCCAAAACATTAGTTAGATTAACATGATGAAAACGAAATATCTGATAAGGTTGCTAGTAAAACTTCAACATTGCACTATTACTGGCTATAGCGACTGGTTATAGATTGTGGAGGTTTGAATTGAATGCATTTATTTTACGAGATAAAAAAACAAATAACGACCAATGATAAGCCTTTCCATTGTACATACTTCGGCCACAAATCGTATTGCATAGCAAAGATGTATCACATTACAAACAAATTTACAGTAGTAACATTCTGCCAACAAAACTCCCCAATTAAAATCCAATTTTCCTGTACAAACGTCTACAGAGTGTGTCAATGTTATGGAATCACTTAGCTAAGATTGTTGTAAGGAGTGTAACAGTGTAAATGTGGACGTAAGAAACTGCTTGTGTGGGTGGGAGCGGAGAGGGGGAGGGAGGATCAATAGAGCTGGGCTGGAAACGCCCGCGTCCACAACAACACCCGGCACTGGCACTGGCACTCGGCACGACAAAAATATACCATACAACTGCTACCAGGCTATTTACAGTTACGTGTAGAGATAATTTATCTTACATACTGTAAAAAACCATTTAAATGTTCGACAATTGTAGAAAAGTATTGTTTCATCATTGTGTAGTACGCTGGGTTTAATTGAGCATGTTGGAAAACTTTCAAAAGTAATTAATCACGAATAAACAATATAATAAACAATTAAAAGTGAACCATCCTAAAACTACTACATTATTTGTAGACTTTTGACTTTATGATAAAAATCCCAAGTTATTTTGCACCGTGTTAAGAGTTTATGTGAATAGTATACCAGTATACCGTACTTAAATTGCAATCACGGGTATTAGAACAGTCTATAATAATATAATTTCTTCTTACCGTTTACGCAATCAGGGGCTATACTTCACTACGGCCTTTTCGGAGATAACTCCATCTTCAGGTGCGTTGTACACGAAAAGTAACAAGACTATAGTTTAGTGTACCACTACGCACCTGAAGATTTATCTCCGAAAAGGTCATACATCTGCCACACTCAAGAACCAGAAATGTCTGTTACAATATTCGCACAAGTCGGAAATAAAAGGTAAACAAGACAATCGACACATTCTGTTGTGAGATACTCGAGTAGTGATACAGCTTTATCTTTTCCCATTACAGACAGCGTGAAATATTTAATATTCCTGTTCTCAGTTAGAATTAAGAAGTGGTAAAGATAATCGATGCCCAGAAGTGAAGGGATCTAGTTAACACATTTAGCGACTAGTGGAGAGTTTCATTTACCTGAGGTATATCTGTTTGAGGGCGACGGAACTGTTGACGCAGTTCTTGGGTACGTTGAAGTTGTCCAGTACAGCATCCCACTCGTTGCGACTGTTCACCTACAACAAACAGACAATATATTGAGGACATCGCATCTGCAGTACAAAATAACATGTAGCCTACACAAACACAAAACATCTGGAGGTCCTACAACTGCACAAGTCAATAAGAAATTGCCGACCTTTGAATGACACAAATAGACATTCCTCTTGTTTTAAGTTGTCCCCAGTTTTAAAATAAAAATCGCCGTAGTTGATGTGAGCCACCGACAGGTTGTGCTGATGTAAATTACTGATTTGTGCTGAATACACGAAGTTTTCACCAGGTCAAACTGATGTAACGTCCTACTGCGAACTATAGCAACTATTATGACTTATTACCTATGTCAGCGTGCACAAATAAGGTAAAAAACAGAATTCTCGACACTAACGTATTCTGTGACTGGCCCACACAATTATGATCTTTTTTGTACAAAATTCGTGACAGCTGGCCCTACTTTAGTGTCAAATAGTCAATGTTATTGCTGAGTATTCTAATCTGTTACTCCACGTTGTTTCGTGAACGATTTACTGAGTAGGCTCCAACGAACATAGTAATGGAGGATTTAATGGCGGTTGTTATAAAGGAATTGATGACATTTCCGTATTTTTTTACACAAGTCTCAAAACTAAACAGTTTTAACAGTTTTTGTTGACGTGTCCAAGTATTGCATATTGCATTTGTTTTTAATCGGAAAATTGTAACACGGTAAAATGTTAGAATACATCGGTTTATCGGTTTATCGGACCAAATGTCGATCGGATGCTATAGTAGATGACAATTAGTGTTTATTAAATGAAGACAACCATTTAAACCACTTACTGTAGATTTTAATCACAATCGATTCACCAACCCATTATATTCAATAGTTTGGATTTGTTTTTACACAACGAAGACACAAAACCATTGCATGTCTGCCATATTTCCCGATTTTTAGGTGTATTACCACAATTTCTTTGTGTAATAACAAAGCTATTTCATAACTACATAGGCCTACTTCTCCAGATTTCGATTTGTGAACATAATAAATTTTACAATCGACGATTAAATTACTCACGTATACATTAAAGTTCTCGTTGTTTGATTCAGATTATATATATTTAAACAATATATTTTACTCGAACAGATAGTAAACAAGAATTGTAAGCGCTGTACGGCTGTACTCGGTGCCGAGGCGCAGAGGCACATTAGCTTCGGTTTATTGGCAGCAATTCAACACGCTGACGTAAACCCCGGTGTGTTAAATGTGAGAACATCTCTCTGCTGCAACAACTGACACAACACTGTACGTTTACGTTCACTATAAACCTATACTCCGTCCACAAAACTTAGGCGGTTTCCTGGGTTCTCCCACCATTGTTTAGCTGAATGTCAAAAATATCAGCTGATCAGTTGTTAGCTGTTGTTTCACAAGGTTAGGTTAATGGGGTGAGGTGGAGGGGATGCAATAGCTTCCCATCGAACCGCATAAATTTTGCGAGCAGACTATAGTCAATAGTGCATCCGTTGAACAAGGACATTGAGAAATAATAATGTATATCAAATAGTGTTAGTGTGACTGTGATTTATACAAGACGATCAATGTGAATGTATCGAGGAGGAGATGTAGGACGAGATACCCGAGACTAACCACACACGTCTGCGGTTGTGGAGACCCCGACCACAACACACACAAGCAGTTCTCAGAGGAGGCCCAGCAGTTCTCAGACTATTGCAATTCTTTGCATTCAGACCATGAATGACAGGAAAACTGGAGTAGAACCTTGATAACAAGACTCTCATGAGGATTATAAAATAAGTCTGGTTATCAAGGATGACTTCTAAAATTGAGGTTTGTAATAACAACATGTTAGAGGTAAAACAAATTCAAGGGGGTTTGAAAAATATACTTGTTATCAAGAGTGACTTGTTATCGAGGGTCTTCTTATTGAGGTACCACTGTGGATCTCAGCTATAACATGTCCACAGTATATACTATGAGATGATAATCATTGGCGGAAGAACTTATCTTCCTTCAAATAGTATACATAATAATAGAGTTTAGATGCTATTTCATACGTTTAGCCATCAGTCTAAATTATGGTGAGTAGACTACAAGATCAGGACTAAGGAAAAGCGGTAAAACTACATGGTGTATGTGAACCAAAAATTGCACTGAACTAGGAATCAGATAGTCCTTTCTATGGTCTGTGGCCAAAAATGGCAACTCACTGGCTTCTCGCCCTGATCCTCGATCCAATGTTAATGTTATGTGACGATCCCACACTAAACCATATTTCGAGGTATCTAGCTTTCTAATAATATAGCGCGGGTCTTCATTCCGCGAGGTCCTGGATTCAAATACCGCCAATCACCAAGGGACATTATCCAAATGATAATGTCACGACCCTCTATGCCTATCCTCTGGGCGATTCCGGGCTAGAGCCTTGCATCCTATGTAGACGAGGAAGTCATGTCACCTTTCGGCTCAATTTCCACTAATCGGATGCCCTTTTCGAGGTTAAGTATGGCTATTGTACACGACGCTGATTTGGGTAGTTTATTATTTACACTTTAGAGGGTATTTTCACCCAACACATGAGGGTAGTAACTTAACACTTCCTCTCAGCTCTCAGCAACTGACCCATCGCCCTGTACCAGGTCGCGCTGCCTCTCCACTGACCAATGACCTTGTGTTATCACAGAGCCAGGGCCGGGGCCGAGGACGGGACGCGCGGACGCTGACTCAGGTGGTGGGGGGTGACGTAACAGTCAGCTGATCTAGACACCGTGGCGCCTAAACGGGTTGTTTACACTGGCGTTGCATCCCTGCACCCGTCCCGGCCGCATAGCAACACACTACACGGGCCCGGCCGCGGCGCTACATACGTGATAATAGTGGTAAAACTTGTTTTGAAGATAAGATTCTTATATTTTATCAACACACGTAAAAACCCATAAGATAAGTTACTTTTATTTTAATGCAAAATACAAACAAAAACGGTACCAACAATGCCCCAAAACAAGAATCAACATACATTAAAACATTATAGGAATTGTAATTAAAACAACTCAAAAATCTATATTTATGGGGATGAACATCTCTAATTCAAAGAATATCTTCGATTACGAAAGTTGTTACGAAAACTGTCTATGTATTCAAGGGAACTTGGGTTGCATTAACTTGATCGACAGTCAAAGATCGAAGTTGATTGACTTTGGACCTTTGACTAAGGAAAGTAGAATATACCCCAACCCCATGTTAAAGTTTTACACAATTTCAGGATAAAAAACATCAAAAATGTAACTTTAGTAGCAGCTCAGCATGTGAGCGGTCATTGAATGTAGACTTGTGTTTGACTTCTTGAGTCAAAATTAGCGACAGCTGGTTGATAAATGTCATCTCTAGCTTCAGTATTCAATCAATGCTTTTGGTGCATGGTTACCTTTCATTACTACAATATCTGTCCTTGTTTGGATGACATTTACGCTCGGTGACGTAGCTATTCTCACATCTCCAACTACAGACAATAAATTTGTGTTGGTTATTATTTAAAGTTGGCATTTCTATGCACTGTACTGCCCACTACACAAGGGCCAAGTTAATGTTGGCACCTCGTTCTCGTTGGTTATTCAATTGGCTTCGCGTCTTCTGCTTTCTCTCTCTGCTTTCACTAAACTCTCGCGCTTATTTCCTTTGCCGCGCTCCTAAAATAAACAAGCGTGCTCTCGACCGCGTTCCTGTTGGTCGAAATGTCCATTGGATTAGTTAAATAATATTAAATAACGGTATTAGTTAAATGTACAATTAGGTTGTATTGTCAATACCATATTCGAACGGAATACATTATTTAGAAGCAGAATAAAATCACTAGTAATGCTTCAAATCTACCAAAGTACCGCACAATGCACAGACAATGCATTGTTCTAACACGTGCTATTTAAATACTTCAACTAACTGCTGTAAGTTGGATTTTAAAATAGACATCTTTCTGATTGTGAACGCGATTAAAACGAATAAAACCAATTTAGATATCTATCCCAACGTAACGATTAATATGTGTTATAACTGTCGACAGCTAACATTAAAGCTATTCTTAACATATTGTTGATGGTCTCAACCAACCAAATAAACAACAGGGTCACTCGAAACATTGTTTAACAAACCGAGGTTTCAAGAAATGTTCAGTGATAACAACATTTACCAACAAAGAGGCATGATTAGCGCTGACATGAAAGGCTCGAGCTAATGTGAAGGCGACATTTGCTCATTCGGGGCACTTACAAAAGGCATTTCAACGACCGCCTGCTAGCCTTGAGCCGCTTAAAAAAGGACACATAAATAATTAAACTGACGCCAGTTATGTAATGCAATCTCTGCGAACCTTCGTCGAGGACTTGTAGTTGTGGTTGGACAAGATCTTGCACTCTAGAACGGGAACTGTTGTGATTCTAACATGTACACTGGTGTAAAGCAAGGTTGAATCCAGCTTTCAAATCTGCATTTGCGATCTGCTATACACAACGAGTTCCATTTTACGAAATTCAAATTATAAACCATACGTATTTTGCCAACTCGATAGTCAAGCAATTTGAACCTTTGTGTGTTATATCATATACGCAATTCACTGATATTTCGTGTCGACCAATAATCTAGCTAGAGCGTGCTGCAAGCTGCAAGCAGAGTCATTAGACACAATGGGACTTTCCCTGACAATTAGAGCATTGGGCTCGGGTTTGCGACACGACTCCAGATCACTGCTCGCTGTTGCTAAGCATTTACTATAAACAATTCCAAGCACCCATCGTTCAATCGCATAGAACTGTTCTGTTAGAAACTAACAGTGAAGCTCCGATGATTTATTTCAGTATGGCTAGGAAAATAAAGATCTTGGGTAAAACACGTACATCCAAATTTAGCCACCAACAAACTACCAGCCCACACTTACTAACACAGAACATGTACAAACAGATCATGTCTTGGGACGGCGCCACCACAAGATGTACGAGGGACTTATCAAATGCAACAAACAAGTGGGCG